TTAAAAGAGTGGTTGCTGCTGATCTGATTTTGAAAACCAGGATACATTGATCAACACGTACATAGTCAAAAACCAGCTTTGGGTTTTGAGAGGATATAGAAAACCAGTTTTTTTTTTTATTTAGAAAAACTTTGAAAGATGCTGAAAATGGTTTTAACAACAATATTCATTGTTTTGTTTAGACGGTTTTAATTTCATTTTGTTTAAATAAGCACACATCTCATCTAGTCTTATATTTCTACATTAACAGGGTTTAGTAAAATAAACAAATGATTTACCAGATTCATTTAGAATGATTTATTCTACATATGAATTAGATTCGACTGATATAGCTCATATGGATGCGAATTAATGTAGAAAACTCATTGTTATGTTGGATGATAATTCTACGTATATTAGAATCACTAAAATGACATCTATCTATCTAGTAAAGAATACTAAGAAACTAACAACAGCTGAATCTTTGTATTACCATAGCCTAACAATTGGTAGTAGCTTAGTTTTTGTTGATTGTTTTCGATAACAACTAACTAATATATTAAACAACATCCCATATCATCCTATTTTTGTTCACTAGGTAACAATTAAGTTTGAATATCACATTCAAAAGCTATTTCATTTAAGTAAAGCTATCTAACTCCTCGCACGATGAGGCCGGAGCTATAATATGTACATACTTTATACGTAAATACATTTGTTTGGCCGTATACCAGAAGAAGTCGTCAATACGTAGTTTTTCAGATAAAATTAGGGATTATTTAGGGGAGGTTCCTTTGGATTCGCACTGATTTTGAGAAAGGAACAAGAAGGGACCTGATGGCTGATACCACCGTGTGATGATCGTTTTACTTGGGGGAGGTCCCTCCTCTATCGTTGGTTTATGTGGGGACCACAAACCCCATACATACGTATTTACTTACGCACAGTGTGTACATGTACAATTATAGACCAATAGATATAAAGTTTAGGTGTATGTATAGAAATATACGGTGCACTTGAGTAGTCAGTCGTGAGGTCGAGTCGTAAGCTAGGCAAGATAGATACGCGTCTACGATGCGTACGAGCCACGCCCTTACAGTCCATTATTGCCTTTTACATCTCTAGAGTAGGGTCCACTCCTCCCTTTAATCTTTCCCCCCTTGACCTTTTTCACTTTAATTTGTTTAATTTCTTTATCAGAAAAAAGCTAAAAATCTGGAATATTGTTTGTGTACTGAAATTAAAAAGAAATTTAAGTGGATGGAGTGCACAAAGATTTATACTACAAAAACACGTTTTTAAAATTACAATCTTTTGGATAGAAAAGAAGATTTTCGTACAGTGGAGCTAAAAAAAACTGTGTATCCGAATTTCTTAAAGGATGTTAAATTAGATTTCAAAAACGAGGGTAAACTCATGCCCGTTAGAGCTTGGTCTTTTGTTGGACGTTTGTATCTGAATTTTGTGGATCTTATATTTCAAGTACTAACTATCAGAACTTTTTTTAATTAACAGAAAAGAACAAGAAAAGCTACGTCACGTGTCAGAACTCAGAAGTAGTAATCCAAAGTCCAGAGTAATAGGATTCGAAGCAATCCACTTATTTCGACACGTGAAAAATTTCATCCTTCTCCAGTTTTGTGAAAAAATTAATACTATTACAGTACTTTAGTAAACTGTAAAAAAGCTGCCCAAAAAAAAAAAAAAGTAAACTGTAAAAGCAATAAATAAAATTATTCAGACTGACACATGAGTTCAATTTTACTTTGTTGGACGCATCCGTCTCTTTTTGGTAGCATCATTTGGTTTCAGCTTGGCTTGTTTTCATTAGAATAACTTATTTGCGTATGGTATTTGCTATAACGATATGTCGTGCCATTTTTATCTTTTTATTTACATTTGAAACACACAGTATGAGTTCGTAGCCATTTAGGTACGTCAGTTTATGGCAAATGAAAAACAAGCACGCTCGATTACAGCAAAATCGATTGTAGACTTGAAAAAAAGTCACTGCAAACAATGTTTGTTTATTCAGCCTTTTTAAAAGTTCATAGTAACTTAATTTACCAATTCATATCATAGGCACTTAAAATAGAAACGGTTACGTTTCTTATCACCATTCATACAAAAATGAGCTGAATAGTATAACATATTGGAAAGATTTTTTTTGCCGACGGTTCAAGGACCATTACATTTCTTGTACCCATCATCTCAACCTTTTCGAGTTGTGCCACTGGATAAGATAAACATGTATAACTAACTAATACTCCAGTATAACTAATTAATTGTTATTAGTGTCACGAGTTGTAGATATACAAGGAATTTTCACAGTTCAATTATGAATTAATGACAAAACTATAAATCGAAATGAAATCAATAAAGAAATATACGATAACCAATCAAGTCAAAGAAATTTATAAAATTTTAAATGAGAGAGAATTAATCAAAATTAGAAAAAGGAGTAAAAGAGAAGGCAAAGGAGTCTCACGTGCGGATGGGAAATTGCTTAGTCGGCACGGAAAGCGACAAAAAACATCGGTGAAACAGAGAGTGGAAACCACGCGCTTCTCGTACAGGTCTTTTTTTCCACGAGTGTCCTTTCGTATCAAGACACGTCATCTCTTTTTTAACACGATTTGTGTAGTACGTGTACATTTTTTTCGAGACACTGATGAATGATGTCCTAAATTATTTTTTTTATAAACATTTTATGAGACATTTCTTTTAGTAGGCCGTCTCTATTCTATACGTGACCTAGAGACTCATTTATTGCAATTGCTATACATTTGTCAAATCTACGACAAAAATAAGGCCTTCATATTCCATGAAATGTGATTTAATGGTGTGTTAGGTACTTTGCTTTGACCCGGAACTTAGCCTACTTGCTAGATCATAAATAAGATGTGTGTGTTTGTATAATACAAACACAATAATTCGTTTCTTTTATAAAGTTCCATGTAATGCATATATACGATTATAATAATTGCCGTATATTTATATGGGAATTAGTCAACAAAGTTCGCCGACGAAATCTATTAAATATTTACGAATGTTCAAAAATTTAAAATGCACATTGCCACATTCCCCTCCAATTCCTAACTTTTGACTTTGAGATATTTTGTAGACCGACGCGAACCGACCCATTTGGCTCGTGTTTTATCATATGTCTTTTTAATTAGGTGACAAGGGAAATAGTTTGGAAACAATGCATATCATCGCATGTTCGAAACAATTTAAGGTATTGAAATTTATGTTAGAGAACGAACCGTGATCGATACAAAAAAGTCCTTTTGTCCTACAATGTCTTTTTATTATTCAAAAATCAAAAAAAAAAAAGAATGTATTCGTGTTTTCAACCATCAATAAAGCACATAAAACGACTTGCTCTCTGGAATAACCATAATAAATTAGATAAACTGGAGTGTTGATATTAGTATAACTTATTAGATCATAAGTTATGGTTAATTTGATAATTTCGTTTCGTTAGCCACATGTGTTAGTTTTGTTATATCGTATGCCACGAAAATATGAGTTATGGATCTTTCAAAATATATAGGAAGTTTTGTTTTGTTTTTTTTTGTTTTGATGTCTATTAGTGAAATCAATTATTTACTCGGTCGTATATCAACACCAGAGAAAATGACAAAGCATAATAATTTCAAAACTGAATTTGGACTTATATGAACAATTTCAAAAGAACAAGGTCAATTTTTATATCTTTCATTTCACTCAATAAGACAATGATAGTGTTCGTAAACAAATTATTATTATACACTGTGGCGGACGTTCGCTAAAACTATGGTATTTCCAAAACTATGTTATCATTTCCGAATCTCAGGATTGGAGAAATGGAGAAGACATTCCCTGATGACAAAAAAAAAAAAACGAAGTAATTCTTTTACAGAAAGAAATACATAAATAAAACACCGAAAGTAATTTTTAATTTCTATGAGTTAGGTAGAGGCAGAAATGAAAAATTAGAACTTACTACTTAAATAAAGCATTTGCTTATTATCATTTGATTTAAATGTTGATTATTTAATTGGTTAGTGGATTACATGCCGTGGATATCTCTTAATTGATATAATTAGGTTTGGTTATGAATCCAAGTATACTGTGACGATTTTCGAGGTTATCGTGCCGTGGATCGACCGACCAGTTTTTCATGTTGATTTGGTCACATGACCAACCCCCCTTACATGTATTATACGACCATTCATAATTTATCATGTCATATTCATCGCACCTTATCCCTAAGTCTAAGAGTCCATGTTCTTGGAATCTTCCCGATATATTGTGACGAGTTTTACCAAAGTTAGGCAAATAATCGATCAAAAAGTTCATGTCTAGCGTCTAACTTCTTTATATATGTAAATCATAGATGTCGAAAGGTGACTTTTTTACTTGGGTTTCCATTTACAGTATGCCCACATATTAAAAATAAATCAATTTATACGTCCTTAAAATTGATATACGGTAAGATTCGGTTCTATCGAGCTTGTTATATGATTGAATTAGACAGGTAGTGTGGTGTCAGCTATACGGGCAACATAATGGACTTTAATATATTGAAGCCCATCACTCAAATTAAAAGCCCAGTATGGTTAGCTTGTTTTTGCGGACTTAATTCTCTAACGCGTGATGAAATTTTCTATAAGCTCAGCCCAATAATCGATTCCGAGTTCTGGTAATTTCTTCTGCGTTGACTGAAATTAGAGAAATGTAGCGCACGAGAAAGAAGACGATCAAGACGAACAGTGAACAAGTGATGTAGTAATTTGCTTTGAGAACTGACTGAGAGTACGTGGCAGATTCCAGAAACCGTGATGTAGTATGTGACGAAAGCTTCGCAATGTCATCGCTTAGAACATCGGAAAAAAAAAATATAAAAATAATCGACAAGAAAACGAAGGAAATTTCGATTACGACTCTGGGTTATAATAATATAAGAGACTTTTTCTTTTCAGGGGAGACGAAGATAAAGAACACCGAGAGATAAGCAGAGCGAGTGAGTGAAGTAAATGGGTCTGAAAGGGATTCTAGGCTTCGAATACGGAATAGTTCAGGCGCCGCTAGGACCAGATATCTCCGGTCCCGAGCTCGTAGCCGCCGTCGCTAATGCCGGAGGGATCGGTCTTCTCAGATGTCCTGATTGGGTAATCGCAACTCTCTCTTACTTTCTTGAGTGATTTTAATGTTTTTTTTCTTCTTGAGAGGTGATTTTTTATGTTTTTTGATTATGCGAATCAACAATCAGGAGTGTCCTGATTACCTGAGAGAGATGATAAGGAAGACGAAGAGATTGACAGAGAAACCATTTGGGATCGGCGTTGTTCTTGCGTTTCCTCATGAGCTGAACGTAAAGGCCATCTTAGAAGAGAAGGTTGCTGTGTTGCAGCTTTATTGGGGTGAATGTTCAAAGGAGCTTGTGGATGATGCTCATCGTGCCGGAATCAAAGTTGTTCCCCAGGTAAAGTCTTTATTTCACCAAACAAAGATTCATGACCAAGTTTATTTCAAAGAGTTTGGCTTTCTTGTCTTATTTATTGCTTAAATTTTAAAGGTAGGGAACGTAGAAGAAGCTAGAAAGGCCGTCGCTGTAGGAGTAGACGCTATTATCGTCCAAGGACATGAAGCAGGAGGGCATGTAATTGGGAAGGTAAGCCCTAATTGTTACTTGTGTTGTATAATCCTTTTATCTTAAATATATCATCATCAATTTTTGTTCTTCTTTCCAGGATGCTCTGTTTTCGTTGTTGCCAAGAGTAGTTGATCTGGTTGGGGAATGTGAGATTCCGGTTATCGCCGCTGGAGGAATCGTGGACGGGCGCGGTTACGTCGCAGCCTTGTCACTTGGAGCTCAAGGTGTCTGTCTAGGCACAAGGTGTGTGTCTCTTTGGTTTTCCACTTGTTTTTTGGTCAATGCTCGAATGAGTCAGAAGAAGCTTCGCTTGTCTTATCAGGTTTGTGGCGACTCATGAGAGCTACGCACACCCAATATACAAGAGGAGGTTGGTTGAGTATGAGAAGACGGAGTACACAGATATCTTTGGACGAGCAAGGTGGCCTGGTGCGCCTCAACGTGTTCTCCAGACACCGTTCTTCGATGACTGGAGATCTCTCCCGCCTGATGAGAACGAAGTTAACCAGCCTGTCATCGGCCGTTCCACCATACACGGCGTCGTAAGTTTTTGATTTTGCGCTACGAATTATGTGGTCGGGTCTCAGCAAGTGGATTTGACTTAACAGGAGAAGGAGATAAGAAGGTTCTCGGGAACTGTGCCGAACGTGACAACAACGGGGGACTTGGAGAGCATGGCGATGTACGCAGGCCAAAGCGTAGGCCTCATCAAAGAGATTCTACCGGCTGGGGAGGTAGTGAAGAATCTCGTGGAAGAAGCTCAGCTTCTGATGAGAAAACTATAGCTTTACTGCTTTTGGAGTCGGATGAGAATAGTCTCTCGTCTGATATATAATAAGGTACCTCCTTCTGGATACCTTGTGTGAAAATTGTGTTCAATCATGTGTATTGGTACGGTACATATCTTCATTTCGTATTCAGTTTCTAAGTGAGCCAGTAACAATGTTCAAGGGAACCTCAATGATTCCATTAGCTTTATTTATCAAAACAAGAGACTTATTGGCAGCTTTCACACAAGTTTGCTGCAGACATGATACATAACCATATAGTAAAAGTAGGGTGTAAAACGTTTCCGAGTTATTTGCTGCATAGGGGATGATGGTTGTGTTTGTACAATGAACAGCACTCAGAGTACAAACTTTGTCGCGTACACGTCGAATTCCTCTGATGATGTTAGCAGTGGCTCCTGCGATCAGCTCAAGGAAGAGATCAAAAACGTTTAATCATTCAGAATCTTGCAGGTTTTTTGGAATTAACACAAGTTTTAGTTACGTACCGCTGAGGCATCAGAGCTTGTGTAGTCGTCATCGATGGCGAGGCGAGACTGGGCCTCGCGTATCGCAGAGCACATAAGGTTGAGAAGGTGACCGTACGTGGGAGCCGGTCCAGCTGTCTTCACCGCCTTTATGAAGCTATAAGTCATGGCTCCTGCGTTCTTTCCCGTGAACACCTGCAGTGAGTGATGAGGGTGATAAACAGAGAGGTATAATTATTGTATTGCATGACGATGAAACAAAACAATGCAAGAAAACATACAGGAGTGTAACCACTGGATTCATCATCATCACAAGCACTGAAACAGAAAGCTGACCCACCATCTGTTCCTTTGTAAGCACTCACTGATCGATGATCTTCCCATTCGTAAGAACCATTCCTGATTTTTTCACACACGCACAAAAGTTTCTATTCTCGGTTTTCAGTCAAGCAGAGATTGAGTAGAAAAGCTATATTAGTTTACCTCTCCATCCTGCAAACGAAGGGTAGATCAAGGACAGTGCCGCTGTTACAGGCGTCGATGACAGCGTGAAGCTTAGCTCCATGGACGAGCGGCCTCACGAGTGTCTTGTTAATCTCGTCATCGATGATTTTACCTTCTGTTTCATGGTCTAAAGGGCACAGGGCTTCGTCTTGACCGTCGACCTCGTCTCCGTTGTAGTCCTTCTGCTGAGCTCCATGGCCAGAGAAATGGAACACAAGCGAGTCCCTTGCTCTGTTTCCTTCAACTAACCATCTCATCGCCTTTCTGATGTTTCTCTTTGTCGGTATCCTCTGCGGACTCGCTTCATCTTCTGCAGCAAACACTCATCATCAGTCAATAGAAAAAAAAGGGAAAATGGATTTAGAGAAGTGGAAAAAACAGAACAAACCTGTGAGCATGAGGATGGAGTCAATAGGGAAACCCATTTGTTGAACCAAGAAAGACCTCATGGATTTAGCATCACTGATGCAACCTTTGAGGCTATAGATTTTCCCCTTATAGTTGACGCCGCACAAAACCGCTCTCTTCTTCCCAAACGGCGAGGGAAGAGGGTCGAGCAGGCGTGGAGGCGGTTGAGCCAGAGCCATCATTTGTTGTTGTTGTTCATGATGTTGTCTGCGAAGCTGTTGAAACCCACGAATCATGCGGCTCGCACCGCGCGCTATGTCCACGAGCGAGTGGAGCTGCGTGACGGTATGGCAGGTTGAGCATTGGACGGCACTGGCCCCCGGTTGAACCAACATCCATCTACCGCAGCGGCACCTTACTTCTCTCCGGCTAGCCATGATTTCTTCTTTTGCTACAACAAATTCATTGTGCGTTTTATATAGAGATTTAATAACGGTGCTTGCTTTGTATATATTCGTTCCTATCCATGGAAAGAAGAAATGTGGAAATGTGGATTTGTCCACGTAATTATTACGCTACCGTGTTGTTATCTGAATCAATACCCAAAAAAATATTTCAGAATATTTTATAATGGAATACGATTTCTCCCTGAAAGAAAAAGTAAAATAAGTAGCTGATTTGTTTGATCTCTCGTATATATATATATATATATATATATATTCCAAGATGTTGATGTGTAATTGTTGACATTTTGGTATGATACAATATGCATGGTAAAAGTGGGATTGAATGAGTTTTCTCCCACTCTACATCCACACATGCATTATGCATACATAATATAGAGTCATAATATGCATTGCCTAAAAAACATGCATGTGATTGATCATAATTGTATAATTAGTTAGGATTTGACATTAAGATCTTTTGCGAAGCGGGCTTATATATACTCTAGTCTCGATTGTATACTGGTTTGTTATCTCATAAAGTTTTCTCACATAAGTTAAAAAAAAAAAATGAAGAGATGTTTATTTGTGGCGTGGCAAATGTTGATCATAACTGTTTATGCCAAATTCCAAAGCCAAACCGGTATATGTCAAATCTTGAACAGGTCACACGTGTGTGTTGCTTATATATGTGTTGATAGTAAATCTCGTTTAACGATTAATTCGGTTGAAAAAAGAGAACCATATGCTTACATGAGGACCAGCACAAAGAGAAAAACTCTTCAAACTAGTAATAGTAAATCTGATCTTTAACAAACTAATAATAGTAAGTCACGTTCCTTATATATAAACATGCAGTTGTTACTTGTAAGAAACTAAAAATAAATAAATAAATAACAAAACAAAAAGAAAAAAAAAATCGAAAAAGAAAAGATTAACAAAAAGTTTCTGTGATTGATTTTACTGTGTTGTTTCAGACAAGACAAGATGACTAGTGGATGGAGAGTAACTGTAGTATGTTGCCTCTTAATAATCTTCGTCTTATCCACTTTCTTTGGTGGAATCGACTCGGCTAGAAATATGAACCAAATTGATAAATGTTTTTTTAGATGCAGTGATGCATAATCTTACTACTGCCAAATGCCGTGGGCGCCCTGGCCGGAATTAATGGATGATGCATGGTGCATCCGGAGTACGGTTGACATATGGACGATGTCACCTTATAGTACTAATCAGCTAAATAAATACTACAAATTAGAGTAGTAACTTACTATATCAGTTTTTGTGTGTTTTATTTTATATTTGGTAAGACAAATGTTCTCTTACCAACTTTTACATCATTATATTTTTTAAAAATTATTATTTATTTAATAGCGATTTTGTTGTTATAATAAAAGAATATGTTGAGGACATTTGTTTGCGTGATGTTAGAATCTTGAGAAAACTCCAAATGACATATATGAGGAGTATATAAGATTAATAAATGTCCAAAGACTCCAAATTAATAAATGTTCTTATGATGAAGTGATGCGATATCTTAATACTACCAATCGTGATTGCCTAGGCCTATGCCCGTAATAATGGATGGTGTGCATGGAGATGGAGTACGGTTCACATAATACTATATCAGTTAAATAAATACTACAGTACAAAGTAGTAAGTTACTGTAGTATACTATATTTGTTTCGCTAAGACGGATGTTTTATGTTATTTCTTTTATAGGAGTATCTCGTAAGATAAATGCTCTCTAACTACATTAATAATGATTTTTTGTTGTTATAATAAATATGTTTAAAAGAAATATATGTATCCTTTGATTCCTTTCCCAACACCTTCCAACAAGTGATGTTGGAGGAATCTTGAGAAAACTCCAAATGACATTGTATATAATTTAATTAGGCTTTGTTTCTGGGGTCCCAATGTAAGATCAAAAGCTGGCGAGAAGAACCGCACCAACGAACATAAGAGCATGTCCATTGGTAGAGACTCTTTTGGGGTTGTTAAACATTTTTTAATATAAATTTTGTTCCTTTTCATTTCTAAGAACCTTTGTATTTGATTTAAACTTTTTGCTCTTCCATTAGTTGAATCTCTAATTGAGTTTTTTTAAAAAAATTAAAATAAAATTATTTTATTGTAAACAAAATAAAATTAATAAAAACTTAAATATATTACATATAAAGAAATTTGAAACATACAAGTTACATAAAAACATTTAAAATAGAGATTTGCAAATATTAAACGAAAAGAAACGCTTAGTTAAAATTTTAATTTGTGCCAAATCTTTGTCACATATGCTCCACCAAATCAGCTTGCAATTGTTGATGCATTATTTTATCGCGGACTCGATTTCGATTGGCCATAAAATTGCCAACATTTGTAGGCATATCGGTAGAGTACGTATAATCCACTGGTGCAGTTGTGTTATCTTCTCCTTGTTCGAAATCCGATACATTAAAATGAGTGTATCCATCTCGTTCGTCTTTAACTATCATATTGTGAAGTATGATACATGCTCTCATTATTTTTCCAATTTTTACCTTATCCCAAAAAAGAGCCGGGTTTTTGACAATCGCAAATCGAGCTTGCAAGACTCCAAAAGCACGCTCGACATCTTTTCGGACAGATTCTTGATTTGTAGCAAATAGCGAAGCTTTAGGATCTTGAGGAATTGGAATTGATTGGATAAAAGTTGCCCATTTTGGATAAATACCATCTGTGAGATAGTAAGCCAAATGATATTCGCGTCCATTGACGAAGTAATTCACTGCTGGAGCTCGACCTTCTAAAACATCATCAAATACTGGTGAGCGATCAAGAACATTGAGATCGTTTAAAGTACCTGGAGCTCCAAAAAACGCGTGCCAAATCCAGAGATCGTGTGAAGCTACAGCCTCTAAAACAATTGTTGGTTTTCCAGATGCACGGGTATATTGCCCCTTCCAAGCGGTGGGGCAGTTCTTCCACTCCCAATGCATACAATCAATGCTCCCTATCATCCCGGGAAATCCGCGTGCTTCTCCAACATGGAGTAGCCGTTGAAGATCATTTGGTGTGGGTCTTCTTAGATACTCATCCACGAACAAAGATATTATTGCTTCCACAAAATTTTCCAAGCATAAGAGGGCAGTACTTTCACCGAGCCGGAGGTATTCGTCAACCTTATCAGCCGCACAACCATATGCCATAATGCGGATAGCTGCTGTACACTTTTGTAGTGCAGATAGACCAGCCCTTCCGGTAGCATCTCTTCTTTGTTGAAAGTATGGAACTTCAGTGGAGAGACGATCAACTATTTTCATGAACAAATCCTTGTTCATTCTGAAACGTCGTCGGAACAGATAAGCCGGATATGTTGGATCTTCAGAGAAATAATCGTTCCATAAGCGGTTGTGGCCTTCCTCACGTTTTCTTTCTATATAGTGTCTTTTTTTCTTCTCTTTTGTAGGTGGAGCATAACTATTGACCACATTATCAAATGCTTGTTCGTATGCTTGTTCGAATGGTCGATCGAATGCTTGCTCAAATGGATCATTAAAATTATTAGAAGAAGATGCCATTTGTTGCTATTTTCTTTTGCAGGATTTTTTTTTGTGTTTATAGAAGAAGAAGAAGTATATAGAGCGAAAGAAGAAACAGAGATGATATTTGTTTGTAAGAAGTAGATTGAAAAGTGATATATATATATAGCAAAAAGCTATGTGATAAGGAAAACAGTGTCGGTACAAGAAAACAAAGAAATAAAATAATAGAAAGCTACAAAACAAAAGAAAACGAAGGGAAAAAAATCTTACACTCTCACGGGTGTGAAAACTACATAATAGAAAGCTACAAAACAAAAGATTATATCACGGGTGTCTCCTTCATCCATCACGTTGACGTTTCCAAATTTCAGATGATCTCACGGGTGTCTCCTTTATCCATCACGGGTGTCTCCTTTATCCATTACGAACTCAACTAATCTGTTTCGAGACAAAAGCTTGTGTAATTTTGTGTTTCGTTTGGCTGGACAAAGTCTTCAATATTAATTCCATATTCATATCACATCTATCAATGAGTAAGCCAAAAATATAAAAGAAAGAATTAAATACTAACCATTTGATCATTTGGAGTTGGACCTTGTGATTCTGGGCCAGAGTCTTGCACAGAGCTCCAGGGCTTTTGATTGAAATGCAATGTCTCGGAGAACCTGTTTAAACAGGACTTGAAAGTTAGTTCAACATAATCGGTTTATCTATTACTATGTCAAAGCTCCAACAATGTGATTACAAAGCTAATAACTGACTTTAAAGAGACAACCGATTCAGAAACACTATTGATATTTATAATAATACATACCAAAGCTGCGATTAAACCACTAAAACCGATTTATTCATTTCACTTAAAAGGAGAGACTAGAAATACAAACAACACTTAAACTAACAAGCATTCATCACAAACGACATTTAAACTAACAAGCATTCATCACAAACAACACTTAAACTGAATCCGATCTAGTACAAGGAAGACTTAAACTAAAGCTCTGTGAATACAAAGTTCGCTAATTAGAAAGCATGTCAGTTATTAGCTTGTTCTTCAGAGCCACTTCCATCTCTGAAAGTGGTTCCTTTTTTGCAATGAGATTTTCAAGCAGTCCCACCATGGACAATCTTTGTTTAATAGCTAATTCCTTCTCCTTGATGATCCACATGCTCTGAAAGTCAAGCAGTCCCACCACGGATTCGCTTTCCACTGTACCTGACTTGCTCACCTTAGCTGCCTTCACACCCTGAGGACGAGCCATTGGTTGATCTGTTTGTGAGCTTTCTGATTGAACATCAACCTTCCTTTTTTTTGAACTTCCCTCACCTTTGCAAGTTGAAGAGTCACACCACTTCTGATCATTGCGAAGCTCTATCCATGCGTGCTCAAGGTTGAACTTCACTTTGTAATCATGGAAGAAGATTTCGTAAGCCACCTTCAGAACATCAGCGTCATTGTAGCCACTAGTTTTTTGCCTCTTTGCAGCCTCATAGCAGCCCACGAATTTGCAGACATAATCATTTATCTTGTGCCACCTTTGCTTACAGTGACTGGCCTCTCGCTTTTGAAAATCAGCAAGCTTAGGAGATGCGTTAAAATAAGCAGCAATACGTTTCCAAAACGCTGATGCTTTTTGCTCATTCCCTACAACAGCATCCTTGCTTGTGTTTAACCACGAGCTGCATAGCACAATATCTTCAGTTGGAGTCCATTTGCGTCTTTCTCTACGCCCCCCAGGTATCTCTTCAAGTTGCTCAGGATCCTCACTCGTTTGAGTATCAAACCGTGGGACTTGTGATGATCCAAGTCCCATAGAAGGGGAAAAACTTTCAGGGATTTGGGAATGTTGTTGGCTATTTAAAAGATCCATGAAATTAGCAGCGTTACTAAATGGATCCATAGAAGAGAAGTGGTGGTTTAACAATAAGAGAAGTGGTGGTTTAGCGATGAAGAGAAGTGGTGGTTTATAGCTTAATATATAGAAAAAGTTGTTAGTGTTTTTGGTAGTTTTAAGCATTCAATGGCACTTATGTATTTGCCTAATCTACAACTAACAAGCATTGATCACAATAGGCGATGTGACAAGCATTTATCACAATTTTAACTACTAAAACGAGTCCTAATATGGTCCTAATCTAACAAGTATTTATCGTAATTTCAATAACAAAACCAAACTAAAACCAGTCTCGTTCTGATCCTAATATGACAAGCATTTAACAATCATAATCTGAAAACATGTCCTTAACTAACAAGCATTTATAACACCACAACCATACTACCTAGTCTACAACTTTATTAGTACTAGTTCCTTATGGATCGAGATGAACATATTTGATCCTATAAACACCAAGATGATTTCATGTCAATTGTGAATTGTAAACTTCAGTGGTATCATATGTTGTAAAATCAGTACCGGGGACTCACCTTTCTTAGCAATCCAATAACTAGAGGAAGACGCTGATCACATAAGCTAGAGGTGTCCTCTTCTTCTAGATTAACCTACAAAAATAAACTAAATATTATGAACTAATTGATAAGTCATAGAATGATACAAGCTTAAATGCATTCATATAACGCTTAACATGTCAATTGTCAACAAATAGCCAAGCACCAGAAACATGAAAGGATTGATTTTACACTAGAAACTGTGACATTTGCTATGAATAAACCAGATTAGTTGGTTGCGTTGGTAAGGTACTAGGCACAAGTAACATGAAATTCTTCTAAGTCTCACTTGGCTCAGAGAAATTAAAGCTTCTCCTAAGAGAAATTAAAGCTTCTCCTACTATTATAGAAGCATACTAATTAAATTTTTTTGCAAGAGTAAGATTTACAATTGAAGTAAGAACAACTAATTAGGGAGGATTATAGCAGGAAACAATGTTTATGCACTTGCCAAATATTACAACAGTTTCAATGGTCCAAACGAATTATCATTCTTCACGACTATACAATTGGAAGAGAAGATTCTCTGTTGCAAAATCCAGAGATAGTAAAACCGTGAAAGTATAAAAAGGCTACATTGAGGAAAGTAAAACAATGTGACAAAGGAACTAACAAATCACGGATTCAATAAGCACTGATCTCAAGTCTAGTAAGGTCACAGAATAAACTTACAGAAAACTGATTAGACATCATAGGTGATGGATCGCACATTCCAGGAGTAATTTGCCACTGCTTAAACTCACCCCTGAAGCCCCTAGATATGCTCCCACTTCTGCAATTACCAACAGCACTGATCAACACTAAGCTACGAAAATATCGCCAACAAAACCAAATACCAGAGACTATAAATGCTGCTATATACCCCATTCCTCCAAGTGGAACACCTTGGGATGCAGATGGTTTACAGTTCTCCCTAGTGAAATGATCGATAGGTGCTTTCTGCAGAAATCACAAGTTAAATCTCCACAACAAAGACCAAAACTTTGAATGTATATCAAGAGATTCTAGTGGTCCAAGGAGTTACCCTTCCATGTGAGGCCTCTTCTCTAACATAAGACCATAATCGTATCCCCAAGCGTACCTGTAGGAAACTCCAAGACAAATCACATTCTGAGGTTTTGGCATCAAATAAAGCACACAACTACAAAATGAAGGCAAAAACCATAACGAAAACGTCTTGGGAGTACCATTTTAATGGCTTCTCTAAACGTTATAGTGAACTCTTTTAAGATATTCACATGGCAGTTTAATCTCCTCCACCATGCGTGTGGTGGCGGAGCAGCACTATCGAAATCGAGCTACAAATTGATTGAAAATAAAAATATATAAAGTCAAGTTCCAAATTTTTGTGTTTTTCCAAATGGAAACGAATCTTATCTTAAAAATATTGACTTACTAATTGTAGAGTACTTCTGTTTATGAATTCCTCAGGCGGCCATGAATGCTTTCTCCGGTGAAACAAAGTTGCACCCACCATTTTCTGACTAAAAATTCTCGAAATTCTTACACTAATACGACCAAAAAGAAAATTGGGTCTAAGTAACGAATTCAAACACAAAATTAAGCATAATCTGCGTCTCGCTTCACTTTGAATAAAATCAAATTTACCTTGTTTTTTTTTGTTTTACATGAAAGGTCAGGGAAGAAATTGCGCCAGAAGCAGCTCAAATTGAAATCAATCTCGGCCTTAATTGTTGCTGTCAAATTCAAGGATTACGGAATAATAATTCCAGATGACCAAACGCATCACCGTAAAGACGAATCGGAGAGTCGGGGAATCAGAAATCCAAACTGAAAAACAAACCAAAGCCCAGAACAATGATCAATCAGATCAAATCAAACAAACCGTGAATATCGAATCAGAAAAACCCGATCAGAATTAGAAAAGAAGAAGATAGAGAGGAAGTTGTCGAAATCATTCGGTGATTCTCTTGATTACCTTAATCCCTAATCCTGAATTGCTGACTGAGGAACTCGAGATCGAAGAGACATAGAAATGAAGGTGGGTTGATCTGAATCACTTTGAAAGAAAGAGTAGAGAGAGTAGATCGAATCTCTTTGTTCATATCGAAAGAAAGAGTAGAGAGAAAGAATTTTTTTTTCTTTTGTTGGTTTTTGTTAAAAAGAGTCCATTAAATCAGAGATTGACACGTTGTCGTCTTTAAACAATTCTGAAAATTGTCAATTAACAACCGTTTCTACTCTTTTCTAAATATTAATCATTTATTTTCTTTATTTTTTACTTTAACAAACCCTTAAAAAACTCTTAAGAGACACCGTTGGACATGCTCTAAGAGCATGAGTATTACAGAGCCAGAAGAAAAATTCTTAATAATATTTTATTATTAAAAATTAATTTTTGAAAAAAAACGATTTTAAAAAAAAGAAAAAAAAAAGAAAAGATGACCAATCATATTCTGTCACGCTACAAAAGAGTCAATTCAATAAACTCTATGCGGAAAATCGACTCACCTCTGCACATTTGCCATGTCATTTTTTCTTTTTTTTTCTTTTTCTTTTTTCTTTAGAACTCTTAAAAAACTGTGCAATACTCATGCTCTAAAAACCGTTGAATTGAACCAAGAAAAATCTCATAGATTTAGGGCACCCACAATGGTCAGTTTATGATAGTTTCTAATTAAAAAAGAAAAGGAAAAATGAGTTGACAAGAAAAAAAATCAGAATCGCCTTCAATATTGAAGTCTAAATAATCGATTCTCATAATATTTATTATATTAATAATATATTTAATATTAATATATACTTAAGAACTTTAATAAAGATTCACTATTATAATTGCTCTTAGTATCAATGATGCAACCTTTGATGGCCGTTTATTAGTAGGTGCTACTAGAGTATGTATCGCTCTCGCCACGCGTAGGCATGCAGACAATTGACAAGATCTTTATTTCTTATTAATAAATCCTTATCTTAATTGTTATTGATAAATAATCTTGAGAATGTAGTTTAATGAAAAATATTGATTTGTTTTAATTTGATTGGTTAAAATCATTTTTCTATCCTAATTAAATGTAACATGAAAATAATGATGTGTAATAATGATGTAATTGTGACATGGCATTTAATAATACATGTAATTTATGACATGGCAAAAAGATTTTTTGTGATATTTACATGAATAAAAAATTTAATAACATGACAAAATTTAGTATACTAATAATTAAATCTGGAATGATTCGTCAGATGCATTACGAATGACTTGATATTATTATACATCTATATGGCTAATAGTCGATGAATTTTGTACTGAACGTGATGATTTTAATATACATATATATATTATAATACTATGGATAATACTATATTATATATATTAAATTTACTATAGCTCTGTCGTGGACCACATTAACTTTCCATATAAATACACACATATCTATATATATATATTATAATACTATATTCATATGAAATAAATGCACATATATTTTCATATATTTCAGTAGGCAAAATTATAATAACAAAATTATATTGATCAAATTGTTTACTTAATCATTCATACTTTTTGTAAAGGCGGTGCTCCATTTACGTGCACATATCTTTTCACATATTTAAGTTGACAAAATTACAATAGCAAAATAAGATATTATTGTGATCTTCGGTGGAACATTCAAAATTTAAAAATATTAGTTTAGTTTAAAAATAATAACAAATATAAATATAAGATTTTGATTTAATAATCCTCCACATTATTTTCGTAACGAAAGTTGAATATCCTAAAAAATCAACGTGCATCTAATGAAAAACCAAAATCATTATCTATTATTTGAAAAGTTTAATGTCCATTTAATAAAAACCAAAAAGATCTATATAAAATCACGTTCATCCTAAATAACTAATGAAAAAGTTAAATACTTGGATCCTTATATAAGAAAACATCACAATACACATGAGTATCAAACAAATCAAACCATAACTCAAAGTGAGGGCATGACAATTCTACCAATCCATTTATTCTAAATCGAATATGGCTAAAATGAAACTTAAAGGTTGTATAGACTCCAATCGTGAGTGTAATGAAGCAAAGTTTTATCGCTACACAGAATTTCCAAACATATGGGTTTAGCATCAAAAAATTAAGAAGTGGCTCTCTCGCAACAGAAAAAACAATGTTCCCTACGATATCAGCCTTCCAGAAGTCTCAAAAGAATATAGTGAGCTTTTCGAAAAATAATAGGACAGTAAACAGAGTTTTATATTCAAACTTTTACTGAGTTTTATATTCAAACTTCGCTGAAACATGTCTTGCAATAAGGTTAATTGAAGCACTTGATGCTTAAGTGGAGATAGTTTTGCAATTATTTGCAGAGTCTACTTGATAAAATTATACATAGAAAAACCACACATATGAGTAAATCGAGATCAACAATGACGAAATCCTTGAAGAAATAATGCTTTAAATTGAGGAATATTATAGGAAGACAAAGAAAATGAAAAACGTTTGTTCAAACAAAAAAGACAGAGAAGATAAAATTTGCATCTTGATCCGCAAATCCGAAGAAGGTAACCAGCTATCCACGGGTTTGATCTATTTGACCCTCTAACATAACGGGTCAAGTTTTACAAATCCTGATCATGGAAAAATAATTTTTGTGTTTTCCAAATTTAATTATTATATTTCAAGTCTGTCTCAAAATATAAATAAACCTTTTGTTATAACAAAATGTTAGATCATATTTTATTATTTAATTTAAAGACTTATAATTCAAAACATTGACCTTGAGTTTCATATCCTACAATAAAATTAAAATATTTAAAACGAATTTAGATATTATATTTAGATAATTATATTTTTAAAATTGTTCATGTCCGTACATGCGTGCGGGTCAATATCCTAGTTAGCTATTAAACGTTGAAAAACTCTTAAAATCTAAGAATCCGGTTTGTTGTGTTTATTGGTTCGATGAGTATTTCTTTAATCCGCTTCTCAAATCTGGTCTTCTGTTATAAACCAGACCGGATAGTCATTCGAATCACAGTCGAACCGGTTCAACCGCCTGGTCTGGTCCGCTTTCGAATACTTGTGAATGAGTGTTTTAAAAGCGTTTGATTGTTAGAATGAGCTCTTGCTTGATTGGCTCTTGTTTATAATTTGCTCAAGGCTGAATATTTGGGTAGAGATTATTAATTAAAGAAAAAAAATAAAAAAAGGGAGTTGGGTGAAAAATAACAAAGACAACGGGAACATGTAAGTTTGTATGTTGTATATATATATAAATGTATATAACTAAGTGGGATTGAATGAGTTTTCTCCCACTCTACACAGTCATAGATGCATATATAATGTAGAGTAGAGTCATATGCATTGCATAAAAAAACATGCATGTGATTGACTTAGGAGACTAGAGATCATATGCAGTGTTTAATTCGTTAGGATTTGACATTAAGATCTTTTGCGAAGCGGGCATATATTATAATCATATATACTCTAGCAGTCTTGAATATCGATTGTATACAGTTTGATATCTCATAAAAGTAAAAAAAAAAATGAAAGAGATGTTGTTTGTTTGTGGCGTTGCAAATGTTGATCATATATGACTGTTTATGTCAAATTCCAAAGCCAAGCCGGTATATTTTTTTGTTTTGTTTATAATGTTGCTTTTCAAAAGACTATATATCCAGAAACAAAAAGACTAATTAAGGGATCACCACTTAATTAGAGTCAAGACCGCGGAAGAACAAAAAAAGAAAAACTCTTGAAGCTATTAATAGTAATTCTCATTAAGTGGTGATACTTTTTTTCTCAAATTGATCATGGGACTAATAATAATAGTAAATCTGATCTTTGACAAACTAATAATAGTATAAACGACGTTCCTTATATAATAGACATGCAGTTGTGTAACTTGTAAGAAAATAAAAATATATATATATTTTTTTTGACAAGAATAAGATGACTAGTGGATGGAGAGTAGTTGTAGTATGTTGCCTCTTAATAATCTTCTTTTTATCAACCTTCTTTATTGGAATCGATTCGGCTAGAAATACTCCATCTTCCCCACTTGATTGTTTTGGAGTGATGCATAATCTTACTACTGCCAAATGCCGTACGGATGGGCGCCCTGGCCGGAATTAATGGATGATGCATGGGGCCTCCGGAGTACGGTTGACATGGACGATGTCACCTTATAGTACTAATTATATATCAGAGCTAAATATATACTACAACGTAGTAACTTATTATATTTGTTTTTGTGTGTTTTATTCTATATTTGGTAAGACCAATGCACATCATTATATTTTTAAAATTATAATCTACTATTTAATAGCGATTTTGTTGTTATAATAAAAGAATATGTTGAGGAGCGTACCAAAAAAAAAAAGAAAAAAAAAGATGTTGAGGACATTTTTTTTTGTGTGATGTTGGAATCTTGAGAAAACTCCAAATGACATATATGATATATATATATTAGGCTTTGTTTTTGGGATCGCAATGTAAGAGCAAAAGGTGGCGAGAAGAAGCGCACCAACGAACATAAGAGCCGTTGAGGTCAGGCCAGTCAGAGGAAGAGCAGCTTGTGTAATGGTGAAGCCAGAGTGAGAGAACTTGTTCTTGTTCCTCTTCTTTCAGCTCTGAGATCATCTTCTCCAACATTTTCTCCAGCTCCGCTCGTTCCGCGCTTCTCAACACCGGTTTATCCGCTCCGTTGCTCGCCCGGCACAGCAACGGAAGCCACGACATAAGCATCTTCTTCTTTATCTCTCTCCATTCCTCTTCCTCTGCTCCTCTTCCCATCTCCTTGGCTTCTTTGACCATCAAGGCTTCACGTATACGGCAAAACCCACTTTAACAAATAATGGGGCTTTTGTGGGCCTACTTATTATGGCCGTTAAAAATTATCAAATACCCAACCACAAGTTTGACAACATTACGTACCTAACCATCTTTATTTGCAGTACCAAAATAAATAATAAGCTTTAAAATGAAAACTGTATCTGGAAAGTCAAATATTTTACCCCAAATAGAAAGGACGAAAGAATATCCTGAATTGAAAAAATAGCATCGCGCTTCTTTCCAAATGGGGAATATATTATTCATTTGACCATATTTACGAAAATACTGTACTTGTGAAAAAAAGGGACAGAAAGATTACCAGAAATTTGGACCATTGAACATTGAAGCCTTGGTTCAGGCCAAAGAGCGAGCCGAGCCAAGTTAGAAGCTGAAGCCCATTTCTCAACGGCTTCATCGCCGTATCCATAAACCGACATCTTCTCCGCCAACCAAAGCAGCTCTGCCGCCAGTTTCTCCGCCGTTTCCGATGATTGTTCCGCCGCCTCTTCTCCACCCCAACCAGGGAATCCATCCCCAACGGCTCTAACCGCAGCCATCACCACCCGGTTTAATCCACGACGAACCGGTTCACCCGTATCTCTTCGGTTCCGCTCAACCGCCGCCTCTAGCCGGGCTAGCGTTCTACGAAACGACGCGTTTAGAACCCTACGATTCAAATCGAACAAGGCGGTTGAGTTCTCACCGTGATTCTCGTCGATTAGTCTCTCCGCCAGGGATCGAACCACTTCGTACTTTCTAGAATTCACCGGGATTTCATTCATCGCCGACAACAACTGCCAGATCGCTCGACCGATTCCCGATTCCGACGGGCAATCGCTGATCTCGAGCATCTTCTTATCCGTCGTGAACTTGAAAGCTCTCGTCGAAATCGAGTTAGGGTTCGCGAAGGGGACAGCTGAAGGAAGAGAGCGCAAGAAGAACACGAAACAGGAGACGAGAAATAGACGGAGCTTCTCTAGGAGCTTCGAGTTTCCGGGGATTTGGAGAAGAGATTCATCGGCGAAAACGACGACGGCGATGATGATGTTGCGGAGGAGCTGAGGAACTACAGAACCTGATGACAGCTTTTCCATTCTTCTCTTTGCAGTTACAATAACTCTCTTTCTTTTCCTTCTCTTTCGTTGGTTATAAATCATCCGACAGCTCTTTTTTCCATTTATTTTATTTTCCATACGCGCTTTTTTTTTAATCGAGGTATTATTATTTACTTTTTTCTTTTTATTTGGTGACTGGGACGGTGAAACTCCGGTAACCAAAATTGCAATTCCTTGAGCGGGAAGAAACTGGTCGTCCTTCGACTAGAATAACTGAGATTGCAAATATATAATCAATTCGTTCTCACTCAAGAGTCAAAGACAGTAATAAATAAGAAAATTTTGCAGACCAAAATCAATCACCGTGTAAAATGTCAAAAAAGAGAGAGAGAGGGACCAAACCGTTTGTAAAGCATATTGCGCAATGGAACTAAGCACAAAAGCCATTTTCCTACAAGACATGAATCTATGGGTACATACAACGGAGAAAGAAGATGGACCGAAACCCCCAAAAACCAATAAATAAACTCAACTACTACTATATATGTAGAGAGATTTCTTCTACTCCAGCTGTATTTACATGGAAAACCTAAAATGAAGTTAGAACAGCATTGTGATGACCCAGAGATTGCGTCTCTCTATGTACGGGTTTTCTCAGATTCAGTTGATCATCACTCAAATGCAAGAGACATGAAAGTGTCGTCATCCAAAAGAGAATCAATGTCTATTAGATCGCCTTCCTCGTTGTAATTCGCAGCTTCCTCTGTATTCCTATTGCTGTTGTTCATAGCTGAGCTAGAAGAAGCCTGCCCAAGAGTTCACAAAGGGTCTCAACTGTATGTCTCAACTATGTTGTTCGCTCTTGAATACACAATTTTGTTACCTCGTTCTCGCGGAATCCCTCAACGACCGTCAATAGCCTACGGTATTGGGCCCGTGCTTCTGGATATTGAGCCATAGACTTCACTCGGGTGAGTGCCTTTTGAAGCCTTTCCTCGGTTTGTTTCCTTCCTTCTTTCAGAAAATCATAGTCGTCATCTTGTTGGGGAGCACTTACTGGTTCTGGCGCCTTGGTGACTGTATCGCGTTTGAAACCGCGTAGCCCACTCCCTTTTCGCCTCCACCGCAAGATGATTTTCTCGAGTAGTCCCACGGACCAGATTATGGCTCGGTATTGTTTCCGGACTTGATGTCCTCTCACATGAGCCTAAAAAAGGATATCGATGAGATCCAGCGATTAGACAAAGCAGCAAGAGAAAACTAAACTTGTTTCAAGGAAAATGATTCCAACCTGAATCTTGACGATTCTTTGTCGGATCAAAAGGAACTCCTTCCTCTTCTTCCAACCACGGTATTTTTTCTGGATTTGAACTGCAGCGGCATGAACAGCGCCATTACTGTGTCCTGGCTTCTTAGTCTTCGCAGCTGCAAACGATACAGCTAACTCGTCGGATATATCAGACTCATTGTTGTTGTCACCAAACTCAGAGAGCTGTGTTTTCCGCTGGAATGACTGCATCCTGAAAACTTGGTGAAGGCGATCAGCTGCTTGTGTAGCATTCAAGACAGCAGTGAGTGAATCCTTCATCGACAGTGTTTCTGGTACATCACCATATCCCATTGGAGTAGCTGTACGCTCAGCTACTGTTTGAACAGCTTTTGCACCAGAGGAGTCAGTGGAGCTGTTTTCCTTGGCGTCCACTGTTAGCTTCTCAAGGTAGCTAGTGAGCGAAGACTCGGCGAGGAAACCGGAAATCCCCCTATGTCCGTTTCCATAAGCCAAGTCAGCAGCCGTTTTACCCAAAGGATGCTCTGGAGATGGGTCCGTCAATGCTCCAGCATCAGCACCCAGAGAGACAAGTGCAGCGACAGTATCCTCCCTGAAATTTAAGAGTAGACAGAGAGGCGAAACAGCTGTTAAGAGTTTAAAACGAATCGGTTTGAGAATTCAAGAGGAATGAATAAGAGAGAGATACAGCTCAGATCATAAGAAGATAAATGCTAAAGAAGTTTTATGAAACAAAAACCATCTGAAGGAAGATAAAGTCTGAGGTCCTTGCCTGCCACTGAATGCAGCCCAATGCAGAGCAGACCACCCATTTGAATCGCGGAAGTTGATGCTAACTCCTGCTGCTAAAATTGGTTTTATAGCCCAGTCATACCCCAGCGCTGCAGCAAGGTGTAGAACACCCTGTCCTTCTTCATCTAGTATATTTGGACCCTTTCCCTCTTCAGTCACTTTATGGATGAGCCATAAATATAATTTATCTTCAAACTCTTCCCTAATAAGTCGCTCTCTAGCTTCCAGCTCTGTTAAATCTTTCTCAATTGCCCCTGTGAGGAGAGACTCCTTTTCATCTTTTAGCAACATGATTCTACTGATTTTCCTTCGTTTCTCCCCAACACCTTCAAATATATGGTGTTCCTGAACCGAAGATACGCGAGCCAGCAGATTTTCAAACCGCAAGTGAAGTGATGCTTCATTTGTAAAGGCACCATACATGTCAGCAGTATTTAACTTTTTGGTAGACCCAGGAAGGAAATCAAACTCTCGTACTTCACTGCAAGAAAATCTGTCAGAACATGTAATGTAGAATGGGACTTGACCGACTTCATGCGGCGGAGCATGACAACAAAGAACACCATCTACTAAAATCTCAGCCGGAACCTCCACTTCTCCAAACATGCATGACCAGCTATAGCTAGTTACTTCCTGGGGAGTCAACAGAAATGTCCCAATAACCATGACCTGTTCCACAGTTAAAAGGGTAGATGAGAAAGAAGTTATCTCCCAGCAAACCTCAGAAAGCAAAAGAGCTGAAAACTAAGATCTACAAAAATGGTAATGCCAGTTCATCAACTATACAGAACACAGAACACAGAACAGCAGAATAAAACTGCTGCTCCAAATCATATATGGTACTTTGGAAGGCACCACTTGCTGAGAGACTGGATTATTGCACAGAAAAAGTGTTCAACGACAAAAGCTTTAAAGTTCTTACCAGTGAAGAAAAACGAAACCACATTTACCAAAAAAACAATTTGGCATATTGCATTTAACCAAAAAACCATTAGTCAGTGCTACACCACAAAACCAATTTTCTGAATATAAAATAAAAATTACCTCAACTTCTGAGTCAGTCTGAGTCCATTTGGGCCAAAAGTCGATTATGGTGAAGCGCTGATCCTTGGATAGGGAAGGGCTTAAAGAAGACGCAGCTGCTGCAGTTTCAACGGTGGCCCACGCAATACCTCCAGATGAAGACTGCATCTGCAAGTCCTCCATCTCGCCAAGTTCGTTACTAACCCACCGAGAAAAACTGTCAACCTTTTTCAAACTATCCTCTTTCTTTAACAATGATTTCCTTAGAGGTAGCGTTTGGTTTACACTTGCTTCATATATGAGATCCTCAGGGCCTAATTTAGGTATATATGCTGCTTCAATACTTGTAAACGGAGCTTGAAAACTACCCTCAATAGGCTGCTGATTTTGACTGCCAAGAAGACCCGAAAATGTCCCCAAATTTTCATGTGCTCTTTGCCCAAGTAAGGCCAGATCAGTACCATCTGTCATTCCAGAATGTAAATCCATGGACCATTTTTGCAATGGCAAGCTGTCCTGAACTGGAGTCTACAGGCACGAGAATATTTCTGTCAAAAAACATTGACCATGTCTCCAATCGGCGGCTTAGCCAATAGTAATAAAAACATACAGACAATTGATATTGCACCAAGATTATGATTTGCAATAACTTATATCGCGAATTTTTCCAAAACAAAGATTCTTAAGCTTTATATTTTCTGCAGGGTACTTCTCCCACTTTTGTACATTTCTTTGCTCACAAAAAATCTACATAGGTTTTAAATGAATAGCTTAGATCCAATACCTGCCAATTGACTTGGTTTTGAAGAGGAATTCTGAGATTCTCTGCCGTTAACAGAGAACCTTGCTCTGTATTCCCTTCCATGGGGATTAATCCAGCACTAGAAGGCTGTGTCTGAGTTAACAGAGCATTATAAGGTAGATTCTGGTATCTTGCCAATGAATTCTCAAAGGAAGCATCCCATGCTGGGACATCAACTGATCTTTGGGAGTCATTTTCTTTCACTCTATTCCCATGAACCTGCGGAAATATTCCAATGCCAGGAGCTGATGTCCAACCATCTCGATTTCCTAGAAAGGGAAGACATTGTTAGCGAAGTGGTAAGGCAAGGCAGCCTGTAAAGTAGAAATCAAATGTAGTACCCAAAATAGAGGTCGGATTATAAGAATTCATTGTGCTAGCATTCTGCTGATGTCTTATCTGAGAAGCAACAGTTTGAGGTTCAGGATTTGCTTGCAAACTGGAACTTGCTTGACGACTATCCCCTGCATCAAGACTGATATAAGTTTGTTTGAAAACCAAGAGCAGTAATACAATCAACCACAGAGGCTCAACCATATAACAGAACCACATTTCTAAACAAAAGATACCAAGGCACATAAAATAAAAGAGAATTATATACCAGAATCAGCATCTTCACATAGTGGTGACATTGTGCTGGATGGGGTTGCTGTTGAATCAATATTCACAGAAGTGGTGGTGCCACTCAGAGAATTTGAATTGTTTTCTTTAGTTCCACCGGAACTCATCCGGTTACCCTGTATAATAGCATGCAGTACAACATTAGATGAATATATCAAAACCACCACAGAAAAAAGGGTTGACTGATGAATATTCATATTCTAAGAATATATTAGTACAGTAGCAAAAGAAAAGCTATACCTTAACCTCCAAGTAGTGAACAAAAACAATATGCATCAGATCCCTGAACCCATAAAAACAAAAGGACATTAGCGGGAACACAAAAATGAAGAGAAACACAAAGAACTACTCATTCATTAGTTTCACACCTAACCCTTGGTTCATGTTTGGATGACTAGGCTGCGGTATTATCAGTGCATTAGTCTCGATTTAACCTCACAAGCCAACACATTGATATTTTTATAGCAGGAAAAGAAAAATTACAATCACGACATATTTCCTTCTCTTCCCTTTCTATTGCTCGTCTTCTACTATTCTAATAAGAAATGCGTTCCCAGCAAATTACCAGATTGAAGAAAAATGCGGTGTAACCAGTGAACAGATCACGGAAATGCTGAAGAAGTAACAATTTTCAAACAGAACAAAAATATGAAATATGGACAAACATAGACTTACTGTTCAAGCATCCAGTAGCAACGCCTCTGAAAATTCTCATTGTCTTCCCCATGTGCATAGTAACAATGTAACACATCAATGCTTCCTACCTATATATATATATATATATATACTTACACAGCGTTACTCTCACGCTTTTAAAATATCACTAAAAATTAGCGAGGAGACAGCAATGGAAATACAAACCTTGAGCTTTTCATGAGCCTCTTTCACCGTTTTACCATCTTTCTTCTTCCTCCAGTTGTGCCCATCTTTCCTGAAATATCTGAGCACCTTCCTATCGAAGAGAAAGAGTGAACCACCTGGAAGAGCACGACGAGATCTCAGTCAATTTTATAGAAGACAAAACAGTAGTAGACTGTGTTTTCAAAGCGCGAAAATGAAGGGAAAAAAACATACTTGGTGGTCGGTTGGGAGGCTCTGACGCAATATGAAACTTCTGATGGTTCCGAAGAATTTCACAAATCTCAGCAGGCCTCAGCCACCTGTGTTGTGCTTCTGACAGCAGCTGTTCGATATCTACAAGTCCACAAAAGGGACAAGAAACACCATTAATGCTACAACATTGAGAATCTGGATACAGCTGCAGAGCTAAACAGCGGGTAACAATCCCTTGCGCTAACCATTGCCAATCTATCTATCAAATCACAGCCAGAAATTTTCATTTCGACTCAAGTTTAGTCGCAATTCAGATCAAGTGACACAGTTTCGACCAACGTAGCAAACAACAAACCCTAAGTGACAATAGCCAAGTCCCTCTCGAGCTAGAAACCTCCCCCAAAGCCAAAATGCCGCAGCAGAAAAAACAAAAGGGAGGAGCAAAATCCTAAAAATGATCAGATCCAAACGACACCAAAGGAGTAAACAACACGAAATGAAAATAAGCCCAAGGTGGATAGATTAGAGACCTAATCGAGGGGCAAATCCGAACGATCCGCGATCCGCCATGGAACATAAACCCAAATTCCACCAGAGATCTCTTCTAGCTTGTCGCAGTCACAGGGGATCAACGAACCCTAAATCGATCTGGGTCTGTATGAAACTGAGCTAACTCTTATAGTTTTTCCCCCCTTTTCGAGCTTTCCAGGTGTGAAACCAACTCGATTTTTTTCTTTTCTCTGTTTTCTTTAATCCCTTTCTTGGGAGCGAGCGTCGAAGGAAATCGGGAGGAAAGCGCCGATGTGGTGGTGGAGGTTGTTTATAAAACAGTGAGGAAAACACTACTATCCAGTAAGAATCTTACACGTGTATACACGGATGAAATTTGTGCACGTGTTCTTTTGCTGAATGAAATGTAATTATTCTCATCTACTAGACAGTAGTACATAAATACCTATGCATTAAACTGAAAAATCAAGAGATGGAAGTTTCCGAACCGTCTGATTATGATGGAAATTGCACCTCATAAATTAAATAAATAGACTAATTAAATGTTATCAAAAGCCTTATTCCAAAAAGGACAATAAACTTCCTATTCAGGACTTTTCTTACAACTAAATTTAAGAAAACCGAACCAGAGAACATATCGGACCGGACGGTTCAATGCCAAACTAGATTTCACGTGCTGAGTCACGTCGAAGTTCGGACAAGCTGGCTTACATACGCCAAATCCAAATGTTCTTCATTCGCCACAAACTCAATTCATTACCATCAAAAGGTTTACTTAATACGAAAGCAACGCGTTAGGTCTAAACCACGTGTATTTAGCAGCATTCGCCGCGAAACAGCTGACCTCACCTTTTCTCATTTCGCGAAATTTTATTTTTGTGTGTTTCTTATTTCCTCTCCACCTACACCGTTTTTAGAACTAAAAACAGAGAAGGATGGTCACTTTTCATTCAATCAGACCACAACCTCTGAACGGCTGGAAACCTGACAAGTGAATCTACAAGTAACACAAAAATCACAGGAACATAAGGAAGTGATCTGGAACGAGAGTGTACCGTGGTGAGATGAATCAACTCGTTGCGACGACAGCTTTACGATCTCTGCTTGTCCGCGGCGGAGGAAACTGTAACATGGTCGTGAGGTCTGTTTCGGCCGCCTTCGTGGTGAAATCTCCTGAGGACATAACTAAACCGATGCGAATTCATGATTGGCGCGGCGGTTTTGGCTATTTTAAGATCGATTCGAAGCATGTGCAAGGTGTGCGTTAGTACATATATAGATAGCTAGGATATGTATATTCTAAAGTTTGAACAGTGCCCTATATACTACAGAGATGAGTTCTGCTTCGGCTATGGAGAAGAAGGATGAAAAGAAAGATGAAAATCCGAAGGTCGAGGCGGTGAAGAAAGATCAAAACGACGGTGGATCGGTGGCGGTTCCGAGTTATTGGGGAATAGAGACATCGAAGATGAAAATTACTCGGAGAGATGGATCGAACTGGCCTTGGAACTGTTTTATGGTAATTCTAAATATATGTATACATATCGTAGACAAATTAAGCGTCTATGTAATATTTATGAATTATCTATAACTTGAACAGCCATGGGAGACATATCAAGCAGACTTGTCTATAGATTTGAAAAAGCACCACGTTCCGAAGAATATCGCCGACAGAATCGCTTACCGGACAGTCAAGCTCCTCCGTATTCCCACCGACATGTTCTTTCAGGCATGATAAAATAATAATGTACAATGTCGAGAAAAAAAATGTTTAGTTGTATTCTGTTTTAGAGTTTGGTTGTTTCCACTTTCCAGGATTTTCAGTTAATGCGGTTATTAGTGTTATAATGTTTAAAATACTATGCATACAGTATTTTATTTGTTTGTGATCGGCAGAGACGATACGGATGCAGAGCAATGATGCTAGAGACAGTAGCTGCTGTACCAGGAATGGTCGGAGGAATGCTCCTCCACCTAAAATCAATCCGGAGATTCGAACATAGCGGCGGTTGGATCAAGGCGTTGCTCGAAGAGGCAGAGAACGAGAGGATGCATCTAATGACAATGATGGAGTTGGTCAAACCCAAATGGCACGAGCGTCTTCTAGTGATGCTTGTTCAAGGGATTTTCTGCAACTGCTTTTTCCTCTGTTACGTGATCTCGCCTCGCTTGGCTCATCGGATTGTTGGATATTTAGAAGAAGAAGCTATACATTCTTACACCGAGTTTCTTAAAGACATTGACGATGGAAAGATCGAGAACGTTGCCGCGCCTGCGATTGCGATTGATTATTGGAGATTGCCTAAAGATGCTTCGTTGAAAGATGTCGTTACTGTGATTCGTGCTGATGAAGCTCATCATCGAGATGTCAACCATTTTGCTTCCGTAAGTTCCAAACACACACAAACCATCGTTGTTTTTGTTAGTGTTACAAACCCCAAATGGTGTGTTGGATTATTGTGCAGGACATTCGCAATCAAGGAAAGGAACTGCGAGAAGCAGCAGCTCCCATTGGTTATCACTAGCAAAGTTCCAAAGAGTTAACTTCTATAGTTTTCTTATTGTTTTGGTTTATACAATGTATTAGAATCAATCGTTAGAATTCTGCAAGGTTTATCCGGTTGAGTTTAGGAATAATATGTTTGAACAAAAAAGTGTTTCAGATTGTTCAGCCGCGTCTCAATCGCAAATCACAAAAAACTTTTAACAAATTTTAAACAAAAATTTAGTCACCGAATGTCTTATTTTATTTCCGTGCCGGCGAGCTTATCTGTTCTCTATACCAATCGGTACGAACCAAAATCGGTACGATCCGGTTGGATTGTAATTTTCTTTTTATCTTTACCGCCTCTTTTTCTATTCGAAGGGCATAACTGCAATTAACGATAAGCTATAGGGCTAAATTAAAGTAACCCGTATCTTGTAGATTCCATTGCTTCATAGGCCATCTTAAACCTAATTTTACACTCTCTCTCTCTCTCCCTCCCACTTTCTCCGCCGGCGGGAAAACCATGTCGCACTTCGGAAGGTCAGGTCCGCCGGACATCAGCGACACCTACTCTCTTCTCGTCCTCAACATCACCTTCCGTATAATTTCTCTCTCTCTCTCTGTAACACTGGTCCTGGTTATTGTGGTTCCGAGAGATTTAGGGTTTTGTTCTGTGTGTAGGTACGACTGCAGATGATCTCTATCCACTATTCGCAAAGTACGGAAAGGTCGTGGATGTCTTTATCCCCAGAGACCGAAGGTCCAATTTCGTCTTGTCCCTTTTCTACAATTTGCTCTATCCTCTAGGTCTCTTCGAGTCCTAGTGAGAAATTAGGGTTTCTTCCTTGTCTTTCTGATATTGAAATCAGTTCTTGGATGCGTATTGTTCTGCTATTATAGGACTGGTGATTCGCGTGGTTTTGCATTCGTTCGCTACAAGTATAAGGACGAAGCTCACAAAGCAGTGGAAAGGCTTGATGGTAAATCATCCACATCTTTCTTTTCCTTTGTGTTGTTATATGCGCTTGGTGTGTAGATGTAACATCAAGTCTCTGTCCTCATTTCAGGAAGAGTTGTCGATGGCAGAGAAATCACTGTTCAATTCGCAAAATATGGCCCGAATGCTGAAAAAATGTAAGTTTCTTCAATCTCCTTCGACTTGATTTATCCGTATATTCAGCTTTCATTGCTTTTGGTCTGCCAAACACAGTTCATGCCTTATCAGCTAATCTAGTTTGCTACTCACTACTGCTTCATATGAAAGACTGGTGCTTGCGTATACTGTATTTTGATTAGCTTGTAATTGTGATTTCAGTTCTAAAGGAAGAGTTGTGGAACCACCTCCAAAGTCACGAAGGTCAAGAAGCCGTAGTCCTCGAAGGAGCGGTAGTCCGCATAGACGCCGTAGTCCTCGGAGAAGCCGCAGTCCCCGCAGGAGGTGAGTTTCTTCTCTTATCTGTTTTTTAAATCGATGGTGAGGTGAACCGCATGTAGTTTATGACTGTATTATATTATGACTCAGTTAGCTTTTGTTACTTGAATCATCAAAGAATGCAAAACTTCCATCTCAGACCCAAGAACAGTATGCGTCTGAATAACTCTAATGATCGAGTTACATAAATTGTAGGTCTCGAGATGATTACAGGGAAAGAGACTACCGGAAGAGGAGCAGGAGCAGAAGCAGGAGCAGGAGCTATGAAAGACGTGAAAGGCATCATGATAAGGACAGGGATCATCGCCGGCGCAGCAGGTCTCGTAGTGCCAGCCCTGATGACAAACGAAGAGTCAGAGGCCGTTATGATGATGCGAGCCGCAGCCGCAGTCGCTCCTTGAGGTCTCTTCCTTTCTGAACCTCTTTTTTATCTTTTGTATTTTGTTTCCATGTTGTTGCTCTATACAATGTGAAAGTTATCCTTCCTGATTCCAACTTTTTGACATGCAGTGCATCTCCTGCTCGCCGCAGCTTCAGCCCTAGAAAAGCATCTCCTGAAAGGCGAAGCAAAGAGAGGTCTCTATCTCCTGCTCGCCGCAGCCGTAGCCCAAGGAGTCCCTCTCTGCAAAAGGCTTCTCCTTCTAAGGAGGAGCTGTCTCCCGAGAGGAAGAGCAATGATAGGTCCCCATCTCCTCCTTCTCCTCGGGACAAAGCTCGTAGTCAATCTCCTTATGCTGAGGTGAGCTAAAGGCACCACATAGTCGTAGCTTTTATATATAAACCACCAATGAAAGTTTATGTCTGAATCGTGTTTTGGTTACATACCTTGCAGGAATGAGCGCATACTTGTGAAGGAGACGTGGTGTATGAAAACATGTTTTGCTTGTAATGATGATGTTTCATCTTCAAGCAATGGGAACTTCTACCCTTTGTAGTATTGGTTGCTTTTCCGTAGGTGACCTAAACTCCTACTGTGTGTTTGTTTCCTGCTATCTTTCCAGTTTAGTATATTGCGACTTCCTTAGTTATCTATATATGTGCAAGGATTGTTTCGTTTGAGATTTCACAGCTCTAATAGACTCTGGTCTGGTTGAATCTCCTTTGTTTTGCTATTTTTAGTGTTTATGGTATGGAATTCATAGGATGCTAACTTCATTGCATGGCTTGTCTTGGATTTTTCTAGTCTGGTTCGAGAAAAGAATTGACTTGGGAAGATGGACACAACCATGTTGAGATTGTAGCTGTTGATGCTGTTTATGAAACCGTAGATGATTGATGTCATGATCGATGATAGATGCGGTCGCAGCAATCTGCTGAATCTCTCCTACCATATATATAGTTAGCATCATTGTTTCTAACTTGTTGTCAAAAGTCAGAACTATGAAGGGTTTGGTTTCGTCGGTCGATTGGCCTGAGTTTTTAATCCGAATTTTGAAAGTTCATCGTTTCACTTTTTTTTTTTTTTTTTTTTGTTTCTCTCTGCCTCTCCTGTTTATGACTCTTTTTCTTCATCAAAAATTCTTAAAAATACAAATATGAAGAAGCTGTGTAAGCTACATGTTTTGGTTTGGGTTAAGCAATGGTGAGATGAAGAAGCTGTGTAAACTCCAACCTTCGAGTCTCGTGGTAAAAAGTCTTGTACTTGTTTGGCCAATAAGTCAACCAAATAGTCCCTCTCAATTCCCACTCCATTCTTCTCCCCATTGCTCCTTTCCCAATCTTCCACACCACACTCTCTCCATACTCATCCCCTGCGAATATGATACCTCCTCTCCTCGTAAACGACCTATACGCCCTTGCGTACCGATCCTTAAACCAAGACCTCGGGCTCATTATCGAAAACCTCGACGGCTTGGTCGAGAAAACCTCTCTTCCCCCGACGCTGCTGTCGTACAGAATCCAGTTTAGATTGGCCGTGTAGCCGAGCACGGACTGCTCGAACTTCCACGGGGTCATCGTCATGGTCGAGGCTTCCCGTCCCGCTACTCTTAGCCCTAGCGAGGTTGGTGGGTCGAACGAGCCTTCTATCGATCTCTCGACCTCGAACTCTCGTCCCGGGTTGTTTGATGATTTGCTTACCGAAACGCTTATGAAATCGGTTTGGAGCGTTGGGGTTAGCTGCAGAGAGATCCTCGACGGGAAATGCTTCTCGTGTTCCCCTGCTCCTTTTCTCGACATCAGCCTCTCGTTTACAAGCTTTATCACATCGTATCTGTATGTATGCGCAATATTCACAATTGTTAAAACGAAAGTTTTTTGTTGTTGTTTTCTTTGAAAGACATAAAACAAGTTTGTTTACCTGATGTTGTCTATCTTCACGATCACATCGATCCACCTGTCTCTAACTACAACTTTGTGATTGAACTGCATCACACCTTCAAGCTGATTAAACTCGAGAGAGAACAACAATCTCGAATCAGCCACTGGGTTGCTCGATCTTTCCACTTCCATGGCTTCGATCGGACAATACAATTGCACTTTCCACAGTCCATAAGCAGAAACAGCGTAAGAGAACAAAGGAGTTGTTGTTGTCTTGGTGGACTGACAACGACGACGCTCAATCATCCAATTCGTGATCGCTAAATTGACCGATCTCATCCACTGTTCTTCCAGGTTAGACCCAAGAAGTTTCATCAGGGATACCGTGGCTTGCCTTGCGTGACAAGTTACCAAATGGTTCTTGAGTGTATTGAGGCAGGATTCTCGGAGATACAGAGGAGCTTCGTAGACGCAAACGATGAACGAGAGAGTAAGGATCACGGTGTTGAATATATCTTTAAGACCGTTGATCAACGATGAATCGGGGTTAGGTATTTTGATGGTTGAATAATTGGAGCTATTAGAGCTATAGGTTAAGATAGATTCAACGAAATTGAAGAGGAGAGAGATGATTGTTTGTTCATCAAAAGGGTTTGGTGAGTTTGGGTTGATGTTGAGTTGTTGTTTAGAGGTCCAAAGATACAAAGGAGGATGATTATTGGATTGGACGATGATGGAGAAAGTGGGAATCGTAGGGTTTGGGTTTCTTTGTGCTATGAGATTTAGGGTTGAATTTGGGAAATCTGAAGCTGAGGGGCAAATGCAGAAGGAAAGAGAGGTTGTGTACCATTTGGTGATTTGTGGGATGTTTTGTATCCAAGTGAATACATCAGGGAACTTCTCGGACATCATTTTTTTTGTAATGTTGTTGTTGCTTGCATTTACACACATATATATAGATGCATGTTCTAGGGGGTCATGGACATATTGATTCATTCATGTGCAGGATTTTGCAAAAAGAAAAAATGAAGTGATAAGCTTTAAAAGTTGCTAAAAGTGGAATAATAAACTTTGGCATTTCGTAGGAATATTTCATATATGAAGGGTTTGGATATACTCGTATAGTGAATAATTATCACAACTATCACTTCAAGAATTTTATCTTTTTCATTGGTATCAACAGTGATTAAGCTCTATTCTATATTCTTGGGGAGAATAATGATATTTTAGTAGTTTTATCAGATATTGATGAATGTCAGTATCGATTTGTTTTTTTTTTGTTTTGTTAATTACTAATAATGAAAAATTTGAAAATTATTCGAAAACTAATAACTTTTTATGATTTTTTTCTTCTTCTAAAAATGTTGCTATGATTACGAAAATATTTTTAGTATATGGGAGTTTTGATCGAGTTTTTCTTTCTGAATATGATAGGGATGGTTACTGTGCTATGATGATATTGATATGCATGGCGAGAGTTGACTGAAAATGAAATTCAGATTCTTTATCATAATCAAAAAGGGTTTACGTTCTTTCTTTCTTCCAACTGTAACTTGTAAGAAAATAATTATCAGCCATATATTAAATTAACCACTTCCGCAGCGTGAAGTAAACAAAAACAACAATGGCTTTTGCATTAATTTACGTATTCCATTGCTTCACTCATCTAATCATCTACATGATGGTAAATTTAGTTTCAGTCCCAAATTTCTAGCTTATTTTTTTCTAACCTTACTAAATTGAGGATTTGGTACTCCTTTACGTATATATTTTTCATTTTTTTGGGAAACAAATTTCGTGTACTATTTGGAGAAGATAGTTTCTTTTGATACAAGCATACACGCACATACCAAAATACGATAAGAAAAGTCCTCATAACTTTTTTTTCATTGGTGTTTTCTCTTTACTGAATTTAGTAACAAAATTAAAAGCAGAACATGAGTTTCAACAAAATTAGATAATCTAACACAAGTTTCTACCAAAAATTAGATAATCTAGAGAGACACTCACACGCTAAAGCCATCGATCCATCCACTGCTTCGAATTCCTCTTTTGTTCCTTTTATTCTCTTTTTGGGAGAAATTAGATAAGAAATTGGTTCCTCAGCTGTCAAATTAAACGCAGTTTCTTGTTCCACACGGCCGGAGATGCGGGTTTCTGAATCTGGCATCGTAGCACTATCGGCATACGTGTGAAAGCACACACGTGTGTAGAATCGAAAGCATCAGGATCATTATAGGCCCACGAGACCATATAGGAAAATGCATTTTAAAAATTTTATCCTCTGAGAAGTGTATATGAATGATAGAGAAGAAACTGTCGTCACAAACTCAGATTACAGACTTTACAAGTGAAAGATAAGAAAACGCATCATCATCCATTCACGCCGCTTTTTCCCAACCGCTCTTTTCCGCCGACCGTTTGGATTATAGCTTCCAAGAGCTTAATCTCGTTATCGCGTTTCGATATCTGTTCTTGCATCCCTCGGAGCTCTTCCATATGCAGCTTAAAAACCTCTGGCACAACAGTTACAAATCAAACAATCCCATTTAGTCAAACCAGAGAATATGAAACCGGAACTGGTGCATCGAACCAAGAAAGCGCATTGATAATAGATTGTAAGTGATTTTGAGAGTACGTACTTGTGGTGTTTTCGAGCTCTTTGGTGACCTCATGGGCACGTGATTCAGCAGCTTTTTGAGAGGACTCAGCTTGGCGTTTTTCAGACCGAGCATGAGCAGCAGCTGTAATGGCAGCATCTAGCTCTCTTTCTAGTGTTTGTACCCTTTGCTCAAGAACCTAAAATGTTGAATAGAGTAACGAAAAATCTGAATCTTATCACTTATCTTACTCGGACACTTGATGGTGAAACCTAAAGGTCCTGCCTTTCAGGATTTGGTGATCATTTGCACCATCAATAGACCACAAAATCGAACTACGAGCTCAATTTGGTGAGAATTATAAAACAAATAATGTGGTAATCACTGATCCAAAACGTTACTAGTGATCAGGAGATCTTCAATTTGGTGATGAAAGCACCAAGATTCTAATTTCTGAGCTCCTATTTTACCCCAGACAGCACAATGACACTGCAAGTTTCGAAATTCACCATCTTATTCAATTCCAGATTCACACTATTACACTGAGCGAGAGTAATTCTCAAACCTAACTAAGGGCGGTGATTCACAAGAACAACCAGATCAAATGATCAAAATCCACAGAGCCAATCATGATCAACCAGATCGAACGATCACTGAGGCAATCATCAAAATCCACGAAAAGAAAGAAAAATCCCAGCCAATTAAGCTTGAAAAATTCCAAATCGCTTACAACGGACCTTGATTGTTCGGGCTTGTTCGGAGACGAGAGAGGCTCTAGCGAAAGTGTCTTCTTCTACGAAGACAGCTTTCCTAAGGAGAAGCTTCTGGAGAGAATCGAGATTCGATGCCATCTCCGTAATGTTCTCCAGTGATCCCTTCCATCTATCCTCGCTCCCTCCGATCTGCTCCTCCATCGGAAGATCAAGGGATCTCCCTTTCTCCTCCCGGAGAATCAATTGGACTCGCAGCTTGATCGGAAAAACACCAAAAGATTCTTTGGGCTTTCTTTTTGCTTACAGGACTTCGGAAATCTTTTCTCTTATGTACTACTTTTCACGGCCTGGTAATTTTCTAGCCCAAGCTCTATATAAACCGAACCGAATCAAAATTATCATATCCGAAAACCAAATGGTTTTTTTTTTTTTTTTTTTGTGACTCAAACCAAATCAAACTATTCCGTTTTTTTATCCAAAATTATTTGCAAATTACATGAAATAAAAAATTCAAGCAATGTACTTTCTATGAATTTCTCTCATATCTAATTTCTATACTTTGTTGACATTTTTTAGCCACATTTTTATCCGCATACTGCAGCGATTTAAAACAAAAAATCAGACTATTTTTTGTTTGTATTTATTTAGAGGCGAATTACTAGCAATCATCACCCAATTATACTATTTAAAATATATTTTATGTAATTTGTTATATTACACACTCAGGAGTTATATTCCAGACAATTCGTAGGCTTTTCAAATTTGGTTACTGATAAAATTAGTTGTTTACAGTTTTATGAAAGTGTAACTTTGAAAAGTTTGGTTAAATAGTAGAGAGAGTAGTGTGACGCTTACGCACACAGTAATAAACTAAAAGCTGATGTCGTCATTCCAATACAGTACTAAGTTTAAAACAATAAGATGAGGACACGCGTACAGTTTCGAGAACATACTAATGACGTGTACCAATAATATCACTGGAACTGATAGGATCTCACACTGCTCCCTCGTCCACCAATTCTGATATTAAACCCAGCCCGTTAAGCCTTTTGATTGCGTTGCCACGTGTCGACATCATGGTCACTTGTCTTTTGATTCTCCCGAAACAAAAACAATAATTTAATTAAAAAAATAAAAAAAAATAAAGGAAATTAGGAAGCCTTCATCGTCTTCTGCCGAACATCTCTAGAAAGAAGCCCTGCAAAGTTTTTTCTTAGCTTTCCGATCTATCTTCGTTGAATCCATACTCTCGCTAGGAATCTGCCGTTTTTGTTTGTTTTGGCTAACTCTTTGATCGGGGAAGTTTTCTGGAATTGCTAGTGGAAGCATCCGTCTGACAGGTGAGCATATTTGGTTGAGACTCTACGGATTTGATCCTTCTTACGTTTGGTGGAATCTGTTTCGATTAAAAATAATTTTGAGTTCGTTGTTATTATGCTGAATGATTGAATAGCAGAAAACAGTAGCTGAAGATTTCTCAGATTTGTTTTTTTTTTTTTGGTGTTTTGCATTCAGTGATTATTTCTCATTTAATGCTTCATTTAACTGGGTTCACAGTGGAAATTCTCCAAATCTGATGAACTGAGTATGATATTAACCATTATTAGGAGTGAAACAGAAACCGGAAGATGGGAAAATCGATCTGGTTTGAGTAAGCAAGTGAGAAATGAAAATTTCATTCTGATAGGCTTGCTATGAGATTTGGCTTTTTTTTTTTTTTTTGCTGTAGAATTTGAGTCTACCTTTTGTTTACATAGATATTCGGAAATGGTGGGTAGATTTTTAGGGGTTTGGGTTTCATGGGGTTTGAGTCTGGATAAGAAAGATGGAGTTTTTCTACATGCTGGCTTCGATATCGCTATTACTGGGACCTTCTCCAGCTATTTAATATCTTATGTTTCTTATTCAGAAACCAGAACTAGTTGTGGGAGTCACATGTTTTGCAATAGAGATGACATATCGGGATAATGTGCATGGTTTTAGTGGTGATTAAAGAGTCTTGACGTTGGGAGGAATGTTGGGCTTGTGCATTGATGAGGTGAGTTTAGTCACAATCATCTGGCATTTTTTTTATTGTTTTCCTGTAAATTCATCATTTGGTGTTGTAATTGAGGGGAGACATGTGTGTGATAGGCTATTGATTTTTCTCTTTTTGCTATATGAGATACAAAATTTGAAATCGCGCATTCATGTGTAAAAAGTTCCCAAAGCTATTTTTTTCTGTTTTGTGATCTGTTTGTGTGTTTCTTTTGATGTGTGGACATTGTATTGTATACACAGGTTTTTAATTGGTAACTGAAGTTTTTTGTTTCCTATATTTTTCAGCTAGACCATAATATTTCGGACGAATTTCATGGGAACGATGATGGTATAGTCCCAGACTCAGCGTATGAAGATGGAGGTCAGTTTCCAGTTCTAGTTAGTAGGAGGAATAAGCAAAGACATGAAGATATGGGTAGCGGGACAATGCACTTAAAGAGTAACAATTTTATCAAGAGGGAGGGAGATATGTTTGGAAGAAACCTCTGGCATGAGAAAGATACTGGTGGCTCTCCGGTTTCTCGTGATGCGGGATCAGGCAAAGATGTTCAGGATATGATATTGGAGGATACAAAGATCTCAGACCATGGTTTCAACGGTGGCCACGTCGATGCGGGTGAGAGTTTCTGCTCTGCGGATCCCATGTTGTGTGACAGTTCCGCTGCAGCGAATGATGGCGAATATAATTATTCCCTCGACAACATTCCGAATGCTGAAAACAATCTCAGTTTTATGAATAATGGAGATAAAGAAAGCAATGATCTCTTCTATGGTTGGGGTGACATGGAAAATTTCGAGGATGTGAACAATATGCTTAGGTAACATTAAGATATTCTCTTTCTCTCTTTCAGAAATATCGCAACACATTTGTACTGAGCTTATTCTTACCTTCTTCTTTTTTTTGGATGCTACAGGAGCTGTGATTCAACTTTCGGCTTGGAAAGTCTTAATAATGATGATGACTTGTGCTGGTTCTCTTCTGCTCAGCCAAATGAGAATACAGAAGCCGGGATGACAGATGGTGTAAAGCCAGATACAATGTTGGAAAGTCAAAGAACACCTATGTTGCAGGTTGAAGACTTTCTGAACAACAGTGAGTCCAGTCATGCTGTTGAAGATGGATATGGGTATACCTTTGTCGGCGGTTCAGCTCAAGGAAACTCTTCAGAAAATGTATCTGATACAAGTTTGCAGAAGAAGGATGTATTGATGCTGGATGAAGAGGCTAATCTAGGAAAGAAGCAAACTGGTCATCTTCATCACCTGGATGGGAAAAGTGATGGGTACTCGGAGAACAGTTTTACTTTACAACATGGAATGGATACAAACCAGTATTACTCTCCTTCTGCATTCCAACAGCCAGGTGTTCCATACTCACATTTCAACTGTGAGCAGCAGCTTTCAGATCCAGTATCAGCTTGTGAAAGTAAATCTGGTATCAAATCTGAGAACAATCCCAATCCTTCCTCTGTTTCAAATGAGTCATACACATCAAATCAAGCACAGTCTGTCGAGAGCTTACAAGGTCCAACTGTTGATGATCGGTGTAGGAAGGGCTTTGAAAAGAGAGTTCACTTGAAGCATGGGCAAGATATGCCTCCTTCTTTTGCTGCAAGTAGCAGGAAGAGCAGTAAGAAAAACCCAGTGGTGTTTCCTGATGCTGCTCCTATCCAAAAGAGTGACCACACAAAAGCTGCTGCTGAATTGGAAACATCAAACAGGCAGGAAAGTTCTTGTGTTAGCTCTGTTGTGGATGACATTTCACTGGAAGCAACAAGTCTTCGCCAGCTTCAGCAGGTTGTAGATCAGGTACAACTTGTCAATAGATAATGGATGATATAGCTCTCAAGGTGATGGGTAAAAGCTTGCTCTTCCTTTGTGAATGATGTTAAAGTGTGCGTTTGTTTACTTGTTTGATGTGTGCTTGCTCCAGCTGGATGTTAGGACAAAGCTTTGCATAAGAGACAGCTTGTACCGATTGGCAAAAAGTGCGGAGCAGAGACATAATTGTATGAATCCAAATGGTGGAAACAGACAGGAGAAAGGTGCAGGCTCGCATCTCGAGACTGGTGAAACTGACAAGTAAGCACCAACTGCATAATATTTAGATATACAGTATTTCATCCTTTATCTTTCAATTCGTTTGGATTCTATCTTTAATATATGTATTTGGTCTCATCCAGGTACGTTGAATTCATGGATATAGAAACTGATACAAACCCGATAGACCGATCCATAGCTCATCTGCTGTTTCACCGGCCCTCAGACTCATCTCGTTCACCAGATAAAGATGTTCTCACCTATAAATCTCATCCAATGGTATGTTAAACAAACCCTTATTTCTCACACACAGCCATTGAAACTTGCAAACTGTGTCGCACACACAGTGCCTCATGTTAGTCATCATGATATCTACAGTTTCCTCAGCCCAATAGTAGTCCGAGCTTGAGGATAGAGAAACAAGAGGAAACTCCAGAACTTAGAACCGAAACAGAAGTCGTAGCAAGTGACAAGAAAGGATGATTTCAATAAAAAAGAAAAACCCGGCTCTTTCAGTGCTGAAGCATTCGAGACATGGTTGTTAACGCTAATCTTGGTTTTGGCTTATCGAAATTGCTGAGGTTAGTTACCAAAGTCCTGACTGTTTCTTTTATTAGAATCAATGGATTTGTAACATAGTTGGGTTTAAGTGTTGGGATAATTTTCTGGTTTAGATTTCGGTTCGATGCTGATTGTACACTTGGTTGCTCAAACCGGGACTTGAGACGTGTTCTTTGCCTTTGTAATATTTTCAAGTTAAGTAGAGGGAGAAGTAGAGAGACACGTAGCCATGCTGTACATAAAGATGTTAGTTTTTTGTTGTTGTTGACAATGCCATAAACTATTCTGTTGTGATTTGCTGTTCCATATTCTTAATCAACAGTCACGAAGAAACTTAGGATTTTGATTTCCAATAATGGTTTTGTGGTTGTGCAACTATAACCTTTGATCACAAATTCCAGTAATTGATTAAACTGTTACAGAAACTAGATTTGGATGGGACCGAGAAAGAATGATTTGAAACATTCTAATCAAAATGTTGCCTAAGTTGCATCTCGGTTTCGCTTTTCCAAGTAGCGTGGGAGGATTGTCCTCTCATTCTTTTGCTCTTCTCTTTATCTTTGACCGCAGAGCCTCTCTTCTTCACGTCCAAGTCCGGTAATGGCCGGTCACCACAAACCGGGCATACCATTCCTCTCGCGCTTGTATACGTTTTCGGTACACCGCATTGCAGACACATCCTAAATTCATCAAACAAGCTCAGATTGTGCGACTGGGGATTCACCAAAGAATGAAGAGATAAGAGTCATTCATACCTCAAGAGATCTGCAGCTTCTTCTGCGTTTGGATTCGTCGCAGTAGATATCCGCTTTTCACCACTCTCTGAAGATGGTGGTGCATCGATATCGCTTCTTACTCTCTCATGGATTCCTACTAGTTGAGGTTTTGCTTCCATGACAACACCTACAAGGCCAATACACCTAAACCATCAGCGTTTAGATTAAAAAAGAACAATGCCTATTTAACAACAGCTCCATAAACAGATCCACCACAACACAGTAGACAGATATTACAATTTACAGCCCAAAGTGCCTGGTTTTGCTATTAAACAATGTCTAGTGCTTAAGCTTAAGGTACCGAAACAAGCTTCTCAAGCAAAATGTTGTTTTTCACACATATAACCTAAACCCTAAGGATGTGAATTCGGCATTGGCTGCGCAACTATTATTGGTACATGATCCAGAATCATCAAAAGATGAACCTTTTCAATTTCGAAATATCCAAATTGCTACAAAGTTGCAAACAAACTGTGGTACCTTTTGGTTTAACTTTCTTCTTTTTGCGGTTAATACGCTTCGCATGCTCTGCATCTCTAGCTGTAGCTTCTTCGTCCGCTTCCGTACGGTTGTTTAGAAACTCCGGTGGCCCAGAAATCTGCAAAATTCCATTAGAAGCAAAGCATTATTTACTATAAGCTTTTCAAGTAACTAACATGCTCATAGACTTGCAAGGACACACTATCTGAAGATCCCTCTAATGTTTCTAGACCCAGAAACCATTCAGTCTCGAGCTCCCTATAATCGGAAACTTGCCGTTTTTCCCTGAAAACCCCTAGTTTCAATCATAAAAAAAATTTACAGATCCAAGTAACTTTACATCATCTATCACAAGAATTCATTCAATTTCATCGCAAATCTCCAAAACGAAAACGAGAAATTCGATGAATTCTGGGGAAAGAGAATGATGACCTGAGAGAAAACGTCGTTAGCTGAAGGAAGGCCGGAGTCTTTAGCGGAGTGGGATGCAGAGAAATCGAACACAGAAGAAGAAGATCCGTATCTCTGCACGCCATGATCTTCATCTTCATCGTAGTTCTCGTAATCTCCAATAGTTCTCTCCTCTGCATCATCTTCTTCTGCAGAAGAATAACCTTGAAGCAGCGTCAAGCTCATGTTTGGTGCTCCGGAGATCTGTCGAGCCGCAAAACGAAAATAAGGAGAACTTTTATTAATTTATCCTCTAGCCCCCTAGAGTCCTTGTAAATCGCATTTCAATCCTCGGTTCAAAAACCAGCTGAAACCAAACCGGAAGTATAATCAGGTATCTGATATTGTATGCCGAATTTTCCGGTTCATTAGGAAATAGTTATAAACCGATTTGGTCTGATCGTGCGGCAAAAACCTTGAAATGATAAGAAAATTCCCAAGCTCTCGGTTTACCTCTTTGCTCTCTGCCGCTAAACCTCTTCGCTCTTTCGCTTGCTCATCTTCTCCGGCGAGAGAACCACCGCTATGCGCGTTATTTTCAGAGGCAAAATCTTCTCCGACATCAAATACTCTCAGTATTACTCCCAAGACTCCGCTGTTCCTTAGAACGCCGTCGCACGCAGCTCCCTTGTCTGAGGTTTGGAAATGGCACGACTGGGCGAAAGATCTGGCCTCCTCCGTAGAGCATCCTTCGACCGATCCCGACGATTCCCTTGACTCTGCCGCTCTCCTCCGTGAGCTAAAATGGCTGATCGAAGACTCGATCATAGACGATCATCCGGTGATTCACAGAAGGGAAACCCCGAACGAGGGCGAGCAGAGTGTGAAATTGAGAGCGTCTTTGGAGGAGCTTTACGATTTATGGCGTCAGAGGATCGAGAAGCGGCGGCCGTTTCAGTACGTCGTGGGGTGCGAGCACTGGAGAGACCTGGTGTTGTGCGTCGAGGAAGGTGTTCTAATTCCGAGACCGGAGACGGAACTAATCGTCGATATGGTGGAGGAGCTGGTGACGGGAGATGAATGGTTTAAGAAAGGGATTTGGGCGGATCTCGGGACAGGAAGCGGCGCAATTGCGATCGGCGTTGCTAAAGTCTTGGCAAGCCCTGGGAAAGTTATAGCCACAGATCTCAGTCCGGTGGCGATCGCCGTCGCCGGGAACAATGTTCGGAGATACGGCCTTGAGGTCAGTTGAGATATTCTTGTAAAACATAATCGTTCTTCAACTTTATGAGAAAGGAAAATGTCAAAGGGAATAATGATGACAAAATCTACGAAACATGAGTGTTGGTTTCTTCTCTCATATATATATATATACAGGGGATGATTGAGGTGAGAGAAGGATCTTGGTTTGAGCCATTGAAAGATGTTGAAGGAAAACTTGTGGGGCTAGTAAGTAATCCACCGTATATACCAAGTGGTGACATTGAAGGCCTACAAGCTGAAGTTGGTAGACACGAACCGAAACTTGCATTGGATGGTGGCATCGATGGGACTGATTGTCTTCTCCATCTCTGTCACGGGGCTTCTCGGATGCTTAAACGCGGTGGCTTTTTCGTTTTCGAGGTATCTCCTTTTGTCACTCTCGAAAGTTAGTTTTGGAACAAGACTGAGATTGCTACTGAAAGATCAAGTCTTGCTTGGTTTTGAGTGTTCTTTGAGTCCCAAGACACAGTCATTTTAGGGAAGTTGGGTTGTTTTCTCTCTCTCTCGATTATGATTAAAAGATCAAGTTTTGATTGATCATTTTTCCTTCACATATTAAGAGCAAATTGTTTTGTGGGAGTGTTCCTTTAGTTTGAAGGTCTTTGCATATGTACTGTAATAATCACATCCAGTAACATGAATGATGAAATCCTATTGCAGACTAATGGAGATAAGCAAAGCAAGATGATGGTAGATTACATGAGCAATGATCTCAAGGACACTTTCTCTGATTTGAAGATGATTTCTGATTTTGCTGGAATCCATCGGTTCGTGACTGGCTTTCGTCTCTGAGATATTAACACTACTCTCGCGCGGTGGATGGTACTCTCAAGTTCTGATTTTTTTGTTGTTGTTGAAATATCAGTTTGTTGGGTGTTGAATTCCACTTTTCCTTTAAAAAAAATGTTTAATGACCTTCACGCATTCATTTGTTATTTTTATTTATTTTAACAACCCAAAAAAATATCTCCTAATATTTTGTACCGTTGAAAAATCCGCGTAAAATAGTTATAAAAAATACAAGCATCTAGAAGAACATTAAGATACTGAAAAAACAGAAAACATTGATTTATCGAATGAATCATTTTGTTACCATTAAAAAGTAAAAAAAACACACACACGTACATAGAGAATTTGCCAGAAACAAAAAAAAAAAAAACGTTATTTTAACGGTTTTATTTGTGTCAATCAATCTAATCACGTGTTTTAGGCTCGTTTGATTATATAATTACCAATTTAACCCTCTCGCCGCGTTTCTTCATCCTTAGTTTCGCTATCCCAATCGTCTCTGTCTTTCTCTATCTCCCACACATCTTTTATATTTCAATTTCGAGATCTCTTTGACAACAACAACAAATAAACGTCCCACCGAACACAGAGAGCGCCCCCAACAAATCCTTCTTCTTCTTCCTCCTGGTGCGTTGATTCTCGATCTCGTTTTACACGTAGCTTCTCTTTCTTATCCATATGTTTCGTTTCGTCTTCTTCGATTGAGAAACATCGTTCTGTCATTTTACAATCTCGCAACGCAGAAATCTTATTGTATATCGCTAGGGCTTTGTTTAGGGCTATCTCTGAATTGAATTTGATTTTTGATCGGGCTTGATTGTATCTGATTCGCCGTCGGTTTGTGTGATCTGATCGTATTGGCTTTGTTTGGTTGAAATCATGGGTTTATACAATCGCTATCTATATTGCATTGTGGAGATCTGACTCACATGGTTGATTTTGATTTCAAACTGGAAATTGAATTAAGAATAGACGTAGAATCTAAACTCTATAGCTTCTGCTACTTTCATATATTCACATCTCTATAAAATCTGGATGCTATATTGTTTTGGAGATCTCTTTTAACGAAAAATCTCCTGTGATTTGATTAAAAACCCCATTTGTAGAAGTTGAGATAAAGCTTGGAGGCTTTGCCTATTTTATGGAGTATACACACTTTTTTTTCCTAAAGTTGGGGTTTTGTGTTAAGCTGCATCGAGTTTTACAGGTTGTTCTTAGTTAGGCTCAGGCTCATTCGTGTTCTTGAGCAGTACAGTACTACAATTTACAGAACATATCCTTTGGTCACAGCATTGTGGAATTAGTATCATCAAATAGGAAGCGTATCATTTGATCAAAAAGGATAATAAATGTTTGCTTTTAAAGTTCAATTTATTAGCGTCCTTTTCCGAATATTTTTACTTCGTTGATCATCTCTCGTTATTGGTTCATAAATTTTGTATTTTTAATTAAGTAATGTTGTATTATACTACCACTAGTGCAGCATTTTTGGGTTTTGGTGGCGTTGAGACATCATAATGTCTAGCGTAGAGGACTTGAAAGAGAAACCAGTAGCCAATGAGGCAGAGAAGTCAATGCCATCATCACAGCAGGAGGTTTCCATCTGATTCTCACATTGGATAATGATCAAATGCTGTAATTAATACGGTATAATTATCTAACTCTTTTTCTTTGATTGCATTGTGTAGGAAGCTGCTATCAAGAATAAGTATGGAGGGCTCATGCCAAAGAAACCACCTCTCATTTCCAAGGTAGTTTAAGTATCTCTGTATCTGGTCTAAGGAGATTTTGAGTTTTCACTCGGTTTTTCTAAGGTGCGGTTTTTTTTATCAGGATCATGAGCGAGCATACTTTGACTCAGCTGATTGGGCTCTTGGAAAGGTAAAAGTATCAAACTTTGATTCTACAGAGTGTTGTTTCTTTTTGGGTTATCAAATATAAGTTATCGCTAATAGTTCCACTCTCATGGTGTTATTACAGCAAGGTGTAGCGAAGCCAAAGGGACCCCTGGAAGCTCTTCGTCCCAAGTTACAGGTAAATGAGCTTGAGCCACGTTTTAGCTTGTTTTTTTCTTTCTTTCCTGCGGTTTGTTTCCCAGTCTTAAGATCTTGTTCGGCTTTTGCAGCCAACGCAGCAACAGACGCGTTACAGGAAGTCTCCATGTGCTCCATCCGAAGGTGGTGAAGGTAAATTTCTTCATTTTACCATCTCCATCTCAAGGCAATTAAAGGACTAACTGATCTATCTCTTTGCTCTGATATTATTACAGACGGAGGAGCTGCTCAGGCCGAGGGAGTTTCCGGCAACGAGGAGTAGGGAGAGAGAGTGAGAGAGAGAGGGAGAAATGTGGGAACTCTTGTGTAAGAACTCTGTTATAATCGGATATTCTGTGTCCATTTGAAACAACAGATATGGTTTTCATTAAATCTCAACTTAATCGCATATCATCTCTAAGTTCCAGATATTATATTTTACCCTTTCGATCTGGAATCTTTGTTAATACCTAATTGAAAATGATGCTAAACATGCGATGACATTGGAGTTAGAAGGCTAAGTAATCTTACCGTTTAATTAGACCATTGCATGATTTTTATTGTTGGACGTAGGAATTAATTTTAGCATTCACAACTATTGTATTCGGGTGTGTTTTTGATATCTAGCTCTAAGGAGTTTTTTTTTAAATATTTTTTTCCCAAACAGTTCAATGTTTTTGGAATGGTTTACTAATTCTTATAATATTATTTAATATAAATTTGAGTTGATAGTTTACTAATGAAATGAGCTAAGCTAACTCGTGGAATATGTTATCTCATGAAGTATCTCAAGCAAGATGATTATTTTTTTCAGATGTACTAAACACATAGTATAAAGCATCTGCATATATAGTCCAAATTTTGTGAAATTATCCAATCAACTGAAGAGACATTATTTTTGAAATTAGTATTGCATTAGCTAAAAAAAAAATGTCAATGCTAGTTTTATGAAGGAAGCATGTAATATCGGAATATGAATAATAATTAAATCAAGTATTTTGTTTTTTTGTTCCTCAAAAACAAAATCCAGCTATTTTATCAATTTTGTTGATAGAGTGGCTGAGAGATCAAAGCCAACAAGGTTTTGTGCACCAAAAGGAGAAAGTCAAATTTATTGTTAAATAAAAAGACATTACAAATTTAGTAGGCGTTTATTCGTCAAAACAAAATTTTAATTATAATAGTAGTTATTTGTCAAAAATATATAGAAAATCCAAAGTATCGATACATCACACCTGCATTACACAACGGTGCGTTCACTGGAACTTCAAATACATGACATCAAAAAAGCGAAAGAGAGGAACCGGAAGATAAGGAAGATTTGGGTGGATATGGAAACTTAAACCGGAAGATACTTCCAAAATTGTCCCACTGATTGCCGGATTCCGCAGTCGGTTTCCGACTCGTCTTGTGATGACTTTGCTAACAAGTCAGCTTCTCAAACATTATCACTATTCTTAATTATTGTATTTATCTTCTAAAACCACCACAAGCCTTTAAGTCATCTCTCGTCTACAGAATATATTGGTAAAACTTTTTGGCCACCTATAAGCCCAGATTATTCGGACATGACATATACGTTGTTACGTACTTATAATGGGTTTCTAATATATCTACGTCTGCATTCAACATTTATATGTAATCTAAGATGCAAATACAAACGTCAAAAAGATTAATCATGGCCATGATCTCGATCTTGGAAAAGGATATGCGTAAATTCATTAATCTACGGTTTCCAAAATTTATTGGTAAAACAATCAACATTTAAGAAGTGTATATGAATCTCAACAAACAGCTTACAGTTCTTTTAATCGATTTTTATGTTTCTAAAGCAATGATCTTAATCATTTTAAGAGATATAACTTATTGATGTAGTTAGCTAAATCATGCTGTATATAACTTTGATTACACAATTCGAAAGCAGTATATAACGAACCAGGTTATTAGTCATTTCATTTATTGCCACTGCTTAAAGAAAATGAGATCTTATAGTGTATAAACCTTTGATTAATTTCGTATTGAACTCCACTTGGCAGACTAGTCGTCCACTTTGTAACGAAATATGGTGTTCGTTCTAAATTTTCAATCATCTAATTGATGTATACCTACTAAAAATGGATGTACTCTAAATTTCTACGATACAAATAATTAATTGTCCTCGTTTTTGATTAAATATTTGTTTTCTAAAATTCAAAACTCCTACGTAAACGATATTTCTATCACTACATACTCAATCAATCAAGTTCACGGAATGATCAAATCGAACAAATCCAAAAGAATGTGCTTTTAAAGTCAACCAGCGGACCAGCTCACACCGCACTGACCAAACAACACGCGCTTTCGAATTTTGATTCTTTTTACAAACGATGTCGTTTTTATCTATTCCCCACAAACAGTATTATAGCCAGCCGGTTTCATTGACTCCACGTCATTCTTTGACTAATCAAACACCCTCTATAAATAGTACTCTAAAACGAACTAACTCTACTCACTAAACTGAAAAACACACACACTTGATCTTCTCTAAAACCCTAAAATTACAAGATGGGTTTGGTTAGATCATTATGCTTATTCATTACCTTCCTTAGCTGTCTAGTCATCTCGGTCCATGGCCAAGCTGCCACAAGGCCTGTTTCTGGCACGAGGGTCGGGTTTTACTCGACCACGTGTCCTACCGCCGAAACCATTGTCCGAAACGCCGTGACAGCTGGTTTCAACGCTAACCCGGCAATCGCACCAGGGATACTAAGAATGATTTTCCACGACTGCTTCGTCCTAGGTTGTGACGGTTCTATCCTTATATCGGGAGCTAACACCGAAAGAACCGCTGGTCCGAACCGCAACCTCCGTGGCTTTGAAGTCATAGACAACGCCAAAACGCAGCTCGAAGCTGCTTGCCCTGGAGTCGTCTCTTGTGCTGATATTTTAGCTTTAGCCGCTCGTGACACCGTCGTCCTGGTACAGTCCTAATTATTAATTATAGTAACGTAACATGCATTTATATTATTTTATTTTTTATGTAAGCAACGTTTTTACGTAAATTGCATGCAGACGAGAGGAATTAGTTGGCAAGTACCAACCGGACGTAGAGATGGTCGAGTTTCCGTGGCTTCGAACACTAACAATCTTCCTGGTCCCGGTGACTCTCTCGCCCTTCAACAACAGAAATTCTCCGCTTTGGGACTCAATACCCGCGAACTCGTCGTCCTCGTCGGTCAGTAGTTTACACTTATAACACAATCAAGACCTATAAATTTTCGTTAATCCGAGTATTAACTTTATACAAGAAATTCTTGTATAAACATTTTAAGGACTAATTAATTTGTATTACTAAAACTAAATTTTAACCGAATACATCCATTTGTTTCCGCCTAACTAAAAACCTTCTTCGAAAATATAGAATTTTTTTTGTTTAATATCTAATAACAACATAAACTAAATCAGTTGTATAATGTAACAGGGGCACACACGATCGGAACAGCGGGATGCGGTACATTCAGGAACAGGCTATTCAATGGCACCGGAGGCCCAGCGGATCCAACAATCGACCCGACATTTTTGGCGCAGCTTCGGACACAATGTCCCCAAAACGGCGATGCCTCAGTACGCGTTGATCTCGACACCGGAAGTGCAACCACTTTCGACACTTCCTACTTCAACAACCTAAGCCGTGGCCGTGGAGTCCTACAATCCGATCAGATCCTTTGGACCGATCCAGCCACCAGACCCATTGTGCAACAGTTAATGAGTCCCACAAGCACCTTCAACGCTGAGTTTGCGAGGGCTATGGTCAGGATGAGTAATATTGGCGTGCTTACGGGGGCTAATGGGGAAATTCGTAGAGTTTGCTCTGCGGTTAATTAACCGATTAAAATCTGTGGTTAGCATGATGCTAAGCTTTCATGGTTGGCTACTTGTTTCGAGTGTGATTTTAGTTTCAATAATAAATAAACCAATAGAAAACCACATAAGAAAAACTCAAAAGTGGGTTTATGAAAATTGTATCTAAAAGGTTTTGTATTCGGTTTCTTTTAGTTTTACTTGATGGATTATGTCTTCATAAAAACAATATAATGAGGTAATTTGGTCACATTTTTGCTTCTTATATTTTATAATTTTCGCTAGCTGAGTGAAAAATATTGAATAAAAAATAAAAAAGAACTGAAACCAAAATCGTACGACGAAACTTCGTTTACTAAATTAGATGATGTTCTATATTTATTACATGTTCTTTATATTCGAAAATCTAAAAAGGTAAAAAAAAACATTGGCCGAATTAAACAGCAATGATCAGATTAACACATCTAATGCCATATGAATCGAAATGTATAGTGACACTAATGTATTTATTTCAGAATGATAGCTTCTTACCTTCTTAGTTTTTTATTCACGTAAATAATTTTCAAAATATGACTAAAATATAGTAATTTAATTAGTGGCTTGTAATGTCCAGATTCTAACATGCAATTATGCAAAAAAAAAAACAACTATTAAAAATCTGGTCAAATAGTCTTGTCTCTTATGACAATATTGCAAAACATGATAGTCAGTTTGTCACGATCTCTCTAATTCTGAAATCCCAATTATATGGTCTAAGTACGTTGGATCTGTTATGCTCTATTGCAATTGCACGACCGTTATCATTCAATTTATTTGCATAAAATATGTATCATGGCGGTGCAAATACATATAATATAGTTTAATTGATGGTACTTAGTACAATACATTTGTGGTGGGGGTGGTCAAATAAACTCGTGTACGTATTGTAACAAATGATTCGTGTTCAAATAACGTGTAAATTGACTGATTTTGATAAAAGAACCAAAAATAGATACTTGAATAATTTTTTTGCTGACAATTTTTGGTTAACTTTGTGACAGAATTTACGTACTAACAATTTTTGTATTTTAAGTCAATACAACGTAACAAACTCTTTAGCAAAAAAAAAAAAAAAAAAAGTCAATACAACAACAACAAAAAAAAAGAGCTAAAGGAGCTTAAATATTATATAATCAGGCAAAGCTTATCTTCATCTTGTCACTGTCATTTTTTCCCTTGCAAATGTTTCAATGAAATTTGGCAGTCCTATATTGTAGTATATATAGGATATTATAGTTAATATGGTGCATGTACGCGTATATTAAGTAATACTAGTTGTACTTATTTATTAGTAAGAGAATGTATTAACTAGCTGTATTGATTTAGACCGAGCAAACATTTCTTTTCACACTTCAAAGTAGTACTTATTCGAATTGAACTGATGCCTCCTGATTCATAATTCAAACGGGATTATGATTATTAGATATTAAATTTTCAAGTCAAATGGTTTATATATATATTCAGATTAACTATTTATGTGTGTGTGTATGTGTGTAACCTTTTTAATTTTAAACACTTGAAATTTGAGTTACCAAATTTAATAAAAATATAGAAACATTAGACCGATGGAAACAAAATTGGTTTTGTCTTGATCACACACATCTGATTAAACTTACTAGATGGTCAGATTTTACAAACACTGTTACTGGATCAGGATCAGAAAATCATATATTATATATATATATACGTCATTATATTCTCCTGGAATTATGACTGTAAATTATATGCATGGTCAGTATAGATTTAGTCTAAATTTGTATGATTGTATATAGATAAGAACTTGGTGTGCCTCAGGCTCACGCGTCTTGTCACTGTTTTGATGATCAAAGCAAAATCTCCAAAACATTTTGAGTAGAAGACACCATCCGTGTAAAAGGTCTATTATTTCAACGATTCCATTTATATTATATTCTTTTCTATTTCCGTCCAATATGTTTGAAAAATAAAATTAAAGTTTGTAGAATGGCACAATCTAATCGAGTCATTGACTGACTCTATCGAAGTTTTGCACATCTCCAACACCAACACTAAAATCCTCGCTTTCTGATATCGATCATCGACATCAGTCGATCAGTCGATCTACAATTTTATAAGCAACATCAACAACTAAGATAAAACAGGAACCATATTAGTGTTACAACCATATTAATTTTTCGGATAAAGATAAGTCATGGAATTAGTAGTCATGGCATCCTATAATTAAACTCAGATTTCTCACTTTTTCTAATATGATGTTTTATAATGGAAATTTTATAATTAGTCAACACAAAATATGTTAAGAAGATTATCCGTCAGGGAAAACAAAAGAAGAAGATTATCCAGAAAGTGTGCTTTTTCTGGATAATTTCTTAATAATGATTGTGTGTGTTGGAAATATTAATATTAATGATTGTGAAAGTACGCTTGAGATTGAAGACTCTCGTCTCGTGGCGTACCCTTGTTGCAAAGAAAAGCGAAACAACAAGAGAAAATGGCAGAAAACCCCGTCGTATTCATGCTTTCCAATTTTCGTTGCTTAAAGGCTAATTACTATTTTTGTAGCGAAATAGTTTGAAGAATTTATATCGTAAAAAAATAATTAATATGGTATTGTCTGGATTCCTAGTTTATCAGGTCGGTACATTAAATTACCGATACAAAACTAACGTTTTTTTTTTTTTTTTTATCAATCTACTTTAGATTAATAAACCTCATGCTATGTAAACGATATGGACGGACATTATAACATTAATGTAATTTCAAACTTTTTAGTCCCGTGACATCAATGTTTTGGCATATATAACCGACTAGTTGCAATATATAAATACACATAACTCATTGCTGTAAGTAAAGAAAAGAAGAAAAACTCACGTAGTAATTAAGATTCCGTAGAAGTACGTAGTATTATTCCATAGACAAACATTCGCTAACAAAAAAATTTGAAGAGTTTCTATTTAATATGGCTGAGTGTCCTACTCTTCTTGTCAAAATATTCAGCTTTAAATTCTTATGCGCTTGCGTTTTAAATAATGTATATAGTGACTATATATATTTTTAAGCAGTGCATGCATGTAATGCTGATCATAACTATATTCACTGCTCACTAGTTTAGTTTTGTGTAATTAAAACATTATAACATCTTAAAAGTTGTTTAAGTGATACGATTAAAAAAAACAGTGGTTTTGATGATTTCTAGTTCTAATCAGCAAATCGTTGAAAAAAAAAGAGAGAGGAAAATCACAAATCTACTATCTACATGTAGGTAGTTCGGTACATACATGGACCATATTCATATGATTAATTTAACAAAATAAATCTATAATATAAAAGTTACGATTATAAAATTATAATACCGGTAAAAATGTAGCTCCAATTAGTTAATGAGTAGCCCGGCATTGCTTACTCACGAATCTCTTACTATTTTCCACTATAAATACATTAACAAAAATCTCAAACCATATAACAAGAGTAATAATCCGATTATATATACATATATGCACGACCCTGTGCTTAAAAACTAAGAAGAAACTAAAATGGGAAGTGTTCTTAATTTTAATCCCCACTGCGTCCTCTTACCGTTACTCCTTGTCCTAGCCGCGACCGCAGCCACACATGCGAACATACCCCTGCCGAGGCCACGGCTCGGGTATTACGGCAGCGCATGCTGGAATGTAGAATCGATAGTGCGGTCCGTTGTCCAGTCTAACTATTTCGCAAATCCAGCCAATGCTCCGGGCATTTTGCGTATGCATTTTCACGATTGTTTCGTCCAAGGCTGCGACGGGTCCATTCTCCTGGACGGACCTAACTCTGAGAGAACCGCGATTCCGAATCAATCCTTGAGAGGGTTTAATGTCATCGAAGAAGCTAAGATGCAGCTTGAGATCGCTTGTCCTCGAACAGTCTCTTGTGCTGATATCCTCGCACTCGCTGCACGTGACTTCGTCGTTCTGGTATAACCTATACTTTTTAAAATTATACCTATTGGTTTTAGATTTACGTAATTAAATGGAAACAAATTTAATATATGCATGTATAGACCGGTGGACCATGGTGGCCAGTTCCGTTGGGACGACTCGATGGCCGGGTTTCACTGGCCTCGAATGTCGATTTGCCGGAACCTACCGACTCCGTTGCGGTGCAGAAGCAGAGATTCTCTGCTAAAAACCTTAACACCCAAGATCTCGTTGTCCTTGCGGGTATGTAAATCAGTTTAGATTTATATGTTACAAGCTAGTGTCACTGTCAGTAAACTTAATTATAGTAGCATTGTTGACCAACAAAAAAAAGTTATAATAGCGTTTTTATATATTTCTTGCATCGCTATCATTCAAGTGAGCTAATAAAAGCTTTCTTCTATATACTGTAAATTACATATTTTGAAATTATCTCGCGATATATTCTAATTCAGATAGAGGATTTTGGTATTTAACAGCCGGACACACGATAGGAACGGTCGGGTGCGGTGTGTTTAGGGACAGGTTCTTCAACTACAACAACACAGGAAGTCCTGACCCAACCATCAACCCAAGTTTTGTCCCTCAGATCCAATCTCAATGTCCTCTCAACGGCAACCCGGCTACTCGTGTCTCGCTGGACACGGGAAGTGAAGGCCAGTTCGACACTTCGTACCTTACCAACTTGAGGTTTGGTCGAGGGGTCCTCGAGTCTGATCAGGTCCTATGGAATAATGCCGAGACTCGCCCCATCGTGGAGCAGTTGTTAGGACTACGGTCTCCGTTTCTGTGGTTCGGAGCCGAGTTTGGTAGGTCGATGTATAAGATGAGCCTGATTGACGTCAAGACGGGTTTGGATGGGGAGATTCGTAGGGTTTGTTCTGCCGTTAATCTATAAATTAAAATATACAATTAACCAATATGATGATAATACTATATATATGAAGTAATGAATAAAACATGGATATTATAAAATTCAATAGACTTGCCAGCTTTCTAAGTATAACTTAGAAAGTAACTAATAAATCGGGTTAGCGTCGTGTGTGAGTGTGAGGAAATAAGTGTTTAAATCACACAGACGAACACATATTATGTAACTGTAAACTCTACGAAAATAAAACTAATCTATGTACGTGTTTCTCTTTGATTATTTGCGTACATAGCTATCGAATTAATTAAGAAACATATGTATGTAAACTATATAAGACGATTATATAATTTGAGAAATTAATTGGTTTCTACACAAACATTAATTTTCAACTCTAGGTAATAAAAATTAAGATGTTTATTTTTTCTTCTAGATTAAACTACCGTTCAGATTTCATAGAATAACAGTTGGTGACTTGAGATTTTCGCTAATTTTGGTAAGACAAAATTCAATGTTCAGTTCTAAAAAAAAAAACAAAATTATATGCATTTGATAATAATTGTGTTTTAGTCTTTTCTCTTTTTATCTTCTTGAGTTTGGAATATAATTTTGTTTAAATTGGACCGATATTACAGAGTCAAACTATTATAAGCAAATTTTACTAATAACATTATATAATTTGTCCCGTATAAAGTTATGGTTCTCAAAAGCTGAAACATGAATTTTAATTCATTCCTCTTTTTTTTTTTTCAATCCCCAACTTACAAAAATAAAATAAAAAATACGTGAAGTCAATAAAGGTTTAATGAATCAGTTTGAATTCACTGTACGAAAATGAATCTAATCATTGGTGGAAAATGATTAGTGGAATAATGGATAATAGAATATGGCAGTGCATGGTTGACTTTGACAATAAAGAAAAAAAACCGAGTCAATGATGTTATGGCATCGAAGTTGTCTGAGTTCGTGGCTTCACTAAACAAGACATCCACTGTCAATTAAAGCGCGTACACGCTTTTTCCTTTTCCCTTCTACGGTTACTACAACCTCTTCTAGCTATCCATTTCCAGTATAATTTTTTTCTTCATTTTTATATGTTTTTGGTACGTTTACCGTAATTTCATAGACCTTGCTACCATTAATACTTTTTCTTTTCATAATTAGATAAAATCTCTATTAATTTAACTTGTTGGAACCCAAATATCATTATACATATATATTAATGACTTCATTACATAAAACTAGAACTCTACAACAGTTACACTATTCTTTTTTTTTTTTTTTGAAAAAGGGTTTAAGTACACTATTCTTTCCTGCCTGAATGGCTGAATCTTATGTGATTTTGTATTAAAAAAAATGTGATAGATAACAAGCCTAAATTGTTCAATAGTACTGTTTTCACCTATGTTAACATATAATCATCATAAGAATAATCCTCCTTTGAATATCTTTCGTAAATACTATGACTATCAATAATTTAATATTGTGTGGCTAGTTAAATAGTTTATTGAAAAGGACCAAGTCTATAACCATTAAACATCACTATCTTGCTCTCCCGTTTGATTTTCCTTATTAGACAAAGTAATAGTATATATGCATAATCGTATAATAACTTGTTTCTTACATTCACAAAATCAACACTTATGCCTTTTCAATATATTACATTTAACATGTAATTCGTCAGTTTGTTTACAAATGTTATATCTAATTTAGAAAAAGAAACATGGTTAGATAAATATATATATATATATATATATATAATTATTTTTATTTTTACTGCGCACATCGACGAATTTGGAATACAATTTAAACTACATTTTTAACCCATTACCGAAAAATGATAGAATATGTGTCAAACTATTCAAAAGACTATGTGTAAGATTTTGTTTATCAAACTAATTGTAATAAAAACTAGGAATGCTTATTTATTTATATAGTTAGATTAAATCGACAATTCGAACAATTTGGGAGTCGGAAGTTTTGTGAAAATAAACTATTAGTATATTCCCCAGACAATCCAAATACGGTTAGTTTGATTGCTTAACAAACAACCCCAAGAAATAATATTTCGACCGGCATTAGTATATTCAAGATTCCTTAATTTTTGTTTGTTAGTAATATATTTAATTTCAAGTTGAGTTCTAAGTTCCGAAAAAAAAAGTATGTTGATATACTCGCTGATTATGATCCGGAAAAAAATATACAAGCAAAAAACCCAAAAATATAATGTACAAGCATATATTATAACTTCAAGCGAAATAAAAAAAATACAAATTCAATATGCATACAATATGTAATTTAACGGCCACACACGTTTTTTCGTCAGCAGAAATTTTGTTCGTCCTCTGAAAATTTACATATATGCAAGCCAGCTGTGTATAATGATAATGATAGTATATTGTTACTCATTAGTTACTTTATTTTTTAATTCAGAGAACTGATTACATAAACTAGAGTCATCATCTTGTTGTTTTGTACATTCCCCATGCACAAGCCTCTTGTCCGATAGTTCAAAGATTCCATGGCGGTGAATACTTTTGATTTTTTAATTCTTCATAAAAAATTAATAGTATTACGTACTAATCCGAAACAATAAGAAGAGAAGTTAACTAGTACTATTACTATAACAGATAAAATTGATTGATTATAAAGTTTTATTTTTTAAAGTCAACTATGCCAATACAATTTCATTATCTTGATCCTATAGAAATGTTCTGACCAAAAACTTGAAACAATATTGTCGTACGCAATTGATCGAGCTAATCTACGTAGCAATATTTGACCCAAATAAAGCATCACTATAGTGGTACCAACTGGTATAGTAGATTCGCTTTTTAAGCCAATTGGTTTCATAATCTCTTTTTTTGTCATAAATGAATTGCATTTTTTCTAAGAAATCACATTTTAGTGTTTTTGAAAAGATTTGATAACTTTTCTTTCATTTCTACCGATACATGTTAATTGTAAACCCATTAATCAACCGCAAGTTTGCCAATTTCGCTAACTAAATGAGAAAAGACAAAAAAAAAAAAACTGTTTAAGATGTTTTCTCTCATTTACCTACCTTAATAAATGTATTATTTTCATTTTTAAACAAGAATTATGGGTCGCCGAAAAACAACAACGCAGGAATTATGGTCCATCACTCCATAAGATCTGATTAATTATAGGTACTATTTGATCAAACTTTGATTCTTGTGATCTATCATCTACAAGACTGCGACTTAAACGAAGTTTTTTTACCCCAAAAAAAGAAAAAAAAACTTAAACGAAGATAGCTTCGTTCACAAGGAAAAAGAACAGTGCAAATATGTATAATACATACATATATGTTCAACGGACCGACTCGTCACACTAATGTGTGCAACTAATTATTGTTTAATGATTATCTATATCAAATGTATAGTAATATTGTTCCCATAAACTAATTTCGTTGTCGTGTGCCGAACTTGCTCGTTCCAATTCTTATTCCTACGACTTTTTTGCCTATATATACAAACCCTTTAACACCAAACTCAAAACACACAACAAACAATAACAACTTTTACAAAGCTCAAAAAAAATTTCTTATACATAAACAAAAACACAAAAAATGGGTCGTGGTTATAACTTCTTGTTCAGTCTAGTAACGTTTTTAGTATTGGTGACGGCTGTAACTGCACAGGGGAACCGTGGCTTTAGCAATGGTGGGGGACAAAGACCGCGTGTTGGGTTTTATGGGAATAGATGCCGAAACGTAGAGTCTATTGTGACATCGGTGGTTCGATCTCATGTCCGGTCTAACCCGGCTAATGCACCGGGGATTTTGCGTATGCATTTTCACGATTGCTTTGTTCGTGGCTGCGATGGCTCTGTTCTCCTCGCTGGTAACACCACGGAGAGAAACGCCGGTCCCAACCGTTCATTGAGAGGGTTTGAAGTTATTGAAGAGGCTAAGGCTAGGCTTGAGGCTGCTTGTCCTCGAACCGTTTCTTGTGCTGATATTCTCACTCTTGCTGCTCGCGACGCTGTCGTTTTGGTAACATATTTTTAGATTATTTTATTTTGGTTTTAATTGTTTCGCGCACGTATAGATTACTACTAATATATAACTATTTAACGGTAACTGAATTTTGGGTGATGCAGACCGGTGGACAAAGCTGGCGAGTGCCTTTGGGACGTCTGGACGGCCGAATCTCGCAAGCCTCAGACGTGGTCTTGCCCGGACCGAACGACGCCGTCGACAAGCAGAAGCGAGACTTCGCTGCTAAAACTCTTAACACACTAGACCTCGTAACTCTTGTTGGTACGTTGTTCTAACTGCATACACTTGAGTTATTCGGTTATCATTCAAAATTAATCATAAAGTTATTATCATTTAGTTTGGTGGAAAATTTAAGCATTTTTTGATCATTTCGAGTTTTGGTTTGACTTTAAACAGGAGGACACACGATAGGAACTGCTGGTTGCGGTTTAGCTAGAGGCAGATTTTTTAACTTCAACGGTACAGGGCAACCTGACCCATCAATCGACCCTAGATTCGTACCATTGGTTCAAGCTCGATGCCCTCAAAATGGTGACGCAACGGTCCGAGTCGACTTAGACGCTGGAAGTGCTGGCAGGTTCGACACATCATTCCTGAGGAATGTGAGGTCAAGCCGCGTGGTTCTCCAATCGGATCTAGTACTATGGAGGGATCCTGAGACCCGAAACATCGTCGAACGGCTCTTAGGCTTACGCCGACCGTTCTTGAACTTCAGATCAGAGTTCGGGAAGTCGATGATCAAGATGAGTCTCATAGAAGTTAAGACTGGATCAGACGGGGAGGTTCGTAGGGTTTGCTCTGCGATCAATTAAGAATATGGAAAACACAAATTAAATGTGTGGTTTGATTTTAATTTATGATTTGTTTAACTAATTATCATTTGGTTTGTATAATAAGCTTGTTATTATAGCATTTGTGGTTGGTGGTTACGTTTTGATTTCTCGAGTATGAGATTGTACTTGTAACAAAAAAATGTATGATATAAAATTGTGGTTTGTTTCTTCACTCGTGTACGGAAAGTATTCAAAGAAGAAAGTGTTTACTTATGTTAGATTAATTGAAGCTAGTCTTATCTACATCAGTAATGATTATCAATTCAATAATTAAATTTGTAATTTAGTCGCAAGTTTTTTTTAAAGATGATTCAAAATATTTGAAGATTAAATTTATGTAGTTAGGTCAACGCATGGATTAGAGAAGTTAAGACTTTTTTTGTAGACACTACAATATCGTCACATGATGTTTTGCATATACAACATCCAAAATTAGATATCCTCAAACGAAACGATTAAATTCGGAAACTATAACGGATGAACTCAAATCCTAATGCATACTGTAGTCAGTAGTCTCTTTTGGGCTTTTTGGATTTCAGTGATTATTGGGCTATTCCTCAATTTGGGCTCCCACTTTTGGTATTAGAATTGAAGACTATGGATAATTCCAAACCCAAGAAAAATGGACTTGGTAACGTTCTAGAGAAACAAATCGAGATCGTTATAACAAAAGCATTAATCAAATGCAAACAATGGCTACTAAAATAAATGCTAAACAATCAATCTCAGGAACATTCAAATGTAATTTTGATGCATCTTGGGTTAGCAATTCTGCATTGAGTGGCATCGTGTGGGTATTTTTTTGTGTGTTTTGGCTGCATCCAACAATAGTTAAAGTTTACAGGTTTAAATTTGAATGATTATATGTTTGAGTTCTTTTTAATGAAAAAACCTCAAAAATAATAATATAAATAAAAGTAACATTTTCACTCAAAATTTTCTCAAATGACTTCAACTAATCGAACAGTTACGACTCTTCACCACGAACACAAGTAAGAGACATGATAAGGAATCCAAGACTATTGGCAAAAGAGAGTTGAATTAAGATAAGATCATACAACTAGGGCACAAAGATCATCTACCAAACGCAAATCACCCGCATTTTTTCTCAATTTTACTCACAAATTCCTCTTACACAAACCAAATCCATACCCAAAAGTCTTAAAAACGACTCAAGCATCATAATAACACTGTAAACGCACAAAGATGCTACATTTTGAATTCTATTCGCCCTCACTTGTCTCAACTTCATCTATACATAAACCTACTTCAAACCAAAACAATTCCAGAATGAAAGAGAACACACTCACTTTGATGCCAGAAGAATCTCCGGTTTCTTCGACTTGCTGGGAGTGTTAGCATTTGAGGAGCCATTGACAGTCTCTGCAGCTACAGTCTTTGCAGCTGTTCTTGCGCTTGTATCCAGGTTTACTAAACTCCTTGTAGCTAGAATTGCCTGTGGATTCAGATCATGAGAAGCTCTTGCGTACAACGACCTTACTGCATTGGAAGCTGCATCTTTGACATCTTCAGTATTCAATGGACTCAGCAAGCAGTGACCTAGAATCCGTAGCGTAGGTTGAAACAGCTCCCATGGAAGTGGAATCCTTACGCTTCCTCCTCCTCCTCCTCCTCCTCGCATGAAGCCGTTAGAGCTAAGCTGTTCTTCCTTCTCTCTGACTGCTAATCTCTCAAAATCCTCCTCGATCTCAAGACTACGTCCACTGCTTCCATTGAAAGAGGATGAATCCGCAAAACCGTTGGTGAGGGCTAGGACTTTGTCTTCGTCTCCGTCGATTTTTTCCTTGCAATCGCAGTCTTGACCAGCCCAATTAGCAGCGAAATTACAGAATTCGAGCTTGGACCAAGCCGGCATCTGTGAGATCTCCTTGAAGTAGCATTGTAGCCCCACGCCAACGATGCTGGCTCGCTTAGTTGACTTGACGGCGACCTGGGGCTCGAGCTGCGGAGACAATACCCCGACGGATGCGGTGGGATTGGAATCACGCGATTTGTCAACGCCGTTTCTCGGTGTGTGGTACAGAGATGGCTGAGAGAGATCCGGGATGTGTACGAGTATAGGTTTTCCGGCGCGAGCTTTGACCTCGGCGGCGTAGATTGCGAGTAGCACGGCCTCGAATCCGGAGAGAGAAGGGAGCGACGACGAATCGGATGAGTGAATTCGAGATAGGTACATTCCGGCGAGTAACGGAAGGAACGAGAGAACGACAAGCCGAAGCGGTGGATCGGAGGAAAGATAGGTTTCGTATAGCCACTGGCAGAGCGGGTCAGATCCGGAACCAGAAGCCGGATTGCAGAGAGAAGTCGAGATCAATGAGTAGGCAGCGTGAGAGGAAAGGAGGGATAGCGCCGGCCGATCGGAATCCGCAAGAGAGGAGATCGGACTTCCGTCACCGTCTTCCAAATGCGGATCGCCAGAGAGGAGAGCGGAGAGAGATAGTATGCGAGAACGCTGCTTAGAGACTGATTCCCACCAGGAATGCATCGGATCCCGGTCAGAGGATATTCCTGAGACGGCAGCGACAGTTGCGGTGGGTGTGCCAGCTGATTTGAAACGGTAAGGGGTGGAGGAAGAGGTGGAAGACGACGGAGAAGGTGAGCCGCCGGGAGGTTTGACGGAGAAGTCCATGGGATTGGGTCTGAGGTGAGACAAAGGGGAGTTTTCGCTGGATTTTAGGAACACCGGAATTGAAGGGAGATTGAAATGGTTTCTTTTCTTTAACGGATGAGGAGGACCGGTAGATATAATTTGTTTCTTATGGGGCAATTTAGAAAGATGATAGAAGTTATGGGGTGCTTTTTATGTGTTTCTTCAACGAACCACCAATTGTGTTAAATGAAAGAGTAAAGAAACTTTGGGCCAAGTTACATGGGCTTCCGGCTCACGGCCTAGTTACGATAATCATCAATTTCGAATAATAACGTCTTTACAATTTAAATTTGATAGATTGTTTTACGAATTTTTAGCATAGTTTAATGTTATTAACTCTCCAACCACGAGTTGATTTAATTTATTCCTTTTGGTTTGTATAATTTACACACTATGATATCGTATTTATTTTGAGAAAACGTTTTAGGATAATCTTTTTTAACATCGATAATTAATCTTTCGGAAAAAGGTAAGAAAAACAAGTTTTGCGATCTTCGGTAGCTTTTTTACGATCGGCATAATTTCGATTCTGTGATCTTTCCACGTCGACCAAATCACCAACCGGAATCTTTTTTACTTTCGGAAATAAGATTTGATGCTTTCAACATACAATGGAAGATCATCCTACATACAAAATATCAATGCATGTGTGGAACGAAAGAGTAAATAGTAAGTCAAACATATGTCATTTATTATCCTCCACCTTCCAAATTAAAATTTCGAACAAAAAACAAGAAGCTTCTCTAATTAGGTGAACCGTGAAAAATAATTAAAAGTATTTCTGTATTTAGTAACAACAGTTTCCCCATAAGTAAAGCTCTATAAAGCAAAATCGCATGTGAATCGACTTATTTCTTTGACTAAATAACAAAATAGATGCCTAAAATAAATTCGTGGTTTAAAACCAAACGATAAATACCATAAAATGACACAATCATTTCACCATTACATGGTTGTCATACTACATACTACATATTGAGAATGCCAAGTCTTAATTAAGGAAGAGTTTTGAAAATATATGATTTTCTTAAATGAGGTTTGACATTTTTTGAAAAAGTAGGAAGAAAATCAATTAATATTTATTTGAAAGTTCAAGGGTTTTTAATATTTACAAATTTTATCATGGTTATTCTTTTGCATTGTGATTTCGATCATAACTGATTGTTGATAAGTAAATGGAAAAATTGTAAAAGGTAAACTAGAATTGGGTTCAAAATTTGTAATTATGATAAAAGTCCCCACAGTTGAGAAGAAAAAGGAGTATGAACAAGAAAAAGAATTTTGAGACGCATTTATAATCTCTCTTATTGTAGTATGAAATGAAAGCTAATAATTATCGAAATAAATACAAAAATAAAGTGACATGGAGTAGTAGAAACAACAAAGGATGGAAAGATGAAAGGGCAGGTCTCTTCGTAAAGACCCCACGATCACGCATCCATATGAAATGCATGACACGTATACAAAACGTCATCGTTTTTGCGCAGCACCCAAAGCAACCGACCTACAAATTTCCACTTCCCCTTTCACCTTCTTCTTCTCCTATTTCACTCTTTCCAGTTTCCACCACACTTCCTCCATTAAAACTCCCCTCTCTTTCTCTCATCTTAAACACCCAAAGAGCAAGAGAGAGAAGAAATCCACAATGACCACATCCTTCTCTACCGCGGCTCCTTTTCTTCTCGTCCTCCTTCTCTCCATCTCATCCACCGTCGTCTACGGCGCATCTCACCACCACGCGGCGGCGCCGGCACCGTCTGTTGACTGCTCGACTCTCATACTCAACATGGCGGATTGTTTGTCCTTTGTTTCAAGCGGAGGCACGGAGGCGAAGCCATCACGTTTGTGTTGCGATGGGCTTAAGACGGTGCTTAAGACTGACGCAGAGTGTATCTGTGAGGCGTTTAAAAGCAGCGCTTCTCTCGGCGTTACTTTGAACCTCACTAAGGCTTCTACGCTCCCAGCCGCATGCAAGCTTCATGCCCCGTCTATCGCTAATTGTGGAGGTAAGATCTATTGATTTTCGTTTCTTAGATCTCTCCTGGCTCTGCAGATCTCAGTTTCTCCTGCTTGATTTTTGAGCAGTTTCTTAGATCCACAAATATTCATCATTTTTTAGTTTATTTAAAATTGGCAAACCCATTTGTGATTGGAATTTTGGAAATTCTTTGGTTTATTAACTTACAATGCTTTTTTTATTTTATTGTGTTGCAGCGTCTGTTGCGCCTACTACTGCTCCAGGTATATATTTTTTTATATAATCTTTTTGCTTTGTTCATTTTAATGTTATATGTTCTTACAGTACTCTGAATTTTTGGTCTCATGCAATGTTTTTAGATGCCATTTGAAACTATTTTACTTTTCGTTGATTCTTTTTGGGACCATTTGGGTTTGATCTAGACTTTAAAACACTAACAGCCTGTAGCTCATATTGTCTAAGGCATGACGAAAGTTTGTGTGGATACAATGATTTCCACGCTTGTGTGACAATCTGTCGAATAATTGAATTCCAACACTTATTATTGTCACATATTTATTAGTATTATTGGTCTAATCTTCACTTTTGGAGGTTTTTATGTGTTTAAAGTTTCTTAATTTGGTATCATTTTTTTCCAGGTCTTGCTCCAGGAGTAGCTGCTCCGGGACCCGACGCAGGCGGGAGCCTAGCTCCAAATCAGTCTCCAGGGAACGATGGATCTTCCTTGATCCCGATCTCCTTCACAACCGTGTTCAGCGCCATATTCTTCACGTTGTTCTTGTCTCGTGTTTAAAAGACTGAACCTTTTCACCAGTTAGAGCTTGCTGTCTGGAATTGGTTTAGGATTTTTAAGAGTTAGCTTTGTGTGTCTTGGAGATTTTGGTTTCTTTATTAGTTTTACTCTTTTTAATATATGTTATTACTCTGTCGCACATTGGTCCTTTTATTTAAGGTTATTCTCTGATTCCTCTTATTGTTTTCTACTAGTATTTAATAAAATTTCTCCACGTCGTAAATAAGAACAAATATTGATCATTAATTGAATCTTCCATAAGAAAATAAAATTAGTTTGTCGAAATTGGATTAAATAAACTGAAAATCACATTCGATAAACTATTTTCTTCTCTCTTTGGAAAGATTCATTAAATGATCAAATTGGATTAAATAACCTAAATGTGAGATAGGTGCAATACACATGCTAAAAAAATGTCATTGCACTTTACAGTATTACGTAAAGATCCCAAATTTGATCCCAAAAAATAATTAATCAACCATATCAAGAAAACTTGGTAGTATTTAAGAATTGGCTTTAGAATTGTTTAGCTAATTACATTAACTATCTTTAATTTTACCCCAAAAAAACTATCTTTAATTTTCCTCGCATTATTTCCGGTTTCGTCATGTGATTAGTTAATAAGCGTATCAGATTCAAAATTCAAAATCTCATGTAATGATTAATCAAACTGTCTGTTGTGGACAAATCACGTTTATTTCCCACGAAAATTTTCAACTTTCTGATCGCGTGATGCGTGGACTTTACAGCGCACGTTAGATCCCTTCCCTCACCATGACAAAAATTTAATAAAGTAATAATTAGTTAAATAGTACTGCTAAAGACCAAAATTAAATTTAATTTTAAAAACCAAAAAAGTTAAATAATTTCAAAGAATTGCGAACAATAATTATTTCCCCTCTCTCTCTCTCTCTCTCGTTGTCTGCCACCAACAGGCGAGGACGACGACCGTATCGACGGCAACCGCTTCCGGCAGAGACGACGGCGATCGATTTTCGCCGTTTGGCTACTTGTTTCTGCTCTGCTTTGGAGCAACTTTTCTAAGCAGATAATCTCGGAGAGGCGAATAACGGGTTATTTGTTTCAATTAGCTGATCGCGCTAGGTTCATTTCCGTGAGATTAGTTTGATCTCTGGGGAAATTCCCGATCGCCTCCGGTTTCCGGAGATTGGGTTGAGTAGGATACGAGGAATCTCTATCTTCTGTGGTTTTTGGCGATTAGGTTTACTGGCGAGGGAAAGCTTAGCATTGCGAATCCAAAATTTCGTCGATTGGGCAATCGGAATATCAGCTATTGGGGGTTATAGACAGGCGATTAGGTTTTTGAGTGAAGGTTTACTGATAATCTCAGGGTTTAATTATCGAAGAGAGACTCTGTTAGGTTTTTCTATCTGGTCTTGATTTGTCGAAGAGTCTCCTGGATCTGTCTTCTCGACGGATGATTTGCGTCTGTGAGCTAGGGCTTTATACGCTTGGCTGATCAGCAAAAAAATGCCGATGGGACGGTTTCTATCTCTGGTCCGAGGAGACTCGGCTGAGTCACCTCGTGAGATCAGCTCACACAGTAATCTCATCGGCGAGTCCGGTTCCAATGGTTGGCTCATTAGGTTTTTCGATTCTGCTTTCTTCTGCGAGTGGATTGCAGTGAGTTATCTGTACAAGCACCCGCATGCTGGTGTTAGGGACTACTTATGCAATAGGATGTATACGCTTCCGTTGTCAGGTATTGAGAGTTATCTTTTCCAGATTTGCTACATGATGGTTCACAAGCCAAGCCCATCTCTTGATAAGTTTGTGATAGATATCTGTGCCAAGTCACTGAAAATCGCACTGAAAGTGCATTGGTTTTTGTTGGCTGAGCTGGAAGATTCTGACGATAATGAAGGCATCAGCAGGATTCAAGAGAAGTGCCAAATTGCAGCTACTTTGATGGGTGAGTGGTCTCCTCTTATGCGTCCACAGAATGATGTCTCAACCCCTGGGAGCAAGAATCAGGTCCTGAGTAGACTTTTGTCATCAAAGCAGAAGCTCTTCTCATTGAAGTTATCTCCTCCCACCCAGAAGTCTTTGTCATTCTCACCTTCGCCAGGGACCAACTTGCAGGATGATGCTAGTCAATTACCTGCTGAGGACAACAAGATTTTTAAGAAACTTATCCCAAGTCCTAAAGTCAGAGATGCCATAATGTTTAGAAAGTCAGTTGATAAAGATGACGAAGAGAGTGAAAAGGAAGGATTCTTCAAGAGGCTCATGAGGGACAGTAAAGGTGACGGTGATGAACCAACTTCTAACTCAGAGGGTTTCTTTAAGCGCCTTATGAAAGACAATAAATCAGAAGACGAGGACATAACAAGCAGTTCCGAGGGGTTCTTCAAGAGGCTTTTGAGTAGTAAAGGAGAAAGCGATGAATTGACATCAAGTTCAGATGGGCTGTTTAAGAGGTTGTTACGGGATAACAAGGGCGATGAAGAGGAATTAAGTGCACACTCGGAGAGTTTCTTCAAGAGGTTATTACGGGAGAATAAAAACGAGGACGAGGACTCAAATGCAAATTCAGAAGGGTTCTTCAAGAAACTATTCCGTGACAGCAAACCTGAGGAAGATAAAGTTCCTAAAACATTGGATGAGGAGGACAAAGATGGGTTCCTTAAGAAACTTTTTAAGGAAAAATTTGATGACAAAAGGGGCAATGAAAAGAATGAGACCAGTGGAACAGTGCTTGCTGATGATAAACCTGGTGTAGAGGATGAAAGGGAGGGTTTTTTAAAAAAGTTCTTTAAGGAAAAGCCTGATGGCAAGAAAGACACTGCCAATGCAGACGACGGGAATGAAAGCGAGGGTGATGAATCTCCAGAGTTTTCTCTGTTCAAAAGATTATTTCGTATACATCCAGAAGATGCAAAACCTACTTCAGAAAATGAAAATAGCAGCAATGGCTTAGCTGAAAGCAGTCCTGGGACAGAGAACTTTTTCCGTAAATTGTTCAGAGATCGTGACCAGTCTGTGGAAGATTCTGAACTATTTGGATCAAAGAAACACAAGGAGGTTTGCCCTCATTTGACTTGGTCTTTGTATTTCCGTCTTAGTTGCGAATACTGGTTTAATCTGCACAATTTTGACATTCGCTTTTCTTTGGATCCATATCTTCAGATTCGTTTGTCAAGATTCTTGTAGGATATAATCATATATCTCTACTTCTTGTGAAATATACTTGACGCAAATGTTGGCTGAAACAGGGTGCTTGTTTGACTGCAATTGATTAATTATCTATACCAGACATTCGCAATTGATTCTGCTCACTCCAATCTTTGTTATCATAACCATTGCAGAAGCGGCCAGGTTCACCTAAACAACGGGATGATACTCCATCTGGTAAGCCCCCTCTACCAAACAATACCGCATCACAGTTCAGGAAAGGGGCTTACCACGAGTCGTTGGAGTTTGTACAAGCGCTATGTGAAACATCATATGGTTTGGTAGATATCTTCCCCATCGAAGATCGGAAGATTGCTCTTCGGGAGGTGATCTCTTCCACCTGACTTTTGATATTGATGATTAAATGTTGGGTGTTAAATTATTCCTTTCTAGCAGCTGACTAGATTTCATTTTTCTTCTGTTTCGTTTTAGTCTCTTGCAGAGATCAATTTTCATTTATCTGAAGCTGAAACCACCGGAGGTATTTTCTGAAATTAGACCTTAAGAGGAGATATTATTTTGGATGTTTACTTTGTTTGTGTAGCTTAAATATATTTAGCTGGCTTACCTTATCTGGGTAATGTATGCTTTTTTCTGAAATAGTTGTTGAACTTTTTTTAGCCCTTCTACGTTAGCTAAATCATGTTTCTTGTCTTAGAAAATAGTATGTCCCTTATATCGTATTTCTGGTAGCTGTTGGTCATTATTTTGTCTGATTAGGTTTCTGAACGAATTGCAGTCTTTCCACCATTTTTTGGAGAATCTTTTTATTTCCACTCTTGTTTCTCTACATTGAATCTGTTGTGGTAAATTTTTGTTTTCATCAGATACTGAATTTTGTTTCCAATAACCTTCCAGGAATTTGTTTTCCAATGGGGAGAGGAGTTTATCGTGTTGTTCATATTCCTGAAGACGAATCCATTCTTTTAAATTCTAGGGAAAAGGCGCCGTACATGATCTCCGTAGAAGTTTTGAAAGCGGAAACGCCCAGGTAAATTCAATTTTCTTAAAAGCATACTGATCTACTGCATTTAGTAGAACTTCTTTTCAGTGTCCCATTAATTACCAAGTGTAAATTTTTACATGATAACACACTCCCTTTTTTTTTTTCTTTCTGAAATTTGTTGTGGCAGTGGTAAAGATACATCTAACTCCCAGAAGCTTTCTAAAGGGGGCATTCCATTGGCAAATGGGGACGCATTCTTGCAAAAGCCACCTCCATGGGCTTATCCTCTATGGACTACTCAGGAGGTTTATCGCAACAGTGCTGACCGAATGTCGCTATCCACTGCCCAAGCAATTGATCAAGCAATGACTCCCAAGTCAGAGGTAAAGGTGAAACTTGTCAATGTAAGCCTCTCAGTGGAGAATCGTACTTCATCTCTTGAATCACTTAGTGATCCATTTGATGATGTTCTCGCTGAGGCTCCAATAACTGGGCTGGACACTGATCTTGAATGGGTAAGGGTGGTCGTGACGGCTGACCCAGGACTTCGAATGGAAAGCATTCCTGATCCAGCAGTCCCACGCAAAAAGGAACATCGTCGTGTTCCAAGTACTGTTGCCATGGAGGAAGTACGGGTGAGTGTTCTTGATCGTTAACTTGTAGGCGGCAATTACTTTTATGGTTTTGCCATTTGAAATTCAATCTGACACATCACGTCTCTTTTCTAGTCGTTCAAATAACTTTTTTTTTTGGTCAACGTTGATGAAGTAACTCTGATACCCAATTGAGTCAATATTTCAAGTGCCTATGCTTGTTCTTGTCCTATACACTTCATTTATTTATAAAGGCTTCCAAATTTAGAAAGTCAATATATTGGTATTGTTTGTGGCCTGTTTGGTGTTGTTTCTCTCCTTCATTTATCCTCAATTATCACTTATGCAGGCTGCAGCAGCGAAGGGAGAGGCACCTCCAGGCCTTCCTCTCAAAGGGGCTGGTCAGGATTCGTCAGATGCACAACCGAGGGTGAATACGTGTTTAACATAGAATATGGATCTTCCTCTTCATGTTCCTGTTTTGAATTTTAAAGTTCGAACTTCCTATTTATTGTGTTGTTCACCAGGCCAATGGTGGAATGCTAAAGGAAGGTGATGCTTTATCAGGTGAACTTTGGGAGGGAAAGCGAGAGAGAATTCGTAAAGTTTCAATATATGGCAAATTACCTGGTTGGGACCTGCGTTCTGTAAGTGTTGCACAAGACCATACCCTTAATCTTTAATACTGGTGTTTCCCTGTCGAGTATCTTCCTCTGTATCAAGTTCTTTGTTAATATAGAATTGGTATTTGTGTCAATTAGCTTGATGTAGTACCCACAGTTTTCTGTTATCCCGGTTGATACCGCTGATATTCCTTGTCTGAAGGACCCTAACTCGTGATTCCAGAATATACGATATGCCTTAATGACTTATGCATTGACTTATGCATGAGTCTACGATAGCTCGCTGAGAGGCTTATGACAAGCTTGTGCTTTTGGTTCTCTTTCTAGCTGCATTTGAAGTTGATTTTCATATGTTGGCATTGAAAAAAGCTGTTGTCAAAGGAGTTAGAATCTTTCCTTGCTTAATCTTTACTGAATTGTGTCCTTGGGTCTCGACCATTTTGCCATTTGATATTCCTTTCTACCTTCATTTTTTAAAAGGCTCTAGTTCTTCGCAGATCATTGTGAAGAGCGGCGATGACTGTAGGCAGGAACATCTTGCCGTGCAACTCATTTCTCACTTTTATGGTGGGTGATACTTTCTTATATCTACTAATTTCTGTTAATATCCTATTTCTTATGGTATTGGCTTCTCATTTTTCTATTTTCTCGCCTTCTTATTCTGTTATCGAAGGATGACTTTATTTCCGCCTTATTAAGTAATTGTGTTGTTCATATGCTAGATATATTCCAGGAAGCAGGTCTACCCCTCTGGTTACGTCCTTATGAAGTTTTGGTTACATCTTCGTATACCGCCCTTATAGAAACAATTCCAGATACGGTAAATATGTAAACCAGAACCCTGTTTAGTTGCTACGTTGTATCTTGTAATCAATTTTTTTTTACATTGAAAATGTATGTAATATGTACCATGTTCCTGTCCTGCAGGCTTCTATTCATTCTATCAAAAGTAGATACCCCAACATCACGAGCCTGCGTGATTTCTTCGCTGCAAAGTATAAAGAATACTCTCCAAGTTTTAAGCTTGCCCAGGTACTTTACTGCTTAGGTAGATCTTAATAGTTTGATTCTACCAGCATTTTGGTAATTTTGTTTCAGGAATTTGTGCCGGAACTACATAAACTGCATTTCCTTGAGAGTATACGTTGCATTTGATTTTTGAGATAGTTTCTTTATGGATTAATCTAAGGAAAGAAGCTGCTTGGTTGAAACTATGAGGACTTTTATGTGCATAACTTGAAAGACCTAGTTTTACCAATATGTCTCGGATGCCATGTTGTGTATATAACCTTACGATTTGGCTTCTTTTGCAGAGGAATTTTGTTGAGAGTATGGCCGGATATTCTTTGGTCTGTTACCTTCTGCAGGTACATTAGTGACCCGCTCCTCTCAGTAATTTTCGTATTCATCTATATATAGTCATCCATTCAAGTGCATTGAATCAGAGGGATCCATAGGTTTGATGAATAGCATGGTTTGATGTTATATGACTCGTGATACCCATGGCTGATTGGCTTTTGCTTTAGGTGAAAGATCGTCATAATGGAAATCTTCTCTTGGATGAAGAAGGTCACATTATACACATTGATTTTGGCTTTATGCTTTCAAATTCTCCTGGCGGTGTAAACTTTGAGAGTGCTCCATTTAAGTTAACCCGTGAACTTCTTGAGGTACGACGCTCATTATTGTTATAATAATATCGGATCCTCGTCTCTTGAAAGTCTTTTCTGGTTATATTTTCCTTGGATCTCTTTAGTCTAAAAAATACTTGTCACAACCAGGTCATGGACTCTGATGCCGACGGGGTTCCAAGTGAGTTCTTCGACTATTTCAAGGTATCCGCCCGCGTGACTATCCCACTTGCCTTTGAATATAATCACTTAAGGCTCTATTCTTTTTGTGCCTATAACTATTAATCGGAAGAAGAGCCTCTCTAATTGTCAATTGTTCTTAGGTGCTATGCATTCAAGGATTCCTTACATGTAGAAAGCACGCAGAGCGGATTATTCTCTTAGTTGAAATGCTACAGGTATATGATACAATCTCTAGCTTTTTCTTTTTTACTAACCTGAATCATATTATATAGTTATAGCCTTAATTATCTGCCATGTGAAATTATTGTTTTATTAGGATTCGGGTTTCCCTTGCTTCAAAGGCGGTCCACGAACCATTCAAAACCTAAGGAAACGATTCCATCTAAGTTTAACCGAAGAGGTAAGCTTTTCATTTTCCTCAGTTCAACTTTTCGCATGATCCACTACTGTTAGTAACAGTTTTCTCATTCAATTTTTTTTTTTGTTGGCTGGATCACAAAAACAGCAATGTGTGTCTTTGGTGTTATCTCTCATCAGCAGTAGCTTAGATGCTTGGCGGACACGGCAATATGATTACTACCAGAGAGTATTAAATGGAATACTGTGATGTTCCAAATCTAATTTACAAGAAAGCAACTTTATAAGGGTAAAACAGCCTTGTAGTAAATCAGAGAAATCCTTCCAAAGGCAGAAGAAGAAAAACAGTAAAAGCCTTTTTTTACCTGAAGAGAAGCGATCAGATCAGCGTGTGTGTGCGTGCGTGGGAGAAGAAACCAGTCACACACGTGTTTGACTCACACGTACAAGAGAGACAACCTACACTCACACTTTGTGTACAGAAGGATTTTTGATTGTTTATCTTACTAAAGTTGTGTTGTTGCTGGAGAGAAGAAATATAAAGGCAAAAGCTTCAATTTTTCTTTCTTCCAAAAGGCTCAAAACAAAACCCTTTCAGAGAGGACAAAAAAGGGTTTATGTTTTGTTTTTGTTTTTTTTTTTCTTAATTTGTTTCTAGTGAGCACTGATGATGTAATGTTGTATAAATTGTGTATTATCTTTTGTTAAAAATATAATCTGAGCGAGAGAAAACAAGTAGTATTTCATTTAGATACACGTGTTGTGTCCCGCTCTGTTTATCTCTCTCTCTCACTTCATGTACTCAATTTTCGTAATGTGGTATTAATTAAAACATCATTTTGTCTATAAAATTATTCACCAAATTATTTTAGCCAAAATTTTCAACTACGTTTATTGACAAATTGATGTTTTAAAAGCTCAGAAACAATCTTAATAAAACTGATAAAATGGTTGATAAGAAAATTAAATAAAAATGTTTTCGAAATTAAATATCTAATCAGTGACTTTACTAAGTTATGGTAAAGACTGAGAGTGGGGAACACTGGAGCAAAACAAAGGTGGTGAAGTCATTCGGGCCAATGAGGGATCGTCGGGTGAATCATCAACATAAGTAGATTGAACAATCTTATTCTATTTTGACCAAAAAAGAAAAAAAAAACAATCTTATTCAAGTTTATAGATTTCCAAATGATTTCCAAATACTCGTAGTAATAATAATAGTAAGAAATGATTTTATTGGCTACGGGAACCACAACCAATAATGTGACCTCCTATTTTGTTATTTCTTTTTGCAAAATGACCCCTTTTAACTTTCTTTCTCTCTCTTAATAAACGCGTATTTAGATGTATATAAACCCTAACACCATCACTCTCTCACTCCCTCTGGCTTCTCTTTCAAGCTACTCTCTCTCCTCTCTCGCTCCTCCGCCTCCCTTCTCCGACTACAGTTGTCTGTTCCTCCGATTCTCCTTCTCTACGGGTACGATTTCTATGCTCTGTATCTTCTCTGTTTGTTTTACTTTACGCCGTGAACGTTTCTCACTAGTTTGGTTCGGTTCCCGAGGAAATCTCTCGTCTTCTCTATTTCCATTTCACTTCATGGGTTTTCGATTTCCAAATGCTTTCTTTTCTTGTGATTTTTGGGTTTAGTCTGAGTGGGTTACATCAATTTTTTTTCTTTTGTATGCGATTTCGTGATCAAAAGACGTTTATTTGTTTTCTGGGGTTTTGTGTGAAATCTTCTTCTTGCTTTAAATCAGTAAAATTTCGAAGGTTTTTGAAGTTTATATGCGATTTTCTTTATCCTTGGAAATTACTCTGATTTCTCTAAGTCTGCTCGTTTAGTGACATTTGTTTGAAACTTACTTGCTTACCAAATTGATCAGTTAATGCAATTGCAAAACCCAAATTAGCCCTAGATGTTGTTGTTACAGTCCATCAAATGAGTTCCTTATCAAAGGTTTTCTTCCTTTAATGTGTTGTCTATGTTTGTTTCTGTTTCACAGCAGATGTCTGTTGATATCTGCAAGAAGAATCCATCGTTTCTCTGGTGCGACTGTGGTTACATGAGCAAAGGGCGGTTGTGGTGCTTTCAGACAATCTTGTTCAAACATTCAACTTGGAATTGATTCACTCAAGCCTCTCCTCTCTTCCTGTTTGCTTCTTCTTTCTTTTTTCTTATCTGCTTCACATTCTTACTTGTTTCTGCTACACTGCGTTATTGTAGAGCTGAGAGTAAATTCGAAATTCTTGCTTCATTGGTGAGGGTAACTTCATAATTTACTCCAATGGTGAAAACTAAGTTGGCACCTGGATTTCGGTTTCATCCGACTGATGTTGAACTTGTAAGATATTACTTGAAGAGGAAAGTTCTTGGAAAAAAGCTCCTCACTAATGCCATAGCTGAAATCGACATTTACAAGTTCGAGCCACCTGATCTTCCTGGTAATGCGAAAGTTATATTCCTTTTTTTAGTCCCCTTTGTGGGTTGATTACTCTGGAACTCAAAAGACTTCATCTTTTTTTCAGATAAATCATGCCTAAGGACAGGAGATCTCAAGTGGTACTTCTTCTGCCCGAGGGGAAAGAAGTATCCCAAGAGCGGTAAGGCAAATCGTTCGACTGAATCTGGTTACTGGAAGACCACAGGGAAAGACAGAGATGTTACTTACAATGATGAGGTCGTTGGGAAAATCAGAACTCTCATTTTTCACTACGGGAAGACGCCTCGTGGGGATCGGACTGACTGGGTCATGCATGAGTACAGACTTGAAGACGAAGCTCTGGCGCTAAAGAGTGTTCCTCAGGTGATGAGTCTTGGTTAAAAAGACAGAGCAATTTTATATAATTTCGGTTCCTTGGAAGTGTACTTATATATATGTAATTATGTATGTTGTTATGAACTGCAGGATACTTATGTGCTGTGTGTTCTCTTTAAGAAAAATGGGCTTGGACCAAGACATGGATCTCAATATGGAGCTCCATTTAAGGAAGAGGATTGGAGTGATGGCGAGGAAGAAGAAGTTACCGAGAATCTTGTACCTCTTCCTTCTGCAGGAAACGCCGATCCTGGTCCTAGCAGACGCCGACCACACTCGCACGCTCCTAAGGACTGTTTCGGTGGAGTGATATCAGAATCTTGCGTCTCTGATGTACCGCAACTAACTGCCACAGTACTTCCGCCTATAACGAATGATGTTGTTGCTGACATTCCCATGTCTTCTTCTCCTCTTCTCGAGGTTCCTCAGGGACCACTGGAGGACGATGAGTTCTATTCGATGCTGGACCTCTTTGTTGTTAACAATGAAGAGTCTTTACTTTTCGAGGGATTCAACGACCAATATGAGGTATGTCGCTGCATCATGATGCTTTTGATGAATCAAGATTCAGTGTCCCTTTAAATGAATAGATAAATTAAAGGAACTTTTGTTGATTTCTGTCTGAACTTACAGGTACGAAATGAGCCCGAGGTTCCTGTTGTAGACGAAGCTCCGGTTTGGTTAGGAGATGGCGATCTCAGCGGAATACCGGACTTGAGCGACGACCTATTCATAGAACTAGAGGATCTGATTGACCCACCCACTCCTCCCGGTGACAGCAATGGTCAGACTTAGGACCATTTTAGTATTCCGTGCTGTTGTAGCATCCTTCTTGCTTTGCTGCCATGGATACAGAGACCAAACATGTGAAGCTTTGTCCAGAATGTTCTTCTGTCGCAATCTCTGTCTGCACTAAAGGAGAGAGAGAGAGAGAGAGAGAGAGACAAAACCATGAATCAGTATCTTTAAGCCATCAGATGTGGAGCTAGCTTCTATGTTGTGTTTCTGTAACCGTGTTGCCTTAACTTATAGATTTCATCATCATTTATGTTGCGAAAACATTCGTTTGAACTTTTTGTATTTCCATGGATTCTTAGCTTAAATGATAATGCCCCTATAATCATTAGTCTTTTTAGTCAAAGGCTATAAGATTAAATGTCAACGACCGGCGTCGTTTACAATTACTTAACTCTGCGTTATATATCAACCAAATAACTGGAATGTGCGTTGTAAACGGGGCCATAGAGATAGAAAATAGAATACGGGGATATAAGTTTAAATAAACAAAAGTTAGAAGGGTTTTAACGAATTGATTGCTTTTCAATTCTACCTCAAGGAAGCAGCCGACTTTTTTTTTACCTAACGAATTAATCCTTTTATCTATCTTCTGAAAATCGCAACTTTAGAAAAGAAGCAACGAAAATGGCGAGCCTTGTCTTCAATACGCCGTGGCTTAGGGTTAGGTCTTTACCGGAGCTTGCTCCTACTTTCCTCCGACGGCGTCAATCCTCTTCATTTCACTGTTCCCGGCGAAGCTTCGCGGTCGTCGCGTGTTCTTCGCCCAGTAACGATGGTGGGTCAGTCAGAGTCCGTTTCGCGCCTTCTCCTACTGGCAATCTCCATGTGGGTGGAGCAAGGACTGCTCTCTTCAACTACCTATTTGCGAGGTTCGTGATCTGACTAAGAGCCGTTTTCGTTCTGAACAGAGGAAATTGAGAGTTTTGGGTTTGTAACTGATGGAGTTTCGCAGGTCTAAAGGAGGGAAATTTGTGCTGAGGATAGAGGATACGGATTTGGAGAGATCAACACGTGAATCTGAAGCAGCTGTTCTTCAGGATCTCAGGTGGCTAGGTCTTGATTGGGATGAAGGTTGCTTCTTCTCCTTCCTCTTGTGCTGCTTTTAAAGTGTTTGTTTTTCAATGGTGGTGATACTAAACAATTAGGATTGAGATTGTAGGTCCTGGGGTTAGTGGAGACTTTGGTCCATATCGACAATCCGAAAGAAATGCGCTTTACAAACAATACGCAGAGAAGCTTTTAGAGTCAGGCCACGTTTATCGATGCTTTTGCTCCAGTGAGGTGATTTATCTTCACTCTTCAGATTCTCGAAACTCATTTTTGCTTGTTGCTTGTTGTCTCTAAAAGGTTTTGACTCTGTTGTTGACTTTAATGAATCGCAATGTTTATGTAGGAACTTGTCAAGATGAAGGAGACTGCAAAGCTATTACAATTGCCTCCGGTATATACTGGTAAGTGGGCAACCGCTAGTGATGCTGAAGTAGAGCAAGAGTTAGAAAAGGGAACACCTTTTACTTACCGGTTTCGTGTGCCAAAGGAAGGGTCTTTGAAAATTAATGACTTGATTCGCGGTGAGGTACGTTTTTTGTGTGTGCTTATTCTCAATCAATGGTTAGATAGGTTGAAGTTGCAACCTTTCGTTGTGATCTTGTAAAAGTTAACTTTTCAACTTTTGTACTTTAAAAGGGTCATCCTTTGATGTGTGTTATGAAAAGCTCGATTATCTCCTTTTTGTTAACCGGGTATTGCTATTGACCATGTGTGATAGTGTCTTGAAGGTATGTTGGAACTTTGATACCCTTGGAGATTTTGTGGTAATGAGGAGTAATGGCCAACCTGTTTACAACTTTTGTGTTACGGTAGATGATGCTACCATGGCTATTTCACATGTTATAAGGTTGCTACTCCAATGTCTTTCTTTTTTCTTTTTTTTTTCAATTTAAAAACATGTTTGGATGTGATCTTAATCAATCTATTAACTTTCGTTTCAGGGCTGAAGAACACTTACCTAATACTCTAAGGCAGGCTCTAATTTACAAGGTGAGCACTAGCTTATGTGTGTTTCTTTCAATTGCTTTCGAAAGTCGTATTATCTTGAAGATAGGAAGAAGAATCTGATTTTAGTGCTGTCTGCATGAATCAATGGCAGGCTCTAAAGTTCCCGATGCCTCAATTTGCACATGTCTCTCTAATTCTAGCTCCGGATAGAAGTAAACTGTCAAAGCGACATGGGGCAACTTCTGTAGGCCAGGTGTTTATTATAGCTGTTATCGCCTTTACTTCGCGTTGATCTTAGATTACTCAACTGCTGATTCTTGATCTAACATCTGCGTTACGTTGATAAAACAGTACAGAGAGATGGGATATTTACCTCAGGGAATGGTTAACTATTTGGCACTCTTAGGTTGGGGAGACGGCACTGAAAATGAATTTTACACACTTGAGGAATTGGGTAGGTCGTTATTGTTGACTATAGTTTTACTTCGTATGATCTTTAAAGTCATCCTTTGCTTTTCTGATTTCAATGTTTGTTCTTGATTTGCAGTTGAGAAATTCTCGATTGAACGTGTCAACAAAAGTGGTGCGATATTCGATTCTACAAAGTTTAGGTGATTATAGAATTTGCTTAGCTGTTTGAATTATCCAATCTTCTTCTCTCTTGTCTTTCGTGTCTTTGCTTGTGCTAATGAATAGCTTCAATGTTGCATATCTATAAACTCAAAGATGGATGAATGGTCAACATCTGAGGGCACTTCCATTTGAAAAACTAACAAAACTTGTTGGTGAGCGATGGAAGAGCGCCGGTATCTTAACAGAATCCGAGGGGAGCTTTGTAAACGTAAGGTTTCTAATCACGTCGCCGCACTTTCCTCTGATCGTAAAATAAAGACTTGGATTTAAGAACAGCAGGTATTTTTTTTGTATAGACTTACTGAGTCTAAGCATGTTGTTCAAGTACAGGAAGCCGTCGAGGTTCTCAAAGATGGGATTGATTTGGTGACAGATTCAGACAAAGTACTTTTGAACTTGCTTTCATATCCTTTACACGCTACATTGGCTAGGTAACTATCAAACCGTTTCAGCATCCTGCATTGCTTTTTTCCTTTCAATAAACACTTTTAATGGTTTTTTTGGAGCTCTGAGCTTGTGGTGATTTGAGTTTTGTTGCACCTGATGCAGCCCTGAAGCTAAGCCCGCCGTTGAAGACAAGCTTCATGAAGTAGCAGCGAGCCTGGTAGCTGCTTATGACAGCGGTGAGATTCCAAAGGCTTTAGCAGAAGGACAAGGTGGTTGGCAGAAATGGGTGAAAGCCTTTGGCAAATCATTGAAACGCAAAGTTAGTCATCTCTGTAATCCAGTTAATGCTAAAACAAAATCTGCTCCTTTTGAATGAACAAACCTTACAGGACATTGTTGTGATGTTGGTTACAGGGGAAATCACTCTTCATGCCACTACGAGTGTTGCTAACGGGAAAACTCCATGGACCTGAGATGGCAACCAGTATCGTTCTGATTCACAAAGCTGGAAGTCCCGGTGTTGTGGTTCCTCAGGCCGGGTTTGTGTCTATGGAGGAACGGTTTAAGATCCTTAGGGAGGTGGATTGGGAAGCTTTGAACAAAGGCGAGAGTGTACCTCTTGAATCTACAGCCTCGGTATCAACCTGAGAAAATTCCTTAATCTTCGTTTAGTTGGTGAAAAGACCAGCACGACCAAGTTTGTAGAGTATTTTGTTCTTGATCAAAGCACTTTGCGCGTTTTTGCCTAAACTTAGGAACAAACCAGAGAGCAGAAACATCTTAAGGCCAGTTTTAAATTTGCTTTTCAGGCTCTGTGTTCTTACATTTTCTTATTGAATTTGTTCTTTGTTCTCTCAAGACAATCTTTATAATGGTGAAAAGCTCTCCTATAAAAAGGTATTTGTATGAAAGGTAGTCATGTCAAATGGAGTCAAATTGTCCGATATCTGACCTGAGCTCGGGCTATTTCGGGCTTGACCCGATTGGTTTCTTAGAAAACAGGATAAAACTGAGTTCAAAGCTGGGATTTTGGAGCTGAGAGGTGGGGACTGAAGTGAAGCTAACCACAGAAACACTTGAAAGAGAATCTGAAAGACTCAAACTTTAAAGCTTAAAACTTTTGAGTAAGAAGAAAAGATTTGGACTTTTGCCAATAGGACTGAGGGGAAATCTCACCTTATCCACACTCCAACCACAATCCCTTATTACATTCAAGTCCACGTCATCATCATCCTCATTCATCTCTAATACTACTAAAATCTAATCTCTTCCTTCTTCACCCACCCAATCAAAAAACAAAAGAAAAAAAAACGGGATCTTCAATGGCGGCCATGAACTCGAGTGTTCTCACGTGCAGCTACGCAATCTCTGGTGCTAGCTCTGTAGAGCTAAACCAGAAAGTGGGTTTGGTGAACTCATCGGTTGGGTTTGGTCAGAAGAAACAGACGATTCCTGTGATCAAAGCTCAACGGGTTGTTGGTGATGATGTTGATGGATCTAATGGAAGAAGATCCGCCATGGTTTTCTTAGCTGCTACACTCTTCTCTTCTGCTGCTGTTTCTGCTTCTGCTAATGCTGGTGTCATCGATGACTACCTCGAGAAGAGCAAAGCCAACAAAGTAAGTCTTGAAAAGCCTGAATCTCGAGATCGCTAGACAAACCTTATGTATGCAAATTAATGGTTTTTTTATTGTTTTGGATCATAGGAACTCAATGATAAGAAGAGATTGGCAACAAGTGGAGCCAACTTCGCGAGAGCATTCACCGTTCAATTCGGAAGCTGCAAGTTCCCTGAGAATTTCACTGGATGCCAAGATCTTGCCAAGCAAAAGGTTTTTCCATAAAAGAATTAAATTTTATTAAACTATTGGGAAAATAATCCATTGAAGAGATTATGATGCTCTTCTTCGTGGTTAATATTTGCAGAAAGTGCCATTCATCTCAGAAGATTTGGCGTTGGAATGCGAAGGGAAAGACAAGTACAAGTGTGGTTCCAATGTTTTCTGGAAATGGTGAAGAACTTTTGTTTGTTTTTATCCAATTCTTATATAAATCCAACAATGTATCTATCTCTCTCTATTTTCATCCAAGTTCTCATATCCATTTGAATCTCTATCAACTTAAACTCTGTCGAGTAATTAGGAACCATTCATTATTGCACAAAAATTACTTTGGGGCGTGGATGACAATTTGAATGAATAATTATTATACGTATGCTCGCCAAATACAGAACTTTAACAAGCAAATCGAAAGCTGGAATAATTACTGGTGTTTTGCCTGATTTACGTTCGAAGATTATAGTTAAGTTTGGGTTGCTGTGTTTTCTGAGAAATCCTTTTTTTTTTTTTTTTTTTGCTCAGATTACCTATAATGAATTATGAAAGTATAGAAAATGCAAAACCTTATTTTTCCATTGAAACTATCTGATTAATAAATAAGTGCGAATATTACAAACAAATGACTCAGCTCACGCTAAAATGAAAGAAAAGAATTTCCTAAAAGACAGACCAAGAAGAAGATGATGTTAACGCGTTAATAAGAGTGTGTTTAACCTTTTCGTACAAAAAGAGTGGACCGCAAGTAAGTTTTCTCTCAAGCGATAGCGTAAGTGAGAGTTTCTACTTCTTTGGGTCGCCAAATCGACTTTTGAACTGAAAGCAAACCTTCTTTTTGCTTAGAATAAGTCATACGAACTTCCCATTTCATCGCTTTCACCATTGCTTCCACTTCTTGTATGGTTTTCGCGTCATCTCGAACTATCAGTTTCCCTTCCGGTCTCAAAACCCGATCCACTTCCGCAATAACCGCAGTTAGATTGCACCTGCAAACATTTTGTTAGTTACTACTTACTATGTTTCTATTGTTTCAAAACCGAGACTCTCTTTCTTACACAACAAACCTTTGTTTGAGTTTGGAGAAAAGATGGTCGGCGTGAAGAAGATCGTACGACCTCGGGTACGTACTGAAAGATTCACACCAATCGTGGTAGATACCGAAGAGTCCTCGTTCATAGATTATTGCAAGTGTGTCTGGCGAATCTATTGGTACCACATTCATGACCCACACTTTCAAATCTCTCAGAGCCGCCGCAAATCTGCCAAGAGAACCACACACATTAACATTAAAGATGCCTATAAACCGCGTTAATTCTAAATTCTGGATGAAAACGGAAAGTAAAATATCGTGTATGTTTTTGGTCTAATGAAACGAACTCTGTTTTGTTTTACTTACCCTCCATAAACGGCTCTCATGTCCATGACATTTCTAACGGTTGCCCAGTTGATTCCTAAACCTTTAAGGTATGATTTGGTCACTACGCGTTTCCAATGTTCAGAATCAGCGCTGAAGTCCTCTGGTGCTGCTTTTCCATAAACTCCAGTCTGCGAACTCGATAACCAGAACGGTGGTTTCTCTACTCTCGCTGGCCATTGCTCGGGCCACTGAGATCCACGTTGCGTTTTGTCTTCAGGCGCGGGGTGCATGCATGCTTGAAGTGGCACTTTCCTACAAAAACCACACGACAATACAAGACATATACTTGTTATCTTGGATCGGCTGATTTTAAAAGCACATTCCCAAAACAACTGACAACAGGAAGAAAAAAAAAACATACCAAGATGCATTTGGGTCATCAGAGTCCGAACAGATTGGAGGTTTTTGTTCTGATCTGCTTTTGTAGCATTCATTTGAAGTAGGCTTTTTGTAAGAAGCTACACCGACTCCATTGATAGTGTCCTTGTTAATGGATATGAGTTCCCAACACATTTTCTTAGTGAGTTCAGTCATAGCTGCAAATTTCGCCAACATGAGGTGTGAGAAAACGGTTCCAGAACAATTATATATGTAGGATAACTTTTTTTACAACCTTTCCAAATTTCAACATCTTCGGTCTTCTTCTGATAAACAGGAGTAGCAGACCACACAAAGAAGCCACCGGGTCTCAATACACGGTTAAGCTCCAGAAGGAGTTTACCACCTGTCCATGAATAGTGCACAAGTACATCAGAAAGATGACAAAGAATTTGAGGGATCAATAGAGACAGACGGCTAAGATCCAGGAGGAGTTCTCCACTCGAAGACTACATCTATGGCGGTTAAGCTAGTTACCTTCTATGTGCCATGGCACCCTACAGCGAGCACAGTGAACAATGTCAAAGACTCTGCCAGGGAAAGGTAGCCTTGTAGTGCCCATCACTGCAGAAATGGCAGGAATGCCTCTCTCAAGAGCAAATTGCACTTGAGCTTCATGTTCATCTTTTGGGGCGAGGGACATCGTGATCACGTCTCTGTCAAAGAGGAAACCTCCAAAGCTTGCAACACCACATCCAACATCCAAGATCACGCGAGAACGTTTACCCCATGCAATATCAGGGACAGACTGTAAAGCAGATATTTCATTAGCACAAATTTCACCCCTTAAGTAATCAAATACAAACTAATTCAGGGTTTCAGACTTTCTAACGCGATAATTAAAAATCTGAACACCAACCTCCTGTATGAAATCGATGTAATGAAGAGCACCGTGCTTGAACTGGGTTCCTCCACCAGGAAAAGTTAGATACTCACCGGTAACTTTAACCCAATTTTGATGCCCCTTATACTCAGCAAGCTTAGTATGGGGGACGTTGGTGTACCAGATCTGCATAAAAGAAAGTATTCGTGTTAGTTTTTCGGCAGATGTATATATAAAAATGGGAGAGTGAACAAATTGAGCCGACCTTTTCTCTACTTTTGGGCCATTCGATCGGCCGCTTGTATCCATCAGGCAACGGAACGAGGCAAGTGGGTGGGCTGTCTGGGCAATGCCTCTCACGATGCTCATAGTGTTTAGTGCTCTTAAGACTCCTAATGGCTTGCACATTATCGAGACAGGGAATGTAATCCGGTCCGGCAGTTGTATTGCAGAGTGTCCATTGGAAATCAATTTTATCGCCAGAACCCTTCTGAGCTTCTTTCTCATTTTTGGACTCTGTTGCCTGGGTTGAAAACGAACCGTTTTGTGCAACAGTTTCATTCTGTAACTCTAACTGTGCCCCAGGAGACGAAAGATCACCTGAGGTCTCGTTTCTAGGTTGAGTCTCTTGCTCTACTTGAACATCCACATTTGTCTCGGTGTTTTCTTTCTCGGTCTTTGTTTCAGTATCTTCACTGACTGTTTTGGTTTCTTTATCATCTTTGACACCTGTTGGTTTCTTCTCACTGTCATCAGCATCAAATTTCTTTTGGCTTTCACCATCCTCACCAGACTCATTGTCCTCCGTTTCGGGTTTAGTTTGCTTTTCATTGGAATCAGGGTTTTCTTCATCTGGGTTCTCTTTCGAATCTTTTTTCTCATCTGAATCACTTCCATCACCATTCTCTGATTTGGAGTCATCGGATTTATTTTCCCCACTTTCCGTCTCACTTTTTGTCTCACCAGATGAAGTCGACTCATCTATAGTTTTCTCTTCTTTCTTCTCTTCCTGGTCATCTTGTTTGCCTGAGCTCTCGTCGCCTTGAGGCAAGCTTGCATCACCGTCTCCTTTGTTCTCCTCATTTGGTGTTTCACCAGATGCGTCTTCAAACTTCTGGCCTTTGCCCTCCTCCGCAGGTGGGGTCGACTGTTTCTTTATCCCATCTTTGCTGTCCAGAGAAACCACATCAACATTCTGAGCGGGTCCAGCAGAGGATGAAGTCATCATCCAGATCCCGACCAAGCAGAGGGCCACAAACACAACAACCGTCACTGTTGAGCAATAATTTGACGACGGCCTCCTGTTATCTATCCTGGTGTACCTTGGTTGCGCCATGATTCCAAATATGTGTACGCCTACACAAGCAAGAAGATCTTTTATCAAAACAACTTCAGATTTCTCCCAGCTGCACAAATCAGCTCAATCTCGTCTAATTTCACTGGACGAAAAACCCAGTTACTGAGAGTAACATACTGGTTGCAGAATTAAAGAAATGTGCAACACTAAGGAGATCAAGTTGGGATGTAACGCAAATCGAAACAAAGCTAATGACACCAGATCTGCTTAAACCCTCGCGATAACAGTTCAAAGCAAGATACAGATGAACAACGAGATTATCGAGTGGCTCGTCACAAAAGTTCAAAATCACTCCTAAAAAGGTTACTCGCGCGACATTGATTTCTCTATTTCTAAAGCACAAAAAAGGATCAGCCAGGCGGAATCATAGAATTTCGAGTTAGATAATCAAGGATGCGGAATCACCTTCAACAAAATCTCAAGAACAGCGACAGCTAGAAGTTTATCAACATAATAACGAAGAAAAACAGTAGATCCGATACAGATCTAGGTAGAAGAACAATTTTCTACATCATCGAGGTCATCACTAAGCAACATAAGATAAAAACAAATCATACAACGAAAAGATACAGATGAATGTGCACAAGGACGTACCTGATATAGGCGAGAAGCAATGAGAGAGCGGAAGAAAGGAGAGTCGGAATCTCAATTTCCAGCTACGAAGCCATTTTCCGGCACTTTCTCGAGAAAATTCGAATGGCACGGGATATGTTTAGGGGAGGGTGAGATGGGGAGAGAAAGGTATTTATATATATATATATTATATATATATGTGTGTGTATAGAATAGAGAAGGAAAGAGATTGATTTGATGATCTTAGGGAAATTTGATCTACACACAAAAAACAGTATTAATGAACAAAAATATTTATTGATTAATTAAAATTTAAAATTCGGGGAAAAAGGCTTATTTTAGATGCTTGGTGATTCTTCATCAATAAGCGGAGAGAAAGAGGGAACTACGGAGCAGCCATGAATTTAGTAGTGGTCGAAAATTCTATAAAATATTTTTTAGATTATTTTGGTTAGGCAGAGACTAGTTTAGTCAATTGCTTAAGACCTTAACTAAGTTTTTCTTTTATTAATTCGAATTATATATCATCATGATATAACCCAAGTTGTTGAAGGGTGGTTACTACAGCATGATTTTAGCTACAAGCAAAATCACTCTCTTTTTTAACTTTACTCTTTCTTTCATTTTTATTCTTTTGTTGGTCACCTCTTTTGTAAATTAACAAAAATTAACCGCAGGTACATTATTTGAAAAATATAAAAATGCAGGTGGAAAATAAAAAATCTCTTGCATATATTAGAAATCCAACGTTTCTAAAAAAAAATTACAATATTTATACGTCTAGACAATATAACCACAATTAATTAAAAGTTCATAATATAAAAGTTTTTATTCTTCTACTAGTTTATTGGCTGCTACGTTACATACGTTGTTGTACTAGCTAGTTAACAACTGACAGATAACTATACTACAATTTTCAATTACATTTTGTTTGATACCCATAAAATTAAAAACTAAACGAGGTTTTGAAGGTAATCATTCGAATTAACAGACACATTGATTTTTTGGCATAAAAACGAGTAAAGTAAGGAATTGAAGTACCAATAAGCTATAGGGAGAGCGATCCCTTCAATCCCACTCCAAGGATGTCAAAGTTATTAATTTAACATAAGAGGGAACAATTGCTTTTGTAAGTTATACAATCGAGACCCCTACAGTTTCCCTAAATCGGAGAGACCTAGTATCACACGTCTTTGCTTGTGTAATGCAGGCATGTGCTCTGTTTTATACTTACCTCAACTTTGCGAAATTAGTAAGCTAACTCTATTTAGAAAAGTTAATAAAATGTGACACTAGACACGAAACAAAGTCTATTATTGATAATAATTTTAGTACTAGTCTTTTAATAAAGATGACGACGTTAGGCATAAAACAAGTAGTAACTGTTTTGTTTATTAAAATAAAGGTTTGTATGTATATTTAATAATACGAGTGTTGCCGGATCTCGTGGATCTTAAATGAGTCCGCACTTTAAGAAAGTGAACAATGAATGTCGCCATAACATGTCAAAGTAGTGTGCACAGTAAGGAATGCCCACGGCTCAAGTTTTACTTTCATAGAGTTTTGATTTTAAGCAACTTTAATTATAAGAGGTTATATAGGTTAACGCTTCTGAATATAAACAGAGTAATAGATTATTTAAACTATTCACTGCAGCCTCTATAGTTTTGAGAGCTAGTACATCGAATTCCAATTTTATTTTCATTTCATCATCGTGATTTGAAATTTTTTTTTTAATAAAACAAAGAGTTAGGTTAACATAGCTTTGTTAGGTAGTTTATCTTTTTATTGTCGTTGTAAATATTTGAAGTGGCAAAAAAAATCTGTTTTGTTACCTATTCAAGAAAATTAGCATGAGTTTCGGATCATATAAAATAGTTTGAGGAGAATTTCAAGAAATAAAAACTTACTGTAATTAATAAATCCATCCAGAATTTAACGGTAGCTAATTACTTTTTTATGCACAAGAGTTAAAAAGGCGAAACAAAAAGAACATGTATCACCAAAATTATCATCACTACTTTATTGCGCCGAAAATTCAAGAAGGCAAAACAAACACATCAACGTTGGATTTGATGAGTCATGAATATTGTTTATTGACGAACATGTGATGCCTCCAAACTCAGAGGTGAATTCGTAATTGCTCCCTCCCACTCCAGATCTAGACTTCACTGCTCGCTCGTGGAAGATCTGTCTACCAATCGATTTGTTCCTTCTCCGGTAAATATTCTATCATCTTCTCGCCTGGAATTCGGAAATCACGAGCTCGATTGGAAATTATTCGACATTGATTTTGGGTTTAAAAGTAGAGTTTTTTTTTTTTTGTTTGGTTCCATGGTTTTAAATCAAATTTCTCGTGTCTTTCTGTTTGATTTATTTTCTGTCGGCATGAAAAAGAAAATATCTTTTAAAACACTGATCATCTCAGTTGTCATAATTAGGGATTTGGATATGATAACCCATCTTCGCTGTATGATCGATTGTTCAAAATGATTTAGACCTTTTCGATTTGTTTTGCTTTTGAATGATTTCAATGCTGACTAAGATTTGGCATTATGACAGGACAAAGATTGTTGTAATATCGGTTTGCTTATGAATGACTGACTAAGATTTAAAATACTATGTGGCTTGTCTATTTTTTAAGGATCTTGAACTTCAACAACGGAGCAAAAAGCTTTCTTTTTCTAATCTGAGAGAGAGTTGATGTTATCACTGGCATTCAATCTAAGATGTCTGGCGGAAAAAGATACATACTCAAAGGGAGTGTATCACTCGCCTTAGTGATCCTCATTCTTTTGATGATAACCCTCCTCGTTTCTGAGGAAAACCCGCTTCGTACTTCTCTGTTCGAAGTAAAACGTCAGTTTTCAGCTTCTTCTTCTTCAGGTAGTTTTTATGCTCTTCCCATCTTCAATACTGATCCAAAATTTCGAAGTCTCGTTATCCCAAGGATTCATAGTCTGGTTTTGTTGATGCATTTTCAGTTTGTAATTTTGCAAAGGGAAAATGGGTTCAAGATCGGAAAAGACCATTGTACTCTGGTTTAGAATGTAAACAGTGGCTATCAACCATGTGGTCATGTAGAATAATGGGCAGACCCGATTTCTCATTTGAGGCTTACCGGTGGCAGCCAGAAGGTTGCAACATGCCACAGTTTGACAGATTCACCTTCTTAAAAAGGTATATCTTTAGCCGCTAATATAGTAAACATACCTGCTTCTCTTTATTGAAATGCAGCAAGTGTCAAGTGAATTTCGGATGATGATGTTCTTTAACCATCAGTTGGCATATAGATTGGGGTTTTGTGTGTGTATATGTTGTAGTGGAGAATGTTTTTGTAAACGTCTCTCAAATAGCTTACTGCAGCTTTGCTTTTTTTTTTTTTTTTGTTTTTGTTTAGAATGCAGAACAAGACTATAGCATTTATAGGAGACTCGTTGGGACGGCAACAGTTTCAGTCCCTGATGTGTATGGCCACTGGTGGCGAAGATAGCCCAGAGGTTCAAAACGTGGGATGGGAGTACGGTCTGGTGAAACCCAAAGGAGCTCTCCGTCCTGATGGTTGGGCTTATCGGTTCCCTACCACGAACACAACGATCTTGTATTACTGGTCAGCTAGTTTATCAGATTTGGTACCCATGAACAACACCGACCCACCTCGTGTCACCGCAATGCACCTGGACCGTCCACCAGCGTTCATGAGAAACTACCTCCACCGATTCGATGTACTGGTTCTGAACACAGGTCACCATTGGAACAGAGGCAAGATCGAAGGGAATCACTGGGTGATGCACGTAAATGGAACACGGGTCGAAGGCGAGTACCTCAAGGATATCAGAGACGCTAAAGATTTCACGATACACAGCGTTGTGACGTGGCTCGACGCGCAGCTTCCATTGCATCCGAGGTTGAAAGCGTTCTTTAGAACGATTTCTCCGAGGCATTTCAGAAACGGGGATTGGAACACAGGTGGGAACTGTAACAACACGGTCCCTTTGTCTAGAGGAAGCGAGATCACAGGGGATGATGGATCGGTCGATACAACGGTCGAGAGTGCTGTGAATGGGACAGGGATCAAGATTCTTGACATAACTGCACTTTCTGAGCTGAGAGATGAAGCTCATATCTCAGGGTCTAAACTCAAACCCAGGAAACCGAAGAAGGCGAGTAACGAGACTGCGACTCCAGTGGTCAACGATTGCTTGCATTGGTGCTTACCCGGGATCCCAGATACTTGGAATGAACTTTTCATCGCCCAGATTTAGATTACTCCTACACCATCACACTCAAACGGTAGTTCAATGGATTAGCTCTGTTGATTCTTTTGTTACAGAAAGGTTTTGTGTTTTTTTTTTAACATTCTTTCTGGGAGAAAAACAAATGCTCCAATTGATTACAAATAGAATTTTTAGAAAGTCTTTCATTAGTGGTAATGGAGCTTGTTCTACAGCCAGCGTTTGCGGCTTCTGCGATTCGCGTTTGATTAGTGGAGACTGATACATTTGTAATGGTTAGACTGGTTTTATACACGAAACATTGAGAACAAATCTTTTTCTTAAATCGACGATTAGTGATATTTTAAAACCGGTACGATCAACGATTGATAATATTTAAAAATCGGTCAACGGGAGAAGACGACTTTTTATTTCTATCAAAACGGGGAGATTTTGTTTTGGTAATTTAGGACATGGCGGCGAGTTTCGAGAAATTCGAACCCATATTCGGAGAAGTCGTACCCGAACATTCGGATTCGGGTTCGGGTCTTCTCCGGCGATGCCTCTTCCACGTATACGCTTCCGATTCGCTTCACCTCACCGTCCATGTAACGGACTTCGTCTCAGGCGTCTGGACGAAGATCCTCTCCGTCTCGCAGCTAGACGATATGGTTCGTTTACTCTTCCTTGTCCTTTTTGCTTAATCCTTTCTTTTGTTTTGTAGTTTGGATTATCTGGAAAGTCGATGAGAGAGCGAAGATATCAATGGGCTTGTTATTTGGATTGCAATTGATTTTCACTCGCAAAAAAACATTTGGTTATGAAACAGAGGGATGCTGTGGGGATTGGTGGCTCGTGGTCTGAGTTCCTCGATTACACTGTCGCGTCCTTGAAATCGGACAATGTGAAGCTTCTCCTGGGAGAAAATTCCGTTTCAAGTGGTAAGAACTACTCACCGTCTGTCTGAATGAGTGCATCGAAAAATGAAGATGCTAACTTATTGAATAGCCTGCTTGAGCTTTGTGTTTAATAGTATTGTTACTTGAATCTTTCTCACTATCTTCCGACAACGCATTTTATTATTCTTAGTTGTGTTTTTGTTGATGTTTGTGTGTGTTTCATGGCATACTGTTTTAGGTGTGGCGACTGGGCGATTAGTGTCTCAGAAGGCTAAAGGGATGCCTCGCATAATGATTCCTGTAACGAAGATGGTGGACACATCTGCTAGTGAGGCAATGGCAAATCTGTCTTTTGAGTTGTTCAGAGCCTTCAAGAGCAAGCAGCACCTACAAGGTTCTACTCTTTTGGTTGTGTCTTCAGGGGAAGTGATCTCTTCAGCTGCAAGAAGCCACTCCACTGATTACAATCTGAGAAAACAGAATTGTTTATTCTAACCTTGATGTTCTACTCTTTTGTTTGTGTCTTCAGGGGAAGTGAGCTCTTCAGCTGCAACAACTGATGAAAAGGTACCTTTGGTCTGCAAGTTCTAATGGTGTCTCTCTAATCAACACTTCTTAACACTACTTGGCTGATAAATCTCATCTGTATTGTGATCAGGACAAGAGAGACGCTACCCATAACCAAGTGGAACGATACTCCTCTGGAAAACTAGATGTTATGGCTCCATCAACAGATAACCGGCAAGACTCTCCCGGTTAGTCCTGTTTAACCACACGTACTCATTTATTATTTCGAACTCTTTCCCAAAGATAATCTCATTTTTTTAAACATCATCTGTTTTGCCCCTGCTCTTCTTTTTTATTGCAGCCAAGCAATCTACCAGAGAAGGTAACACAACGAAACCGGCTAAACGAGTACCTGCTCACCGGAGGTATATACATATCATCTCCTCTCTGAACCTCATCTTCAACATCCATATTAATATCGATGATCTTGGCCTGAAAACTCTGATATGGTTTTTTTTTTTGCAGAAACCGTAAACGGGGTGCCCTTCTGCAGGATTCAGAAGACGAGGATGGCTAACCGGAGTTTACATCCTTCAGCAGCAGCTATCAGTAACAAATTATATCGCCTGAGGAGTTATGCTTTTAATGCTCATGATAATTTCTCAGGTTTTTCTCCTCGTTGGGTGAATGGATTTTGTGAAAATTGTATGTAACGTTAAAGATAATAGATAAATAAAATGGAATCTTGCTTCATTCATTATCGTATAGTTTCCTCTAAGTACACAAATATTACAGATATAACAGTACAGCTTCAGTTGCGTCTCATAAATGAAGATTCTCCTCTTCCATGGATTCTCTGACTGCTTTCAAAATCCATGGCTTGAGTTTCTTGGTGGTAACTATAATTCCCGTTTTGTGAGCAAGATACTTTCCTTTTGAGAAGTCAAGAGGTTTCCCTGCAGCATCGCAAACTACGCCTCCAGCTTCTGCACAAGGTTATTTGTTCATTTCTTTTTGCTCATATTCCTCTCGTATGTTTTGTTACACGTTAAGAATGGGATTGAAATCTAGATCGTTATTTGCTAGATAACTAGTGAGCAAACCATTGATTTATAAAATGCATTAGAGACAACAGTTCCCAGTGTTAAAAAAAAGTGTTTTTGTGTACTGCACCTGTGGTGATGATTGAACCAGCGGCATGGTCCCATATGCTCTCACGGTGTCCACGGAGGGTAAAACGCAAGTATATCTCTGCGTCTCCACGTGACAAAGCTGCATACTTTGCTTGGCTATCGATCCTTACAGGTAATGCTTTGATCCCGAGTTTCTGCTCTAACAGGTTTGTTTTAGTAAAACTGTGGTTTTAAGTTTTAACAGTAAACTGTAGAACAGCAAAACAAGATGTTGTTACCTTGGCAATGGAACCATGGATTGGAATTGGTTTATGGTATGATTCTAGGAACTTGGCTTCTTCAAGATTCTCATTGCTACTCACTCGCACCTGTCAACACAGCTTTCACTCTCTTTAACACTATCACTCAACTGCAGATTTACTACACGGTTCAGCTTTGGATAAGCTTAGTGAGTGATACCTTCTGTGGCGGAGAGTTGCCTTTGAGCGGTTGCACGTAAGTCCCTAAACCCGTTGTAGCAAAGAAAAGACAGCCAACATGTTCCGGGGAAGACTTATCCGTCTCACAAACCGTAGAATCCAACGGAAGATTCGGGCAAGCCATGACCCCGAGCACCACTTTGCCTTCCACAAGCAACGCTAATCCCACCGCGTATTGCTCTCCTCTTACAAACCTAAACAAAGCAGAAAAAAGTTTAGTAACTTTGGTTTTTAAATAACCGGGAAAGGCGAAAGCATACAGATTGAAGAAATTTGTTACCCTCTGGTTCCATCTATAGGGTCAAGAACCCAGTGGGAACCGCTGCAACCGCCTTCTGATTTACCGCAGTCTATAGCGTTCAACACATCGTCTGTGGATAGAGGAGAAGACGCGTAAGATTCCTCAGAGGCTAGAGCATCTTTCACAAGCTTCGTTATACTTTCTAGAAACACCTCGCTTCCTTTCTTCCGCAGATCTCCAGTTTCCTGCCGAGAGAAGTCGGTAAACATTTAAGACTTGTGATTTAGAGAAGGGCTTTTGAGATATTGAACCTCTTCAGCTACTAATGACAGCTTTTCAGGTTGGAGCTCCCTCTCCAACACAAGACTAACTAGAGCTTGTGACCCTGAAGAAAATCATCCATTAATGGAAGAGGGTAAGAACATTTTCTTGATAGATTTTAGAGAGAAAGCCCGAATCTAAACAAAACCAAAACTTGAATTTGGGGCGATGAGATACAAAACCGTAATCAGCTGCAGTAACCGGAGATCTATCAGATTTTTTCCATACTTGGGATTGCAACAGAGTCTTCTGCACTTCCTGATTCATTACATTATAAAGTTTGTTTTAGTTTCTGGCTTTCTGCAATTCATATATGGTCGAAGTATAGTTGTTACGGTAACACCAGTGATAGTTCCATGGTTAATGAGAAAAACAGTCGTTACCTGACTGAGACGAGCAGCTAGAGAGACTGCTTTCTTTGCAGCGGCTAGCTCCTTCTCATAAGACATTTGAAAAGCTTCAAGAATAAATAAAAGATTATACTTTGTGGTTTTACTGAAGCCAATTCATAGGCAATTATCACATATATACATAGAGTTACGTAATATGTTTCTTTTATGTTCATACACTGCAGATATATACAAAACCGAGTTTCGTGTGTGGCGGAGTTGGTGCAGACCGTCATTCACGTAATGACACAAGAAGTTGACGTTTAAATAAACAGAGAAAAAAGGACTTTTGAGTAAATTATACTAATTTGTAGAACGTATATAGGTATCGGTCATCATATTTTAGTAGTAATATTCGTAAGAAGACAAGAGTGATCATCAATCGTTAAAATAAACACAGAACAAGTTGGGTATACTTCACCTAACTAATACATTACTAATCAACCAGGATATATGTAGTTTCGCAGAGGTTTCCAACTGAAGTTTCATAATTATCTCAGAAAGGTCTTTTCATTTGTCTTTTTTAATATGCGTCAGAAAAAGACGTATATATTCGAGTTAAATTGCCCAGTAGCAATCACACAGTACCTAAGGCATAATTTAATTTTCTCCCCACGATTTTGTTTGTTTCACAAATATTCCCAAAAGTTTTTCAAAATCGTTTATTAACGTATTTCCGACTAATGAACAATAAGAAATTCGAAGAAAATATTTTTCAACGAGCATCGTAACTTCAAAATTATTTTCAAAGCGAATTAGTGTTTTTTTTATATATATCAAAGGTGAGTTTTTTTTTAATGTAATAAAAAGCCTGTGAGAAAAAACACAGACTGAGAGAGTATACCCAAGGACAACAATAACAAGTATATTACAGTTGCGTGTTAACGAAGTTTCAGAACAGAAGCTTTTTCTTCTTCCTCTTCTTCTTCTTTAATGGATTCTCTCACCGCTTTCAAAAGCCTTGGCAACAGTTTCTGCGTCGTGACCACAATCCCTCTCTTGTAATCAAGATACTTCCCTTTTGAAAAGTCCAATGGATTCCCTGCTGCATCTGTCACTTTTCCTCCCGCTTCTGAAAAATACACAATTCCAGACAAACATTTGTGTGATGATTCATGAACATTGGACCAGAAGCTATGTAGATAAGAGCTTAACGGGTTTACCTGAAACTAGGATTGATCCGGCGGCGTGATTCCATATTGACTCGGGTCTTGCTTTGCGTGTAAACCTCAAGTACACCTCTCCATCTCCTCTGGATAAAGCTGCATACTTTGTCTGACTGTTGATCTTGATTGGAGATTCCTTTATCCCCAGTTTCTAATCATGTGCAAACAGAGTCAAACTCAGACAAATCTCTGACTAAAACAAGGAGAACGTGAAGAAGATATTATTACCTTAGCAATGGTGTTATGGATGGGGACAGGTGTGTGGTATGACTCAAAGAAACTCGCTTTCGCGGGATCATCAATGCTGCTCACCTCCACCTAATAGCACATTCGAGTAATACTTATTGAAAAGGTTTTTCATAGTGATGGATCTAAACAGAGTGGTTACGATTAGGTTTACCTTCACAGGAGGAGAGTCAACAAGATGGAGTGACTGGACATAAGTCCCAGTGCCAACGGCTCCAAAGAAAAGGCAACCCATTTTCTCAGGTGATGAAGACTTGTGTGTGTTACTAGCAGCAGTGGAGGCCAAAGGAAGCTTAGGACAAGCCATCACACCAAGTACTACTTTGCCGTCCACAAGCAACGCTAATCCTATTGCATACTGTTCTCCTCTTATAAATCTACAAAATTGGAAATTTTGAGACTGAATCCAACTAATAGTAACTGACTAGATATTGTGTCTTTTAAGGGACTCTAAGATATCAAGGACATTCAGTAAAGTAAAGGAAAGACTCACCCTCTGGTACCACCTATAGGATCCAATATCCAATGGCGACCTTTAGGACCTCCTTCTGATTTGCCAGAGTCAATGGCGTTAAGCACATCATCCGAAGACAAAGGAGAGTCAGCATATGATTCATCAGTAGCGAGAGTATCTTTCACAAGCTCTGTAATACGTGCCAAAACTGTCTCAGCAGCAACTTTCCTTAGCTCACCAGCATCCTACTCATATAAATTACAGGAAACCAGAGTCATTAAACGATTACAAAATCAGCTTTGATCGTTAAAAATGTTATCTTTGAAAATCGTTTTTTTTTGGCACCTCTTCAGCCACTAATGACACAGGTTCGTTCTGGAGCTCCCTTTCCAGTACAAGGCTAACCACCGCCTGCGAGCCTAAAGAGAAACATTTTTTCTTTGTTTCATTTATGAGCTAAGAAAGATAACCAAATACAGAATCTCTGAGTGAGAATGATTACAAATTTAAAACCTAATCGAATCATTTTTTCCAAAAAAATGGGCGATGAAGATAAGGGTCAAAAGAGGCTAACCATAATCAGCAACTGTAACAGGACTATCATCCGATTTGGTCCAGACGTCAGATACCAACAGAGATCTCCTCACATCCTGGAACAAGCAGAGCAATTTCGATTCTTAGAATCTGAGTCGAGGTCTAAAAATAGTACAGATGAGCAGTACCACAAATCATTGGATGGATTGTTAAAGAAACCCAAATCAAAACAGTGAAATCGCAGATACAAAATCGAAGATTCAGTGCAGGGCTATATCCCCATTGTTAATTTTTCATCAATCAAAATCCCAGATTTCACGCTCTAATCCGAATATACTCATCTCAGTTGACGATTTCCAAGGAAACCACCAAAAGTCACCCATACTCGAACACACATCGCAATGTCAACGAGAAAAAAAGGAAGAAGAGAAAGTGATCTAAATCTAGAAATTAAAGATGATCAATGTCATGTGTTTCCAAAGACGGAAACGAGTGATCGTACGTTGCTGAGACGAGCAGCGAGAGAGACAGCTTTCTTGGCAGCAGCAAGCATCTCATCATAAGACATTGAAACGGGGAAGAGGACCAGTACGGAATAATAATAAGAAGAAGGAAGAAGAAGAAGACGAAGACGAAGATTTCTCTCTGAAAATTGAACCCTTTTTATTATGATATATGAAATGAAAAACCTCTCGCGTCTCTGAAGCAACTTCTTCACAATTTTCACTTATTTATTCCTCTTTCTGTTTTCTTTTAATACGTACATAATATAATTCTTTATTTAATTTCGTATCGTTAATTGTTTTTGTAGTATTTTAAAATAATATTTTCCCATCTCTACCGTTGTAGAGATGGTAGGCATAGTATAGTAGTCCCCTACCGTTGAGACAATGAATGTTTCGCTCACGTTGTGTATTTATTTCCTTTTCTTTATTTTATTCACAAAATTTTTATATAAATTTGCATAGTACTAAATTTTTTCCTCTAATTTCATTATTATTATTGTTATTATCATACCTGCAGAATGCAAATTGCAAAATGCCTTATCTTGTAAATTTATGACTCAAATGAGTAAAACAGAAATATAGATAAACAAATACAAGAATGAAATGGTCCAATAGAAAGATATTTTTCTTTAGAAAAAGATATTTATATATTTTTTTATTAGTAACAATATCTAACCCAGTAAGTAAAACAATGAAATTTAATGCTTCTTTTTGGAGGTGTGGATATTATTATTGTTCAATTTTATGTACGATAAGAAATAGTATATGATTGTTTTTTTTTTTTTGAGAACGGGCCAATAGTATATGATTGTTTTTTTTTTAGAATGGGCCAATAATATATGATTGTTAACATTTTATTATATATTTACCAAAAAAAAATTATTTAGTGATATGTTGTACTCCCTCCGTTTTTGAAAGTTTGATGTTTTAGAAAAAAATTTTGTTTCACAAAGTTTAATTTTTTGAATTATATTTAATCTATTTCTTTTTTCAAAAACACTTTATTCTTAAAAAGAGAGAATATACATTAAAATAATTAATATAAAGAAATATTAAAATGAAAAAGTAATTAAAAAAAATAATTAATGATTGTTTCTTAAAACTTATGAAAAAACTATAAAATCATACATTAATGAACGGAGAGAGTATTTATATCTATCTCAATATTTATGAAAATGCTTTTATTCGAAAGAGATTATGCTTTCTTTTTTCTGCAAAGAATGATAATAGAATAAGTTCTTCTTTCATTTCAAGTTAATAAAGTAAATAACAAGAGGTTGTAATCTCAGTTAATTATAATATATTGCAAATTGATTTAATATATCGAATATGACGTGTGATCCTTTGTCCCGATCTCGTCAATCTTTCGTCGAAAACAGGTTTGTTGTGTTATATCTCATTAGCACAAAAAAAAATCTTTGATTAACAGAGAATTTCTATATTTATACCATTCACATTAAAAATTCGCCAACTAGATTTGTACACGTCCATTTATTGTTAAAGTTTTTGACTTATATATAACGAAAACGATTACTTTTCGACGAATCATTCGTCGTGAATGGGAATTATTGGGAATAAAACCTCCAATTTCAACTTTTGTTTTTGTGTATTAAAAGAATTTCAATATATATATGGATAGAATCTATCAAGTACCAACGCGCTTGAGATGAAAAAGTAGCCGACGCGGTCTAGACACGCCGGGGCCTATTACCCTTAAAAGGCCTTTTCCGACCGTACTGGGCCAAACTAAATTTACGCCGGCCCAAATTAGATATTTATTTTATTTTTAGAAATTAGAAATTCGAAAGAAAGTGTTGCGGTGTTGCTGAAAGAAAGTGAAACAAGAGTTTTTTTGGAGAAAAAAGAAAACAAACACAAAGAAAGAAGGAAAGAATCAGAGAGCTGAAGCTTTCTCTTGCTCGGCTATGGAGTCACGAACGGCTTTCAAAAGCAGAGGCATTAGCTTCTCGTTGGCAACGATAATGCCAGTGTCCAAATCAAGATACTTGCCTTTCGAGAAATCCAATGGCTTTCCCGCTGCATCCGTCACGATTCCACCAGCCTCTGCTCACAAAACAAAAACCAATACTTTGCGTTCGTTAATCAGATAAATCGCATTTGTTTTATGTCTCCACGAAAGAGAAAGCCTTTACGTTACCTGTGACAACGATAGCACCAGCGACATGGTCCCAAATCTTTTCGCGGTATCCTTTGTGAGGAAACCGTAAGTAAATAGCTCCATCACCTCTCGATAAAGCTCCATACTTTGCTTGGCTATCGATCCGAACAGGTGGAGCTTTCACACCGAGTTTCTGTAAACAGAGCAGAGAGAGAGAACGGTGATCAAAGGGGTTGTGCTGGAATCACATGGGAAGGAAAGAGAAGCAATTTACATTGGCGATGGAGCTGGATAAGTCGTGAAGAGAGTGAGCTCCTTCGAATGACTCGAAGAAGGATGCCTCTTCAGGATTCTCAACACTAGAGACTTGTACTTTGACCGGATCAGATTTCGAATCCAAGGGCTGCATGTATGTCCCTGAACCGATTGTAGCAAAGAAGAGGCATCCGATTTCGTCTGAGGAGGAAGATGACTTGTTGTTGCTGTTTCCTGCTATGGAGGCTAACGGCAAGTTTGGACAAGCAAGCACACCTAAAACTACTTTCCCTTCCTCGAGCAATCCTAGTGCTACTGCGTACTGATCTCCTCTCAAAAACCTTGAAATCGCCAAACAAGCTCAGTGTCAGGAACACTACGTTTGCTAATGACATTATTATATCAATGTGTACCATTTTTGGGGGGTAGCGAGTTTTGAGGCTTACCCTTTCGTGCCATCAATAGGATCCAAGACCCAATGTCGACCATTTGGACCACCTTCAGATGTTCCACAGTCAATGGCTCTGAGTATATCATCTGTAGATAAAGTAGAACCAGCAAAAGTGTCGTTGACGAGTTTCGTGATGCGCTCAAGAATATCCTGAGAACCATCCTTGCGTAGATCGGCTGAGTCCTATACATACAGTTTCAAGACAATGTGAGTCCTGAGACATAAATAAAACTCAAGATAAGTAATGTGAGAGGCATCTGCGAATATTAAGCTGCTTCACCTCTTCGGCCACCAGTGAAAAGGGTTCAGAATTGAGCTCCTTTTCTAAGACTAAACAAACAACTGCTTGTGAACCTGAATCTCAAAACAAAGACAGTTTACTTGCTCAGAAACCATTGGCTATGATGTGATTACATTTCAATCTCAATAATGATTCAGATAGAAAAAAAAAAACTAACCATAATCAGCAACGGTCACTGGACTTTTATCAGACTTTGATTGAACATCTGATTGCAACAACGCCTTTTGAACTTTCTGAAGCAACCAAAACCAGTTTCTATTAGATCACACATTCACACAAAGATTATCCAATACAAGCTATATCAATAGAATCAATGCCCAATTACAGAAGCAATACACGCATTCATCTCCAAACCCAGATAATAAGCCTTCCGATTCCAGAAACGAAATTCGGAAAATTACAAAATGGGTTTATCAAAGTATCCAAATTTTAGAATCTAAGGCATATGAATGAATTAAAAAGAAAGAGAAATGGGAAAAAAATCTGAGACAGACGAAAACCCCAACCTGACAGAGACGAGCTGCGAGTGAAGCAGCTTTCTTAGCAGCATCAAGCTCTTTCTCGTAAGCCATTGATGAAACTACTCTGAGAGTAACGAATGAAGGAGAAGACTTTCTTCCGAATACAGAAACGATACGGGTCGATGAAATTGATGTTACTGCTGCAAATGTTTGAAGCGGAGCTTTCGCTGATAGAAAGCAATTTATAGACATCTCTTACGCCTTTTTCACGAAGATAATCTTCACATTTTTTGTGATTGCAAAAGACAATTATTATTACTTTTCGAATTTCCCGTATACGCCCAGGCACTTATTTATTCTCTTGAATTAAACCCTAAAGTTTACTTTCTATCAAGAAAGACCCCAATTGCTCTGCTTGTTTAGTGGTTCATTGCTTCATTTTTAGCACCAAACTCAAAGAACAAGAACAAAGGGTTAAAAACTCAAAGAAAATCAAAACATTAAAAGTTCATAGATTGGTAGATGAGTTTTGGGCTAATGGCTATCGCACGTGGATGTTGTGACAAAAACATAGTGAAATTATAGGTAGTGAAGATTTTAATAAGGCTTCTTTATTAATTAAAGCCCAATAAAATGGTCTCCAATACAGCCCAAAATCCGATACTCTTGGGTTTTTATAGTAAAGATTTTAATAAGGCTTCTTTATTAATTAAAGCCCAATAAAATGGTCTCCAATACAGCCGAAAATCTGATATTCTTTTTATATTTATAGGATTAAAGCCCAAATCTTGTTTCCTCAGACCAAATTTGACGACGGCTTTGCCACGTTGTCCACCAGATGGAAACTGTTGACATTTGTTAAGAATTTGGGTTTCTCTGTGGTTTTGGATAATCATATTAATGACGAAGAGACAGAGACCAGATTTTCCAGATTGATAGCGTGTAAGAGAGCAAAGTACGCATATGATTATTTGCCGCCGCAAGCAAAGGGTCACGTTCCACTAGCTTTCAAGATTCAACAAACCTCCTCCTTTTTCATTTTCTTTCTTCTTTTTATTCACATCATTTTCCAAAAGGGAATCTTCAAACTCCAATAAAAGCTTACTTTTCTTTCTTTTTTTCTACAAAACAATTCTGAAACTCGTCTTGGTCTTCGACAAACTCCAGGTTGATATTTATATAAATAATTCCAACTTGTATATTATCTACTACTGATTGTGATTTATATATCCTCAAAGATTATTGGTTCTTGTGAAGCAGAGCAGGGGTACAACAATGAACAGATGCAGTAAACGTAATCAGCAGCAAGCTTCATATATTGCTGATCATTTCAACAGCTTGGATCAGGTTCCTGAAAGCTCAACAACTTTTTCTTGATTTGAGTATTATTATTATTGATTATGCATAGTTGATGAAGCAAAGGTGATAAATCTTGTGTGGGCTTGCTGCTTTTATTAGGTGATAGCTTCTCTGAGAGAAGCTGGACTTGAATCTTCAAATTTGATTCTAGGAATTGACTTCACCAAGAGCAATGAGTGGACAGGTTGAATTAACGAATATGATTCACATCACATGTTAATGAAATGATTCAATTCAATATAGTTACTTATAAGTTTTATGTTTCGAATCTCTCTCATTGCAGGAAGATATTCATTCAACAGAAAAAGCCTACA